TGTGGGGTGCCGAATCCGATGGCTCTAGATTTTCTCGGGCTCAATGATCGGCTCTGATGCAGGGCGGGTCATGGATGGCGGACGGTGACGAGGCAGTTGGCACGTGGTTGGGATGTAAGGGCGAAGCAGGCTGACGTGGAATGATGGGCTGATGTACCAGTCTGTCAGCAACAGTAAATGGGCGGTAACTGGGGTGATCATGTGGCTGATTTTGAATGGTCCACACTAGCACGGTCGTAATTTTGGCACGACGGGCAGTCTTAAGTTTTGTGTGTCGAGCAGTACGTAATCCCTTGACTGGTACGTGACTGGGCGGCGGTGGCGGTCAGCATTTTGTTTTGCGATGACGTTGGCTTTTTTAATTGCTTCTGCGGCTCTGGTGCGGGCAGCCTACAGAATCTCGGCGAATTGCTGTACGCGTGGCATTGGGTTGTCCGGACGCGCCGTCATGGGCACTGTTGGGTTTTGCTTGTAGTTCAGGTAAAACGGGGACTGCTGCGTCGTTGCTGACATGGCATTGTTGTATGCGAACTCGATCAGCGGCAACTACTGCTTCCATCTTGTCGGGTCCTCGCACGTGGCACGAATCAACTGCTCCATCGTCTGATTCGTCCGCTCTGTTTGACCGTCGGTCTCAGGATGGTATGACGAGCTGAACTGTAGCCTGGTCCCGAACTGCTCCCAGAGGTTCTTCCAGAAGTTGCTGGTAAACTTCGTGTCGCGGTCGCTGATGATTGCGGCTAGTATCCCGTGCAGTCAAACGACGGCTGCGATGAACATGCGAGCGGTTTCTTCGGCTGAGATCGATTTCCTGCACGCAGCAAAGTGAGTCATTTTCGTCAGTCTGTCAACGACGACCATTACCGCGTCGTTACCCTCAGGGTTCGAAGGTAACCCCGTGACGAAATCCATCGTAACCTGCTGCCAGGCGCGCTCGGGCAGTGGAATCGGCTGCAATTGACCCGCCTTTCTTTTTTCGCAAGCTCTTCATCACCAAACGCGTAGGACACGAGCCCACGTGGTGCTGTACGTCGGTCAACAGCTCCGGCCAGTAGTAATACCGCTGCAGTTGCTGTCGCGTTTTTTCTACCCCGAAGTGACTCGAGGTAACCTTGTCGTGTGCCTCCTGCAGTAACAGTTCCCTCGGTAGTGAGTACGCGGGTACCCAAATGCGGTTGGTGCATGTCTTTATGTAATAGATTCCCTTAGCTTCTTCCATTTGCTGTGAATTTCCGGTCGTGAAAAATGGGTCGGTGCGATATCGAGAAGGCAGCTTGCTCTTTCTCCCCCCACGTGTACTCGACCCCCTTCCTCAGCAGGTCGGTCAGCGGAGCAGTCAACTTCGCCATGTCGGGGACGAACCGGCGCCCATAGTTGACGAACCCCAAAAAACTCTGCAGCTCAGTCAAATTTGTCGGCTCGTGCCATGCTTGAATCGTCGCGATCTTCTTCGGGTCTATTTCCACTCCGTCAGCTGGAATATTTGTGACACTAAAAACTCCAATCTGTCCTCTAAAGACTCACATTTAGAGGCTTTTGTCAATAGGTGGTTCTCACTCAGGATTTTAAAAACTGCTTCGATGTCCTGTAGGCGTTGTGCTCTGTCTGGGCTGTAAATCAGTATGTCGTCTAAGTACACGATGACGCACTTATCTAAAAGCGGGCGGAAGGCTTCGTTCATGGTCATTTGAAATGTGGTTGGGGCGTTGGTCGGTCCGAATGGCATGACGGTGTATTCAAAAGATCCGTAGCGTGTTCGGAAAGTTGTTTTCGGGCAGTCGGGTGGGTTGACGCGGATCTTGTGGTAACCTCTTCGAAGGTCGATTTTCGAGAGAACCCGGGCTGTGCGCAGTTGGTCGATCAGTTCGTTGGCTTGCGGGATGGGATAACGGGATTTGATTGTAACTTGGTTCAGTGCGCGGCAGTGAACTCGGGCGAATGAACTCACATGTGAAATCCCCCGTCTTTTTTCGGTGTGAACAGCATCGGCGCTGTGAAGGGTGACGAACTCGGGCGAATGAACCCCTTTCCTAGTAGGTTTCCGTAGCTTGTCCAGTTCGGGTTGGGTCACTCGGAACTGTCGCTGTACTGTCGGCTGTGCCCCCGGTTCTACCTCTATCTTGTGGTCGTGCGGTCGCTGAGGTGGCAGTCCTGTCGGCAGGTCATCCGGGAAAATCCCACTGTACTGATTCAGCAGTTTTTGCAAATCACTCCCTTTGTCTGCTGCCTCGGCTTCCCGGATGTCAACCGCATACACGTCAGCTCCTGCCGCTACGGCGCGTTTCATCGTGATTGCATTGACACGCACCGACGAAGACTCAGGCGAGCCCCAACGAGGTAAGGTGATGTTGTTACCATTCACTCGCACGGTGCAGTCACCCGTCGTCCAGTCGATTCGCGGGTTGTGTCGTCGCAGCCAATCACGGCCGAGTAAATTGTCGGTTCCGTCGAGGGTTGTCGCGAGCATTTCCTGGCTAAACATGATGTTACCCCCTCATCGAATCCGAACTCGATCCACGCGTTCCCGTATCGGCAGTGGCGTGCCTTCAACCAGTCTTGCATCGATCTCAGGTAAACATCTGTCCAGTGGCAGTTTCAGTTTCCGTGTTGTGGCAGTGTTGATGAGGCTGTGGCTGGCATTCCCGTCTACGAAGATTTTAACTAAGTCTGTCCCGATTTTCCCACTAAGCAGTATGGGGCTATCTACCGCGGTACCCTCCTTATTCGGCCAGGTGTGGTCGATTGCGTGAATTGGCACAATCACTCGGTGAGGGTCGGTTGGGTTGGGCGAGCGGCGTGACCTGTCAGTAGAGGGACCGTCTGCTACTGACTCCCAGCGTTTCCCTGCTGCTTGGTCTGTTTCTGCTGCTCAGCTTCCCCCTTTCCCTTAGAGTTTTCTGGGCATTCGCTTTTGCGGTGTCCTGGTCGATTGCACGCGAAGAAGTGCCCTTTAAACGGTGCGGCAGCGGCATTCGCGGAGACGGCTTGTATTGTGGCGCCTTTGTTCGTCCCACCAGACCGATGCCCCCAGATGCTGCTACTTCCGTAGGACCCCGGTCTCGGTCGGCGGAAAAAGTCGAGCTTCTCCGCCATAGCGAGAATCTCCTGAAAATCGGTGACGCCGCGGAGCTGTATTTCCTGAGAGATTTCGTGCTTCAGGCCGCCGATGTAGCGCTCTATGCGTTCGCTTTCATGCATGCATCCCACCTGCTCACACAGTGCCAGAAACCCGCTGGTGTAATCCTAGACGGAACCGAGCTGGCGCCAAGTGCGGAGCTTCTGACTCGCCGCGATCGAAGCCGCAATTGGCTCAAATCGGGCACGCAGACCTGCGCACCATGCGTCCCACGTGCGATATTGGGGCACCTCCACGAAATACGACGGCGCCCAGGGTCCGGTTTGTCCTTCCCGTGTCGGTAGAGTCGCATAGTCCGTCGGCTTCGTGACGATGATACGCCACCAATCCATGGCGGGTCCTCGCAGCAGCGACACGGCGTAGCGAATCTTCGCCGTACCCTCCGAGACGTAGTTGGCGTCGAAGAAAACGTTCATCGTGAACAATCACGCCTGAACGGTAGGACCACCCCGTTGACTCGAGTCAAAGCATGGCGGATGTTGCGGCTTCAGCGGCATCGGCGACTGCAGTGTTGACTTGCCGGTCAGCACCGAAATCGTGACGTGAGGTTGACTTCTGGCCGCATTCGTCGCTTTGGGGTGTGTCGTGCCGTGGTCGTCGTCTCCGTCGTTGCGGATGACGCCATCACTGGCCGCGCTCGCGGGTTGCCCCACATTTCCGTGCTGTGATGCTTGTTGTGCGGGTTGTCCCGGTGTGCCTTGTGCTTGCGACTGCGTTTGTTGTGCTCGTGCAACGTCGTTCTGCAGGGACGTGCGTTCTCTCGTCAGTGCCGCGATATCCTCAGAGCTTTCGCGAAGCTGCTGCAGCAGTTCGTTCAAACGGTCATGTGTGAGCGTAGTGATGTCGATGTGTTCAGCCATGGCGAAGGGCGTCGGCCCAGCTTCGTCTAGGCGCAGTCGTGGCTGTACGCGTTTACAAGAGAACGAGAGGACAGCGGCTCCTAGGTGCTAAGGGGCGTGTGTCCCTTCGAGTGAAAGATCAAAATTTGATTCCATGGGGTGCGGAGATGCGCGGTCCGAAAGGAAAGTGGCTCTGATAACCATGCGTTACGGGTGCAATGGAACGAGGTAGCGAGGATTGCACTTGAGTGTTAAAAGAGTACAAAGAATGAGCGAAGGTATGAGCGAATACTTATACGCGAAACATGCAAACGGTAACGCGGTGCGTGCGAGCTAGCTAGTGCTACGCTGGCGCGAGGTTCGGGCTAGTCCCGAAGCGTAGGCCGACTCGGTTTGGCCAGTAGTGCGAGGTTTGGTGAAACAGTGGGCGCGAAGTTGGCGAAGCCCCGTTAGCAGTAACGGGCGAACTACGACTGCTGCTGTACACGATGTTGATGGTCGCCGGTCGCGGCAAGGAATGTCGACAAAATTCATTGCAATTGTCCAAACCAGGGCTGTCGAAGTACCTGGGACCAAAACTTTGAGTCCTGAGGCGCTCAAATTCTGGCCCTGATTTTCACGGGCGCATGCCAAAATCAAGGCTTAAAATCCGGGCTTCTAATGAAAGTCACTTTAACCTAATGTCCAAAGGAGGACGTGCCTTCTACTCAGCAGAGGGAAGGTGCATACTCAGCGCTCTACAATCTTACAGCCTCTACATCGTAGGCAAACAAATTAGGAGGGAAGGGGTTCGTAGGCATAGTCATGGAGGGGGTGGGGAGGGCAGCGGCGGGATGGGGGGTGGGGGGGTGTGCTCAACACAGAAACCAAAACTTGGATTCAGGGGAAGGCCCAAACAAGGCCCTTAACAGTTACGGGTGCCATGCCATTCTAGCACTTTAAACGGTCGAGCTGTTCCAAGCGTAACCCGGAATGTTCAGGGCATTAAGGCCAAATGGCCTTGCTTTTTCAGCCCTGGTCCAAACATGACCCACATTCTAGAGTCATCTTTCATCCAGGTTTTTTGCTGGCTACTATTGGCCATTAGCTTTCATCCCATGATTGGCCTGAAGTGTAAAGAAACTTTACGTGGCAAATTTTGATTCCCTGCAATTTCCACCTGGACCTTCGTGTTCACAATCTTAGTTGTGATTCGCGAACACTACAGCACCTCGAATTCCTTCACTCGCGCATTGGCTGAGAAAAGTGGGTCAGGACTTTATTGGCGTGGAGGAACTTTGAAGGAAGTTGATAGATCTGCGGAATGGTGGGTGAGTGAGCTATATCGACGGTGACAAGCCACGGCCTTTTGTATCTGGCGGGAGCGACACAATCAACCCCACGAACGACGGGCAGCCGCAAAGGGTTATCCAACCACACAACACCAGCGAACCAACTCCAAGGAGCTTTTTCGTCAGGTTCATCATCCTGACGCGCGGTATGCAACAGCCACCCTCTCCTTCGCGTGGGTTTGACTTCAACGGGCTCGTTTGTTCTGCTCTCCACACCACGCCGCACCAGCCACAGCAATCCTCACCCTCCATCCACCCACCACCACCATTCCGCATGTCAAATAATGGCTTCACTGAAACGCATCCATGTGATTGGCCGAAGCCCACCTCGATTCGGCAGCCTTTGCAGGTGTGGTATGGAGGCGCGGTGCCTTAGCAAGTTATGGACCATCGTGGTTGATCTGAGACCAATGACACCCAGGTTCAAACCACTTCACCGTTTAATAACGTAACGAAACTCTGCACATCCCGTCGAACGCAAATCCATCGCAAATCTGTGCAACTGTCCCTGCTGGGCTGGGAGAGTCATTCTGGAAAAAGCTCAATCCGAGACTCCGTTTGGAGCTCTTTCTATAACTTGTTAACTGTGTGATGGTTCATGGTTCATCCTGCTTCAACACTTTCAGAGCTTATATGTGCAGATACTGAGAACGAAGGCGATCCGTGACTTCGATAGGCCAGTGTTTTAGTGGTTCATAAATTACGTCTATTTCGACTAGGAAAGAGAGGATGAATCTCAAAGCGCTTCTGTTCCACACGTTGGCAGTAGGCCTCTGCTGCTTGATATCTCTTCACCACTGGCATGCCACGTGTCACGCAGCTGACACCCTTCAGATTGAACCTTCTAGATTAGACGTTCCGAGTATCAAATTACTAGAGAGAGCAACTATCGTCGCTTCAACAGTCGATGTTCCATTGCCTGACGTTCCAGCTTCAGTCGTCGACGTAAACGCGATCGTTCTCCCCGTGAATTTAACTCAGCTCCCCGAAAACTCGGAGCAGTACAACCTTTCAAGTCATGGTACGCCGCGTGTGTTCTGTGCGTGCGGTCTGTCCACCTTGTCCAAGTCGGAATTCGTCCTCGTCATCCTGCCAAATCTTTAGTCGACTCGACAATCGCCGCGTGCGTGTCTGTTCTGTGTGTACGGTTTGTCCACCTCATCCGGTATTCGGCCTTGTCATCCTGCAAATTCTGTCATCCCTTGCGTGCAAATCCCGAAAAACTCGTATGGTGTTGTCTCACATCCCTTTTAAGGCCGAACAATACTGGTTATTTCTTCTTCCCTCCTGGTATCTCTCAATCTGTGAGTTGACCAAGGAGGTGATTTCCTCTCAGATCCCTACCACACTCGGCCAGAACCGTTGCGTCCTTCTCCCCTCTCATCTGGGTAAGTCCCTATCTTGTCGTTTCCCTCTTCGCAGCAACTGGCAACGAGGCTCATATCGACGGTCAGCTGGAGTCGCGCTCACCGGACGAGGAGCTTCAAATCGACGGTCAGTTGGCGACCCACTCATTGGACGAAGGGTCGCTGGTTGAATCCCGGCTGGCGTGCGGCGACGCAGTCGCAGCGGAAGTCGCGGAGGCGATACTGAAGGATCAGGTGGTTCGCAGGCTCGACCAGCTGGGAAACGTGAGCGATTCGGCGCATTACTTGCAGCGCACGTTTCTCAGCGACGCTTCGATGCGCGCCGCGGCGCTCGTCAGCGATTGGATGGAGGAGGCCGGCATGTACACGTGGATGGACGCGGTTGGCAACGTGCACGGCCGAGTCGACGGGTCGCACCCCGACGCGCCTGTGCTGCTGCTCGGCTCACATCTGGTAAGCAGAATGTGGACACCGCATGTGGTAACTCGCATCTGGTTGTAACCCGCATCTCATCCTCCTATTCCCTCTGTCTCTTCCCTACCCTCTCTCTCAATTCCCTCCCCAATCGCTGGCCTCAACCCCGTCTCTCCCCTCCCCTGCCTTTCCGCACCGTCTCTCTCCGTCCCCTTGCTCTCTTCCCACAACGTTCCTCCTCCTAGGTCACGGTGGTGGACGCGGGTCGCTTCGACGGGGCGCCGGGCGTGGTCACCGCAGTTGCAGCAGTCAAGCTCTTGTTCAAAGCGTGCGGGGCGGCGGCACTCTCTCCCCCCTCTTCCCCGCCTTCCCCCTGGCCCTCCCAGGACACAGTGGTGGATGCGGGTTGGTTCGACGGGGCGCTGGGCGTGGCTACGGCCATTGCTGCAGCCAAGCTCTTCCTCGCAGCGTGCAGGGCGCGCGGTTCCAAACCACGTCTTTCCACGACAGCTCTTTTTCTTGTGTGCCGTTCCGTGCGCTTTCCCCCTTCTCCCAGGACACGGTAGTGGACGCCGGTCGGTTCGACGGCGCACCGGGAGTGGTCACGGCCGTCGCAGCAGTCAAGATCTTCCTCACAGCGTGCGGGGCTCGCGGCTTCAAAACACGACACGTCACTAAGCTCGCCTTTCCCTGTGCCATTCCCTGTGCTCTCGCTCTTCCTCCCACGTCTCAGGAGGACACGGTGGTCGACGCCGCTCGGTTCGACGGCGCGCTGGGTGTGGTCACGGCCGTCGCCGCAGTGAAGCTGTTCCTCGCAGCGTGTGGGGCGATGGCTCTAAAGCAAGTCCCTCCTCTCCTCCCCCCTGGCCCTCTCAGGACACGGTGGTGGACGCGGGTCGGTTCGACGGCGCACTGGGAGTGGTCACGGCCGTCGCCGCAGTCAAGCTCTTCCTCACAGCTTGCGTGGCGATGGCGCTAAAGCACGTCCCTCCTCTCCTCCCCCCTGGCCCTCTCAGGACACGGTGGTGGACGCGGGTCGGCTCGACGGGGCACTGGGTGTTGTCACGGCCATCGCCGCGATCAAGCTCTTCCTCACAGCGTGTGGGGCGATGGCGCTGAAACACGTCCCTCCTTTCCTCCTCGTTCCCAGGACACGGTGGTGGACGCTGGTCGGTTCGACGGCGCACTGGGCGTGGTCACGGCCATCGCTGCAGTGAAGCTCTTCCTCACAGCGTGTGGCGCGGCGGCGCTCCCTCGCCCCGTGGAGATCATCGCCTTCAGCGACGAGGAGGGCATGCGATTCCAGTCGACTTTCCTGGGCAGCAGGGCAATTGCGGGGAGCCTCTCAGCTGAGATGCTGCAGATGAAGGATCGCGAGTGAGTTCTGATCTGGTGGGAGTGGTGCAACTGTGGGGCTGGTGAGTGCAGGTACTGGCGTTCAGCGACGAGGAGGGCATGCGATTCCAGTCGACATTTTTGGGCAGCAGAGCCGTCGCAGGGACGCTGTCCTCTGATATGCTGCAGATGAAGGACGGCCAGTGAGTGCCTAAACCTGTTGGTGTGGCAAGGGCAGGCGAGAGTGAGGGCAGCAGCTGTCGCTGCCTCGCCCCGTGGAGGTAGTGGCGTTCAGCGACGAGGAGGGCATGCGATTCCAGTCCACGTTCCTGGGCAGCAGAGCTGTCGCAGCGACGCTCTCGCCTAATATCCTACTTGTGCTTTCTTCTCCTGTATTGTGCCTTTCAGTGGGGTGACTGTACAAGAGGCCATTGCGTCACTTCCAGCAGCAGCAGCAGGAAAATCGGCAGCAGCAACAGCAGCAGCAGCCGGAGGGTCGAGAGGCCTCACCAGCGCAGCAGACGGGTCAGCAGCCGTGCAGGCAGCTCGATACCTCCCTGAGAACGTATGGGGATACGTGGAAGCACACTTAGAGCAAGGTCCCGTACTGGAATCTCTAGGGCAGCCGCTGGGGGTGGTGCTGGGGATAGCAGGGCAGACGCGGGCGGAGGTGACTATAGTGGGCGAGCAGGGGCACGCGGGGACTGTGCCTATGCGGCTGCGGAGAGATGCTGTGGCTGGCGCTGCTGCTGCTGTGGTTGCTGTAGAGTCTGTTTGCCTGGGGATGCTGAGAGAGGAGGAGGAGGAGGGGGAGGGGGAGGAGGAAGAAGAAGGGTTAGGAGGAAGAGGCTGGAGTGGTGGTAACAGCAGCAGCAGCAGCAGCAGCGGCGGCAGCGGCAGCGGCAGCAGCGGCAGCGGCAGCAGCAGCAGCAGCAGCAGCAGCAGCAGCAGCAGCAGCAGCAGTGGGAGTGAGAGAGGGAGTGGGGCAGGGAGTGGGTTGGTGTGCACGGTGGGGAAGGTGGTGGCATGGCCGGGGGAGAGCAACGTGATAGCAGGCAGCGTGACGTTCACTCTGGACGTGCGGACGCTAAGCAACAGCGTGAGACACGCTGCAGTAGCGGGGATTGAGAGGGAGATCAAGAGGATCTGCAGCGACCGAGGGCTGTTGTGCCGGTTCGCAGTGAAGGTGAGTTTTCTGCGAGCAACCATAGTGCTGCATGTGGGCTAGGGAAGGGATTGCAGCAACCATGTAAGGCACGCAACCATGTGGGCGTTCACTCTGGATGTGCGGACACAGAGCAACCATGCGAGGCACGCTGCTGTGGAGGCGATTGAAAGGGAGGTTCGGCGGATCTGCAGCGACCGAGGGCTGTCGTGCCGGTTCTCAGTGAAGGTGGGTTCTGTGAGGAGAAATACGGTGGGACGTTGGGGTGGGTAGTGGTGTGTAGTAGTGGCGTTCACTCTGGACGTGCAGGCGCGGGCGTGGTGTGTATTAGTGGTGAGGCACGCTGCTGTGGGGGCCATTGACAGGGAGATTCGGCGGATCTGCAGTGATCGAAGGCTATTGTGCCGGTTCATGGTGAAGGTGGGTTTGATGAGCAGGATAGCTGGGGTGGGGTAGAGATCGGGATATGAGCGAGAGGGGTGCAGATCATCCGGTCAGATGAGGCAGGGAGCTTTGCCTGTCACACCCTTTGGTTACTCCCTTCCGTTCATCCCTGTCCGTTCTCCTGTTTCCCTTCGTCTTCGTCACTCTCTTTAGCATCAAGCTAACACGGTGGACTGCTCGCCTCCCCTCGTCTCCATGCTTCACCAGGCAGCACTCAGCGCCCTCACTGCTCCCTATCTTCCTTTTTTTTCTTCGTCCGCTATACCTTTACTTCCTTCCCTTTTCCCGTGTCTCCCTCTCACTCCCTCCAGCATGAAGCTAACACGGTGGACTGCTCGCCTCCCCTCGTCTCCATGCTGCACCAGGCAGCAGTCAGCGCCCTCGCTGCTTCACACCACACGCCTGTCAGCAGCTCCTTCACTGCGTCACACCCCGCCCCAATAGCCACTGCTGCTGGTCGTGATGCTGCTCCTGCGCATCACGCTGCTGCTGCAGCCGAAGCTGCTAGTGGGTTCCAGTGTGCCGCGACTGGCAGCGGCGGTGGCAGCAAAAACAGCTGTGAAGCGACTGGCAGCGGCGGTGGCAGCAAAAACAGCTGTGAAGCGACTGATGGGTGCACGAGGGGCGAGTGTGGGGCCCGAGGACGGCAAGGGGAGGACGGGCGGCAAGGGGAGCAAGGGAGGCAAGGGGAAGAAGGGCGGCAATGGCAACCGGTTCCTCAACTTGTCAGCGGGGCAGGACATGATGCCATGGCAATGGGAGATCTCACCCAGGTGAGGAATGGTGATGAGGGGTGGTGAGGGGTGTGTGAAGGTTAGGGTGGTGTATCCCTCTCCGGAACGAGGTGGGGGGCGGGGGGTTGGGGGGGGGAGGGTTGTTGGGGGCGGGGAGAGTGAGTTAGGGCGTGATCCAGATCTCACTTGCGTGGGGGTGCTGATGCAGTCAGGTGTGTTGCTCCAATGCATGAAGTCGCAAGAATGGTACATGCTGGCATGGCCATGGCAGGTATTGCTTCGTGAAAGATGTAGCCGTGGTCTTTCCAGACTCGTGCTACCCAGATTGTGGATATCCATGACCATGTATCGCTTACTGTCTGATCAGTCAGTCACCATACACTGTTCCGGGCTCCAGTTTTATCATATTACCGTATATTGGTATTACTTGGGTGTGGGATGCTTGTTGGGTGCAGGTTGCGATGCTGTTTGTGCGATGTCGAGGGGGTGTGAGTCATCGTCCGGATGAGTTTGTAACCCCACACGACCTCTACATGGCGTCTTCTGCTATCTTTAGATTGATTCTGATTCTGTTAATGCATTCAGTGCAGTTGTAGTGACACCTTGAACCGGATTTTACTGTATGTGCAGTGTATATAAGCTTATAGTACAGTTATTGTTGGTAGTCATTCGCTTCCTGTACAGCATTTGGCTCAGAACTGGTGCGCACACTTCACCAACCTGCAATCATGTGTATTTATTATTATACACACAATGGAGTCAATGTACGATAGCCTGGTAGGTATTCATCTACTCACCTTGCAATAACCTTCCAGTCAAGAGTGCTGGAATTGGCAGGCCTGGCGAGCTAAAGACAATGTGAGTAGCTAATGACGAGGTTCCAGACTGGAAGGTACCAATATGGTACCCTGTTATACGAATAAGACAGAATACAATACTCATAGTGTGGGCACTCAATACTGCATCATACTACAGGTGGGTGGGTGGGCAGATTGCAGCTCCCACGGGATTTTCCACGATAATTTTGGAACAGTCATCAAGTACCCTCGGTTCCAGAACACCGGAGGCGGGATACCCGGAAGGAAGGGGTGTTTGGGGCGGACACCAGCATCTGGCTTGAAGGAGATTGCCTCTCCTAAATATTTCGGAGCTAATAGCTCGCAATTGTCAATCTAAAAACGTGATCAACATCGTGCCTCGAGTAGTGGACCAGGGAACACCCGCCCCACCCCTCTCCACCATCCTGAAGTGGCCCAGCTAGTTAGCTGGTTCACTTCCGAAGGATGAGGTCCCGGGATCAAATCCCCCCTGCGGCGTGTTCAGCCAGCCCCCCAGAAGGGGGTTACACAGGTGCTCATCTGGGAGTGGATACAACAACCTCGTTACCCAGCGAGGCGTGTAAACAAATGGGTAGGCGGGTTACGACCGATAGCCGGGGTAATACCAAGGGGGTTTCCCCATAACCTTTAACTTTACCATCCCTCTCCACCAACCCCGGCCTGGCTGTGGGACCGACTCGTGCACTCACACGGGCAGAATTGGGCCGAGCTTGCATTGCATGGCCCGAGTCCCCATCAGCAGTTTGGGCGTTCCTGGCTCGAACGGAGCGATTGGGTCTCTTGGACGCGGGTGCGTGCTTCCTCGTACAGATCCAACAACTTTTGAGGAACGGGTTTCCTGGAAACCAGAACCACAACAACATTGTAGTAGAATTGCACCAATGACACACTTCAGTTTGCTGTCGTTTATTTCAAAGGTTCATACGCGCTCAAACAGTAAAACACGGGCGAATGCGGGATCGCTTCCGCGTGCTCGCGGAAGCGTTCTGCCTGCGGGCAACAAAACAACTAAAATCCAATCGGAAGGCACGTGATTCGGGAGGCATCAACCCTAAAATTTTAGGGCTGAGGCTCCCGAATGGCATGCAGGTCGCGATGGGGAATAGTTTTTTTGCCCTGGGCAGCTCGCTTCCGCCCATGGGCGCAACCCACCAGGGCTCGGATGGACTCACCGTTCTGTGGGTGAATCGTTTTTGTTCACAAAGCCCCCATAGCTACAGCATCCGTGATTGAACAGCACCCAAGGAGGCTAGAACCCGGAAGCATTTTTTCGGCAGGCTATCTTCTCAGGCCGTAATTCCCTGAGACAGCAAAAGCGTACGCTGTAGTTATGATTCCTGCCCACCATAACAAGGGTGGATGCTGCTCTTCTCTGCAACATTTCTCCATACAGCTGCACTGTACGGTGGTGTAGCTGATGATGTTGTTGCAGGTTTGGAGGAAGGGAAAATATGCCACTCTTAATCAACAAGGGTCTCGATAATGTGTTTAGTACAAAAATAACGGGTACGATAACTGCAAAGGGTGTTTTCACATGTTTGATAAAATGTTTCACGGAATCAGTCACAATCAACTGGGAAAAAATAACGCGAATGGTCACAGATGAAACTCCCGCCCAAAAAAAGATAATACCCAAAACGAACCTGGATGCATTTTCGGACGAATCAACATTAATCACAACTCGCCAAGTGTTTAGGGTTGATCCGTTCCCAAACCGCATCCGATTCCGATTGGGTTTTAGTATTTTGAGAAATTATCTGATTGGTTGGGCGCGAGCGGAAATTTTGTAGAGTTTCAAGAAAATTTGGCGGGAGTTACATGTGTGACCATTCGCGTGATTTTTCACCTCTTGTTAGTGACTGAATCCGTGGCCCCACTTACCAAACCCGTCAGCAAACATGATACAGTGACCGTACGCGTTACTTTTTTACCATTCACGTTATCGAGCCCCATGTTGGTTACTTGTGACATATTTTCCCTTAGAGGAAGCCTGGGATGGTGGTTGGTTGGGTTCCCTCCACCCATGCACAACTCACCTCACCACAGATGACCCGCGCCGCGTCTCCCGCAAAATACCTCCACCTGACCTAGTCCGGTGCCCGCCCCCCCACCCCCCCCCCCCCCCCCCCCCCCCCGCTAGCCACCTCAGCCGGGGTAATACCAAAGGGGGTTTCCCCAAATTTTACCTTTGCCAGCCACCTCATCCAATCCCTTCTGCCCGTCCGCCCATAATCAGCAATTTCTGCCACTTCTTTCTACCATAGGGGCACGATACTGTAGCGCCTCTTAAATAGCCCAGACGATTTGGGCTTCGTATACTTCTATACACATGTTTGGCAGCGAAAATTCAGCCTCCATAAATGGTAGCCCGACTATGCAAAGGCCTGTTGCGAGGTGAGGGGATGAAATGAGAGAATGACATGTCTTGCACAGTCTCAAAAACCTAATTCGCTCTGCAAGGGGAGCCCCATTGAGTTTCGAAAGCATGGGCTGACAAGGAGGGTTTAACTATCCTCCGAATGACGATAAATATGTACTGCTAGTTTAGCAAGACGTACACATGATGCCCGATTGACCCCCCCATACTTGCCTTATTCTTGGGTTTAAATGATTCTTGCATTTCGCAAAGATTTCGTCAATTCGCACCTAACAAAAAGGGCTTATAAAAAACCCAAATGTTACACGTTGACATTTTGACGTCGGTCTCTTCTTTACCATTCGCTTCGTTGCCATTGGTTCAACATTAACTGCAACTTGCTCGGGGGGCTTGTAAACTGGGTGCAACTTTTCGTCACCAATTGGTCGCGGGCAGGGAATTGACAGAGAGAAGGGCAAATCTGCGCACAGTAGTTGGGCATCTTGTGTAGTTTCGAATTCCGGGCAGCACACTCCTCCAGTGTCCAGGACAGCTGGGCGTGGGAACACCAAACTGGGTCCTCCCCACTCTATGTTCTACCTGACATCGAGTGTCCATGTCAGTATTAGCCGACCCCGATTTTAATTAAGACTTATTTTAATGATGAACATGCGTAATTATTTATGACTGGCGATGCCCTATAAGGAAAGCCGTTTTCACGGCTTCATCCCTTCCACTACACATGATGTCCGGTTGAGCTCCCTGACCCTGCCTTACCCTCTGGGCGTATAAGCGATTCTGCATTTCGCAAAGGTTTCGTCAATTCGCACCTAGCAAAAAAGGGCTTATAAAAAGATTGTAACTCACCGTTGACAGTTTGACTTCGGTTTCTGCAGTCAAACCTCGGTTTCTGCGGTTTGTATTGGTTCAAATCACAGAAACTTGCTCGAGGGGCTTGTAAATGGGGTGCAACTTGCTAGCGCAAAAAACACGGGTGTAAAGTTTCTAAAATTCGAAAGAAAAATTTGCGCGCAGGGGTTGAGCATCATGTGTATCTTTCAGTTTCTATCTTCGCCCTTTTCTGCCCGAACTACTTTGCAGCAGCACTCTTTCCCCGAGCTTCCTTTCTGCCAGCTCTCTTTCTGCCAGTTCCTTTCCGCCAGCTCCCTTTCCGCCTGCTCTCTTTCCGCCACCTTCCTTCTCCTGGCTCCACTCCACACAACACACCACCATTTTCGCCTCCATGAAAGTAAAATCGAGGTGATGCTGATTCCAGGATCTTGGATCTGATTCTTTCCACAGCTCTCTTCATTTTCTCCTCCCAATTTCTCACTTGTTCCTAGATCTTGGCCAACTTTTTTCTCATTCCATCCTGTCTTTTCTCAACGCTCGTCGATTTCCGCCATTGCAGTCCCATCCATCCCACACGAAGATCGTATGGCCTAGGTTGTTCCTCCTCCCAACCATCCAACCAGCCAATTGGCTTCCCTGCATTCTCTTTTCCTCTCTGCAAGGAGAGTTTCCGTTCTGATGCGATGTGATTTCGTTATCCGCTTGCTGTAGGCTGCTGGGATGTAATATTCCTTCGTTAGGCTGCTAGAAGCTTGGATTTCCTCCATATCTCCCCCTCAACCTCTTACCGCACACGAGACGAGAATCGTTACTTTGCAGTGTAGGGTAGGGAGGGACCCTCGAGATAAGATTGGCAAACTGCAATCGAGTTGCATGCCGCTTCAGTCTAAGAATTGGTTCTAGCTTGAAATACCAGATTTGGGACTGCGCGTGTGCTCGTGCGTGGCTTGAATGGGTGATGCATACACCACGTTAGTCCTAGTGCGACTGGACCTTCTAGGATCCCCGAAAAGTCGTATGAGTTTGGATTGAACCCGAACGGGGCTTGAAGCTTAGTTGGTAACGTTGGACGCATTAGTTATTCTCCCTAAGTCCAGCATTCAGCATGAAGGCGACTCAGATCTAGTTGACATTGAATAGTCACTATTCGTCGACTAGGAGTGGATTAGCCAACAATGGGTAACAACGACATTCATCGGTTTATCAAGGAATCGTTAGGGGTCGCACAGCTGATATTATCGGCGTCCGATTTTCGAGTCGTCGCTGCGAGCAAAGCCGCTGTCGCGCTCTTGGGAACTTGCTGCGAAGCTCACCTTTACGACCACCAAATCTCCGCAATTTTCACTCCTGACTCCCCTTCGATTGGAACCATCAAACCGTGTATCATTCCCGCTAAAACCTTTAGTGAAGTCCATATCGATTGGTGTAAGGCGCTGGCTTGCTTGTCGCGAAAAAAAGGCGAGCTATTAACTCTCGAAGGTGGTCTTACTAGTTGCCTCAGTCAACGGCAACCTCGCGATGGCAGTGAATCATTTAATGATAGTTCTAGTACTGCTCACGGAAAACGAGGCATGGAATGCTGCAGACATTGCGGAAAGCTGCTCCGCGGTTCAAGGAAACATAAACTGGCGGTTGACCCCGGTTATAATACCCCCGAAGACGGGGAGGACCTGGCGGGAAATCTCCCGCGCTTAATCTCTCCTTGCGACTTCGAGACGGCGGCGGGTGCACGTGTCCCTGCTCGAATCGCGCATTTTTCTAATGCTGCCGTGTCGCAAGATGCTCTACGCGATTCACATCCGGCGAACCGGTCGGAACCGACCGCCACCGAATCTGGTGGAAATGCCGCGCAGCCGCAGTCGTCCAAGCCTAGGGAAGTCCGAAGCTCGCTTGGGCAAGGCATTCTGAATGGACCGAAGAAGACATGTCCGCCGAAGTTTCCGGGTGTGGAGGAGAGATTAGGGCGGAAAACGGAGGAGGGTCGGGTTTCAGCATCAGTTAACTTCCAGTGGTTTCAGGATGATTCGGAGGGGCAAGGGTTCCTGGTCGCGACAATAACAAAAAATTCACGCCGGGATGATGAAATGGTGTGGCAAATCTCTTGTCCCTGCCCTCTTGTTTTTTTTTGCCTATCCTTTGGTTAACTTCTCTATCGATTTGTTCTGCGCTATGGTTTTCTTATTGCTTCTTCTGCTATTGTCTTTACCATTCCCCAGCATACAGTTGTACTAAGATCGTTTGTTGTTTGCAAAACTGCTGCTCTTACCATGTTCACTTTACTGTGCTGTATGCTTTCAGCCATTTCCATTTTCCCCCGTCGCAGCTTCGTTCTCTCTCTCTCTCTCTCTCTCTCTCTCTCTCTCTCTCTCTCTCTCTCTCTCTCTTCCTCTGTCTCGCTATTGTCTTTCTTTCCAATCTGCCCTCCTGTCCCACCCTCTTGTCGCTCCCACCCCCTCTTCCAGAAGCTTCTTTTTAAGCTGCTACTACAGCTGGTGCGCTGCGCCAATGCTCTGGATTTCGAACCCAACGGCCCGCAGAAACCCCCTCCTACCTCGGACTCCCAGCAGCAGCAGGAGAAGGAGAAGGAGAAGGAGAAGGAGAAAGATTTGGGAATGACAACCCTAGTCCCGGAGCACTTAAGCCCGGACATCTGCGGGAAGTACCAGGGTCTTTTCCGTGGTGCGGGGCTGGACGAAGTGGTGGAGTCCGGTTTAAATGTCCTGAGCCACTTGGAGAACCACGGATCATCACCCGGACACGTGCACAAGGTCCACGTGGACGAGGCCCACGTGGACAGCGATGACGTGGACGCAGCTGCCAGTGTAACCCCCCCCAATGCGGTTGCCGATGCGGTTGCCGGCGCAGCTGCGAGTGTAACGTCTCCCGATGCGGCTGGTTCGAAGCCAATTTGTGCGCCTCCTAAGCCAGTGGAGGAGCAGGTTGTAGAGTGGTCTTACAGAGCAGCGAGTCTGCTTTTAAGGAAGTACAAGGAGCTGGAGCTGTTCAAGAAGATGGTGCAGAAATCAGCGGTGAGTGGGTGATGGGTGTTTTTGAGAACGCACGAATAGGGTGTTTGTGAATAAAAGAGGGGGTTTTCCGCCGTGGGGTGTTTTCTAAGGAAGTACAAGGAGCTGGAGCTGTTCAAGAAGTAGGTGCAGAAATCAGCGGTGAGTGAGCGAGGGGTGTGTTTGAGAATGCGCGAGAACACCCGGTATTGATAGGGTGTTTTTGAAAAAGAATCTAAAGGTTTTTTTTTCAAGGAAGTACAAGGAGCTGGAGCTGTTCAAGAAGTAGGTGCAGAAATCAGTGGTGAGTGAGTAAGAGCCCATTCTGTTTCCACAAACCAAAGGGTGTGTTTGTGGATGCACGAAGACACCCTGCAGATACCGCGCGTTTTTTTAAAACATTCAAAGCTTGTTTTGTCTCATTCTTCCTTTCATGTTACAAACCCACATCCCCCCCCGTCCTCTCTTACCCACAGGACCCTTTGATGATCTACAACATGGATCACATACTCCTCGAGTGCAACCCCGCCGCCCTGCGACCGAATGATGATCTTCTCTTGAGGCCAATCCCTACCACTCCCCCTCCCCTCCACTCCTCCCCTCCTCCTCTATCTTTTAGGACCCGGTGATGATCTACAACATGGATCACATGCTGCTCGAGTGCAACCCCGCCGCCATTTGACCCTTCAATCACCTTCGTTCACTCCCGCCGATCCCTCCCCTTCCCCCCCCCACCCCCCCCTCCTCATCCCTTACCCACAGGGCCCTTTGATGATCTACAATATGGTCCACATACTCCTCGAGTGCAACCCCGCCGCCCTTCGACCTCAATCACCTTGTTCCAAAGCCGATAACTCTCCTTCCCTTTCCTCCCCTTCTCTTTTCCTCCCATACCCACAGGACCCTTTGATGATCCACAACATGGATCATATACTCCTCGAGTGCAACCCCGCCGCCCTGCGCATTCTCAAATACCCCTCCAAGGCCGCGCTCTCCCACGCCATGGCCACACCAGGCTACTCCAACCCGCTCTCTCCAATCCGCCAGCCCGACGGACAGCTCTCGGAAGTGCTCGCGCTGGAAATTGGGAGACGCACGGTGGAGCAGGGGCAGATGGTGCTGAACTGGGTGCATCTGGCGCGGGATGGGACGGAGGTGCCGGTTCGGATTCACGTGCAGTGTGTGGCGGTTGGCGAGGAGAAGTTTTTTGTGGCGAATTGGCATGATTTGACGGAGATTAAGCGGCAGGAGGAGGTGTTGAGGAAGGCGAAAGAGGCTGCGGAGGCGGCGAGCGAGGCGAAGAGCCTGTTCCTGGCGAATATGAGCCATGAGATCCGCACGCCCATGAATGGTGAGACAGAACGTGTGTGTGGTGTGGGAGTGTCACGTGGAGAGTGGTAAGTCACCTGGGAAGGAAGGATGCTGCAGCGAGGCGAAGAGCCTGTTCCTGGCAAATATGAGCCATGAGATTCGCACGCCCATGAATGGTGAGTGCTCGATCGTTCGGTGCACCGTGTGTGAGCGCGTGTGCGTGCGCGTTTGGGAGTTTCGGATCTGCTGCTGCTGCTGCGCATGGCCCTTGCAATGGAGCAGCGCGCTCCGACCTCGAGATCATCTGATCGTCAGCCCCTCTCTCCCACTCTATTTGTCCTCCGTCCAGGTGTGTTGGGAGTGGCGCGGATTTCCGTCCCCGCACGCCGCTGACAGCGGAGCAGCAGCGCTCCTTCCTCAAGATAGTCCGGTCGTCCAGAGGCAATCTGCTGCTGAAAGCCCCTCTCTCCCACTCTATTTGTCCTCCGTCCAGGTGTGCTGGGAGTGGCGGATCTGCTCCTCTACACGCCACTCACAGTGGAGCAGCACAGCGCTCGTACCTCGAGATCATCCGATCCTCGGCTTCAATGCCCGTGTGCCATGCTTCTAAACCCTATGTTTCCCACCCAAACCGCCTTTCTCGCAGGGGTGTTGGGAGTGGCGGATCTGCTGCTGCGGACGCCTCTCACAGTAGAACAACGCTCGTACCTCGAGATCATCCGGTCGTCGGGAGACAATCTGCTGCGGATCATATCCGACGTGCTGGATCTCTCCAAGATCGAATCGCAATCTCTGGGTCTGGAGAGCGTCGCCTTCTGCCTCGAGACGTGTATCAACGAGGCCACGGCGCTGCTCTGTGTTGCTGCTTCGGAAAAGGGATTGCTGGTGGGTTGTAAGGGATTACTGGTGGGTTGTACGGGTTGTTCATGGGTTTTAAGTGGTGGTGGGTGAAGTGGTGGGTACTCCTCCTCTCTCTGCGTCTGGAGAGCGTCGCCTTCTGCCTGGAGACGTGTATCAACGAGGCCACGGCGCTCCTCTGCGTTGCTGCCTCGGAAAAGGGATTGCTGGTGGGTTGTAAGGGTTGCTGGTAGGTTCTGGACTGGCTTGTGGTGACATTTTGTTATTGGGTTGCTGACGGGTGGCATGCATTGTTGACATGTGGTGCACCAGGTGCTGGTGGTATGGTATGTGGTGGGTGGGTGAGTGGGTGGGTGTGACTCTCTTTCCTCTGGGTCTCGAGGAAGTTTGGTTTTTCTTCAGTCTCGAGACATGTTCTCCTTGTTCTCCTCCGTGACTTTAGAGTCGACTCAAAAGTCTCCTCTGGGTCTCGAGGAAGTTTGTTTTTTCTTCAGTCTCGAGACATGTTCTCCTTGTTCTCCTCCGTGACTTTAGAGTCGACTCATAAGTCTCCTCTGGGTCTCGAGGAAGTTTGTTTTTTCTTCAGTCTCGAGACATGTTCTCCTTGTTCTCCTCTGTTCTTCCCCGTGTGCGTTATCTCGCAGTTGGAGAGCCGTGTGGCTCCTGACGTGCCGCGCTACGTGAGGGGTGACCCGGGGCGGCTGAGGCAGATCATTCTGAACCTCGTCTCCAACTCAATAAAGTTCACCCAGAGGTGAGTCAGCTTTGGCATGTCACTCTCTGTTAGCAGATCATTATTTTTCGGCAGGACAAAGTGACTTTTTAGTTGATTTTGAGACGTCTCAAAAGTGACTTTTTAGTTGATTCAAAAGTCGTCCCCCACCTCCCTTCCCCCCCCCCCACCTCGCTTTCTCCCACCTCCCTTTCCCCCCACCACCTCTTGTGCCGCTCTCTCCCACCAGCGGTGGCATTCGAAAGTTGATCAGCTATGCTGCAGACGACGAGAGCGCCCACATGCATGCTGTCACCGTTTTTGAAATTGTTTTTTTTTGTTTGTTTGTTTTTCCCAACAGTGGCGGCATCCAGATTGTGATCCGCCGCGCTACAGAGGACGAGGTTGCGCGTGTGCGCAAGACTAGAGGTCAAAGTGACTACTGGGTCGGCTCAAAAGTCATTCCCCTCCTCCCGTTCCCCTCTTCCCCACCAGTGGCGGCATTCAGATTGTGATTCGCCGCGCTACTGAGGACGAGGTTGGCTCAAAGTGACTACTGGGTCGGCTCAAAAGTCATTCCCCTCCTCCCGTTCCCCTCTTCCCCACCAGTGGCGGCATTCAGATTGTGATTCGCCGCGCTACTGAGGACGAGATTTCCCGCGTGCGCAAGACTAGAGCTGCTACTGCCGTGGCTGCAGCGGGAGAGGCCGCAGATGCAGGTGCAGACGGGGAAGGAGGAGCAGGAGGAGCAGGGGGAGCAGGAGGAGCAGGGGGAGCAGGAGGAGCAGTTGCAGAGATAGGGGGCCCAACAGCGGGAGCAGCAGCAGGAGCAGCAGCTGCAGCAGCAGCAGCTGCAGCAGCAGCAGCAGCGGGCGGAGTGGGAGGAGGGAACGGTATGGCGGATGCAGGGGGTAGTAGGAAGGCTGATCCTGGGGGGGTAGGGGAGGAGCCTAGTGCGAAACGCAGGCGTGTGGATGGGTTAACAGGGGTGGGAGAGAGGGGAAAAGGGGGAGCAGCAACGGGGGGTAAGGGGGAAGAGGCAGCAGGGGCAGCAGGGGAGGGTATGGCGCGACAGGAGGACGGGTTGGGAGGGGGAGGGAGTGGATTGGAGGAAAGAGTGGGCGAGGGGAGGGGAGAGGAGAGAAGGCGGAAGGGAAGAGGGGAGGAGACGGAGGGTGACTCAGAAGACGCGGAATTCGGGGAGAGCGATAGAGAGGAGAAGGGCGGTGGTGTGGTTGATAGGAGAGAGGCAGGAGGCGAGGGAAAGAAGGGAGGAGAAGGCGGGAAGGGAGAGAATAGCAGAAGAAATGGAGGGGCTACTACTGTGCAAGGAGAGAAGGGGGAGGAGGGGGCAAAGGGGAAGGGGGAAGATGGGGAGGGCGAGAAAGGGGAGAAGGGGGAGGGGGAGGAGAGGGTATGGATGACGTTCTGTGTGGTGGATACTGGCATGGGCATCAGTCAGGAGGCCTGCTCCAGGCTGTTCCGTGCGTTCATGCAGGTATGTATGGGGGCGTCAACTGGGCTTGGTGAAAGGTATGGGGGCGGCAGACTCACTACTCGCACACATCTTCACTCCTCTCAACCACTCCTCAGCACTGTGTGGTGGTCACTGGCATGGGCATCAGTCAAGAGGCCTGCTCCAGGCTGTTCCGCGCATTCATGCAGGTATGGGGGGACGTTGACTGGTTAACCTCATGGGGGGGAGGAGGGGGCTGATCTGGGAGGGGCTAAGCTGGGTGGGGGCAGGGTGTTTTGAGTTGATCTCCTTCAACACTCTTCGCTCCTCAGTCACCCCAACAGGGAGATGGCTCCACCTCTCGCCGCTACAGGGGCACGGGGCTGGGCCTGCGTACGCTCAAACCCTTGTCCTCCTAAACCCTGCACTCCCCCGTCCGCCCTCTTCCCATCCCCACAGGGCGACGCGTCCACCTCTCGCCGCTACGGGGGCACGGGGCTGGGCCTGGCGATTTCCAAGTCGCTGGTGAACGTCATGGGGGGGACATTCACGTGGGGTGAGGGACGCATGCAAGTGGGGTGGAGGCAGGGCAGGGCGGGATGCTTTGAATCGTTTTTTCCAACTTCACACACTCCACTCCCCTCCCCCACCCTCCCTACCCTCCCCTCCCCTCTTTCCCCTCCGCTGCCCACCCGCCCACTCCCCACCCGCCCACTCCCCACTCACAGGGTGACGCCTCCACATCCCGTCGCTACGGGGGCACGGGGCTGGGCCTGGCGATTTCTAAATCCTTGGTGAACCTCATGGGGGGGGACATTCACGTGAGCAGCCAAGTGGGCGCCGGGTCCACCTTCGCCTTCACCATCCAGCTGCCCGTCTCAACTGCCCAGCTCTGTGCTCTCGCAGGGAATGGTGGGCTCATGGCCCGAGATGACTCTCTCGCAGGTGAGGCCTCCTCAAAGGGAAGAGTCTTGTGCTGGTGGTAGCAGGTTAGGGACTCTGCTTCTCGGCTTGCTTCTCGGCTGTGGGGTGAGGCGCCCCGACCCGACTCAGCCTTCACCATTCAGCTGCCCGTCTCCACGGCGCAGCTCTGTGCGCTCGCTGGCAACGGCGGGCTCATGGCCCGAGACGACTCTCTTGCAGGTGGGTTTCTGACCTTCGGTATCTGTCGTGGGAGTGGGGGTGTGGGAGCGTGGGGGCGTGAGGGCGGGTTCAAAGGCCAAGTGGGCGCCGGGTCCACCTTCGCCTTCACCATCCAGCTACCCGTCTCCACGGCGCAGCTCTGTGCTCTCGCGGGGAACGGCGGGCTCATGGCCAGAGACGACTCTCTCGCAGGTGGGTTTCTATCTATCTCTATCTGTATCAGTTCATAGGCTGTGGGGGCTGACTCGACTAAGAAACTGACGCATTTTTTTAATGTCTCAAAACTCATGGCCAGATAGGACTCACTGGCAGGTCAGTTTCTCACTTTCTCTATCTGTGTCGGTTCATAGGCTGTGGGGGCTGACTTGCCTAAGAAACTGACGCATCTTGAGCAAGGACATGGGAAGGGGGAGGCAGAGGCACGTCACGCTCAAACGACCTCCTTCACATGTTCTCGCTGCTGCACATCCACTGCTCCCTAATCTCTCTATCTCTCGTTTTTTTCTTCCCCCCTGCTTCTCCTTTTGCTGCTAACCTCTGCCGTGTGTGCAGGTTCGTCAGCCGATGCCTCAGGAGCCGGGACATGCGGAGGGGGAGGCGGAGGCAGATCACGAAGCGGAAGATCTGGCACCGCTGCTGCCGCCCCTGCTACAGCCGCAGCCGCTGCCGCCCCCACTGCTGCACCGGGTTTTTCCACGGGGGGTGAAGGAGGGTTAGGGTTGGGGTGTGAGGAGGAGAGGAAGAAGAGGAGGAAGGAGCTGGCGTGCTTGATAGCGGAGGATAATAAAGTGAACCAGATGGTGGTGGTGCGCATGCTGCGGGGGCTGGGCGTGGTGTCTGACGTGGCTTCGAATGGGGAGGAGGCGCTGCGGGCGTGCGAGAAGAAAGACTATGACGTGGTGTTCATGGTGGGTGGTGTTACTCACTCATTCCCACAATCACTCCCTCACTCCCTTCCTCACTGACTCCCTCACTCACTCACGCACTTGCCCGCGGGTTCTTGAGAGGTCTGAGAGGCTAGTGAGAGCTGAGAGTTTGCTTGATAGCGGAGGATAATAATGTGAACCAGATGGTGGTGGTGTGCATGCTGAGGGGGCTGGGCGTGGTGTCTGACGTGGCTTCGAATGGGGAGGAGGCGCTGCGGGCGTGCGAGAAGAAAGACTATGACGTGGTGTTCATGGTGGGTGGTGGTTACTCGCTTGCCAACTCCCTCACTCACTCACACACACTCTCAGGGCGTGTGAGAAGGACTACGACGTGGTGTTCATGGTGGGTTGGGTTTCTTATGTCACTCACTCACTCACTCACTCACTCCCTCACTCCCTTACTCATTGCCACTCAGAAGTCCCGAAAGAGCTGTGCTATATGAATGCGCCTCACTGTCCCCCTTCCCGCCCCACCTTCCTTCGCTCTCATCCCCGTCCCACCCCTGTTTCCTTTCTGTTTCTCTCCCCCTCTCGGGACTGCCACATGCTGGTGATGGCTGGCTTCACTGCCACTCAGAAGCTTCGTGAGAGCTATACCATATGAATGCGCCTCATTGCCTTCCCCCATAACTTCTCCCACCCATCCCCCAACCCCCTATTCCCCCACCCCAACCTCTCAGGACTGCCATATGCCAGTAATGGACGGATTCATCGCCACTCAGAAGATCCGCGAGCTTCCCACTGTCTGGGAAACTGCTGGCGACGCCGCTACAGCTGCTGCTACAGCTGGAGCCACAGCTCCTGCTGTGGACGGCGCTACACCTGCTGCGACAGCTGCTGTTGTAGCTGCTTGTTCAGATGGTGCCACATGCATGGATGAAGAGAAGTTGGCTCGGAAGGGGAGTAAAGGGGCTAAAACGGCAGATGGGGGAGGAGAGAATACCATTGGCACGAGTGGCAAGCCTAGTAGTCAAGGCATGGATGTTGTTGACAAGTCGAATGCGGATGGTGGTAGGGGGAGTAAAGCAGCGGATGAAGTAAGAGACGGGGCTGGGAAGGGGGGTCAGGAGAGGGAAGGGGATGGGGAGGAGTGGAGGCGGAGGAAGGGGACTGGGTCGAAGCGGAAGCGGCCGTATATCGTGGCGCTGACTGCGAGTGCACTCATGCACGAACGGCTCAGATGCACCGAGGTGAGTGGATCGGCGGTTGGCGCATGCATCATCTCCTTCTTCCCTTTCTCCCCCTTCCCGTTCCCCATCCTTCTCATCATCTCTTCCCCTGCACATTTAACACTCATCTCACAGGTGAGCATGGACCACTTTCTGACCAAGCCTGTGCGGTTGAGATGGCTTCGTACAATGTTTGAGTCGACTCAAATACTGTATTGGCACCCCGTTCTCTCTTTTCTTGCACATTCCAACCCCCAATCGCAGGTGGGTATGGACCATTTCCTGACCAAGCCTGTGCGGTCGAGCGAGCTGGATGGGTGGTGCAGCAGGTGGGCAGCGGAAGCCCCCTTCCCCCTTCCAATCCTTTTCCTGTCTCCAACCCAGCCCCAACCCAATCTCTTACACCACCCCACCGACACCCCAACCACAGGTGGGAATGGATCACTTTCTGACCAAGCCGGTGCAGTCGAGTGTGCTGGATGGGCTGCTGCAGGAGGTGGAGGGGCGGAAGGCCCCCTTCCGCCTTCCCCTCTTCCAACCCTACCTCCTATCTATCTCCACCCCAACCCTAACCCCCAATCGCAGGTGGGTATGGACCATTTCCTGACCAAGCCGGTGCGGTCGAGTGAGCTGGATGGGCTGCTGCAGCAGGTGGAGCGGAGAAAGCTGATGCTGGAGCAGGGCGAGGAGCAGGAGAGGAGGGCAGAGGAGGAGAGGAAGGGAGAGAAAGGAAACGAGGGGGAAAACAGAGGGGAGGATGGAGGAGAGAAAGGGGAACAGGAATGTTTGAGGTGAGCTGGATGGGCTGCTGCAGCAGGTGGAGCGGCGGAAGCTGATTCTGGAGCAGCGCGAGGAGCAGGAGATGGGGGCAGAGGAGGAGAGGATGGGAGAGGAGGAGAGGAGGGAAGAGAAGGGAAACGAGAAGGGAAGCAGAGGTGAGGATAGAGGAGAGGAAGTGGAATGGAGTGTTTGAGGTGAAGTACAGTATCACTTTTTCCCCCCCCATAGATTGGTCTGCACAGGTAGGACCAACCCTATTTTTTTTATTCCCAGTGTGAGAATAGGAAGGTGTTGCTGTTTTCATGTGGAGGTGAACTTACGGAGGGGGAGTTGTCACGGCAAGAGGGAATTGAGATTGGAGAAGGTGGGCCAAAGAAGTGGGTGGCTGTTGTAGCCAGATGATGGGTTTATATCAGCAGAGCAGCTACAGCTGCACAAATGGTCACTGGAACAGTGATAGCAGCAGCTGTTGCACAGCTACCCGGCTTTCTCCAACATACGCATCACATGTTCAGAATCACAGATTGACCTGCTGATATCTCATTTTCGCTCCTGAATTGGCAATGAGGAATCACAGATTTGAGATGGTTAGAGACTTGGTACCGGCACCTTATTTAGGAAAGGCTTAGGTGCCAGGCATTCTGTGATGCGGGACAGGAACAGGTGTTGGGAATGTACATACCGTATGGTTCAATAATTCTTCATTTTACCGTAGTTATTGTTGGCTTGTCTAACTTTTCAGATACATTCAGCTATCAAGATTCAACAATCTCCAGAGTGTATTCCCAGTTTATGAAGCATCTGTTACCGCAAGGCCTCGCAAATATACAAATTTCGTCAATCTAGACTTCGTGCACGTCTCGCCTGGGCAGGGACCTGCTTGCGAAGACCAGATGGCCGAATCACACGCTCACGGTTTCATTTCGTGGAGTTGCGAAAAAGAAAATGTCAAACCACCTGCGACTCGTCATCACCAGGCATCTGCGAGGCAGTGAAATGAAAAACCTACCCCAAACCAGCAGGCCAGCAGCTTGAAAAAGTTGGCATTTCCTCCTCACTCATGGGTGGCACCTTCCGCAAGGTTTGGAGCGAAGCTGCAGCGCCCATTGGCTAACAGCGGGTCCCTGGGGGCACCTGAAGCGATTCGCGAGTACCCGCTGTGGCTCCATTTTCCACTGTTACAGCTTTCTCTGGAACGCAGGTCCCCACCTGAGTCCCCCTGGCAGATCCAACCGCGCCGCAGAAAGGCTCTCCTGGGAAGCATCAATGAACAGCATCCCCGCGGTTCGGAGTTAAGCGCATGCGCGGCTCGAGGAAGCAAATGTTCCTGGTCAGATCGGATGGCTCCACGGGGGCACGCTGATTGGTGGCCGATTCGGCGTGGCAACAGAGGCTGAACCGAATTTGTCGGCCCGCGAGATTGGCTCCTGGGAAACGCCAGCGGTTGTGTGGGGTGGTGGGATGTGAGCGTTGTTGGCCAATGGGAAGCGCATGTACCTTGTTCTGTTGCTGGACCCCAGTACAAATAAATTCTTTACGAACCACTTTTTCAACAAAGCCATCGTTCCACCGCAGAAGACAAGGCATTGACCAGCAGCACCGTCCTTCCTTCTTCCTCTGTTGCCCATTGCCATTCAAGCGAGAAGCAGAATTTCCGCACCAAGACTTGCTGTAAAGGCACTCCGCTCTGCGCGTTACACAAGTACTGCATCTAGCTGTCTCCTCTCGACGAGCCTACTCGACCTAGATCCCCACATTTCCTTCAGCACTCCTGTGCGTTGAGCCGCATCGTGAGGCATCTCAAAAGCAGCCGTGGTCTCGGAGGCTCATTAAACTCGAATCTGAAAACTCCGCGTCTTTCAGAGCAAGCTAGCGTCGGCGTTTAACTTCACTAGAATCTATCCAGAGCGATCTCAAATGGCTCAATACTGGGCGTCGCGTCTCTCGTATCTCCTCGACGAATCATACGAGGAGGAGGAGCAAGCCATGCCCAACCCGCACCCGCCTCTCGGGAAACTCCCCCGCCCCAGCATGCTTCAAATCCCTGTCTTCAACCCGCCTCCGCCATCCCCCTCCCCGCTTCCGTACTTCTACCAGCCGCCGAAGCGCGTAGCGGCGCCGCAGCCCGCGCAGCCGCAGAAGAAGCAGCAGCGCCGGAGACGGCACAGAGTATGGGACGACCTCCCCACGCCGGTCGTGTACGAGAAGTACGAGCCGGTAGCGCCGGTAGCGGCGGCGGCGGCGGCGGCGGCGGGTGACAAGACGAGCCGCTCCGACGCGTTCACGGAGATTCCGCTGAGCAATCCTGTTTGCGAGGGGCCAAAGGCAAATATCTCACAACTCGAGGAGTCGCTGATTGTTCGCGCATCTGACGCGTCGCTCTCAACCTCCTCCTCCTCGTCTTCGGGAAGTTCCGACATGCGCCGCTTCGCTAATAGCAGCAGCTCCGATAGTGGGCGCAGCGTGAGCAGCGCGAGCAGCGCAGGCAGCAGCGAGCGCGGCGCAGTGTACAGTTTGGGCCGGAAGCAGCGCAGCCACAGGGACGGGTGCGTGTGCGTCGTCGACACCTCTCTCCTCTGGTCCTCCCTCTTCACCACACTCTTCCGCTCCCCTCTCCCGGCGCTCCCCGCGCCTTCCGCCGCAACCAGCGCCGCGCTTCCCGGACCAACTATCTACCCCGTACTTCTTTCCCGGCAGCCGTCTACAGCCGAAAGCTCTGGCTATGATCTCACATCACCTGCGCCTCGGGTGCCAAGCACAGACGCTGCCGAGCCGCAGGAGGTTTCTCATGGCATGAGAACGATCGCGGAGCTGATGGGATTAGATTCGGAGAAGCTACTGGTACAGATGGCTGGTTTGGGTAGAAGCCCCATGTCCGTACTTACGCCTACAGCCTCGGTGAAGTCGTCCGAACCTAGCCCGATCCTGCTGCCAATGGCTATTGCTTGGTAGCTTGTAACGAGTATGGAGGAAAAGGGATCTGGGGAAGAAGCATCGAGGGAATCGGAACGGAAAACTTACCACTGATGTGCAATAGTGTAGATTTGTGAAATAGCTACGCTGTATTTACATGCTTTCTGCTGAGCAAATCGCTCAGTAGAAGCTTTGCCCCCCTGCTGAAGTGGAGGGGCTTTGTATTAATGAATACAACATTCTTAACAAAGGCAGTTTTGTGGGATGGTTCTCTATAATTTTAAAGCGTTTAGCGAAACAAAACAATCAGTTGCACTCCCAGATCCTCAAAACATGTGATTCATATCGCGTTTGATAGGATGGCACACATTCGATGTTCCCAAGGTTGTCAGACAAGCCTGCCGTGTCTTCCAAACTTACCATCTATCAAATTCGACACACAGGCCATTTTCCTACTTCCTGATTCCAACGTGTCACACGTCTCACAAATTTGAAGGGCTTGAGCCGAGCAGAAACCGAGGCACCCATTCCGCGCCAGAAGTTGTGGTTGGGCTATGGCTGTGACTGGTTGTACTCGTTAGAATAGACCGCAAGATAGCTAGAAGCCTGTCGGTACTTCTAGGTAACCAGGAATACAGTCCCATCGTTCTAGGGTTAGTCTCACTCGTCATCTACGTTCGTAGACTTGTTGCAGAAACGTCACAAGCAGACTCGTTACAGTAGAGTCGTTACAGCGGATTCGTTACAACGGACTCGTTACGGACTCGTTACAGCGAATCTGCAATAGCGGATTTGTTATCACAGGGCGTCGGGGCCCATGGCGCAATGGGTGCTGGCGACGGTGCTGGGCGTCGTGTGGGCTATCAGCTTGCTCTACAGCGAGTGGATTCAGTTCTGGCTTCGACCGCCCAGCTGCTCCACGTGGCCGGACGAGAGTGTTCAGGTGAGTGTTCAGGTGAATGTTCTGGTGAAACTTCAGGTGCTCGGCGTCGTGTGGGCCAGCTGTTCTAACTTCTGCCACCCAACTGCTCCACGTGGCCGGACGAGGGCGTTCAGGATGGTGTTCAAGCTGCATGCCCACTCCACCATCCACCTCCTTTATTCAACTGGATTTTAATTATTTCTCAAAGTTGTCTATCTGTGTTTTGCGTGTTGTTATTTCAGGGTCAGTACATTCCTCCCAAGGAATACAAGACAATTGCGGTCATCAACAGTCCAAAGGTGGGCGCTACACTCTGTGTGCGTCATAAACATTCGATGCATTATATTTGACAAGCAATACTCACACGTACACGTTATAGACCATGCCTCTCGATATTCATCACTTCCAATGGATGATCCATGTTCACTTCACATCAGCCCTCCAATCAACAACCCCCTCCAACTCCTCCCAACCCAGGTACGTCGTCACTATATTCCATCCCCTTCCTAGCAAACCACAATACAGTCGAAACATTCACATCCCGGTCTCCTCCCCCCTTGCTTGCTCCCCTCAGCTCCTCCCAAGCTCCGCCCTGCATGCGGCACGGCTTGCCTCCTCAACGACCTCTATCTGCCCCAGTCTCAGAATCCACCTTTCTTTCCTTTCCATCTTCCCCTCTCCGTTCGTCCTTCCTTCCCCTCCCCTCCCTCTGCTTGCTCCCCCCCAGCTCCTCCCAATCACAGCCCTGCACGCACAGTTCATCACGGCTCGCAACGACCTCTATCTGCCCTTCCCCCCCCCCCCCCCCCCCCTTGTTACGGTCTTCCCCTTTCTCCCTCTCTCTCCCTCCTCCCCCCTCCCCAGCTCCTCCCCAGCACCGCTCTGCACGCGCAGTTCATCACGGCCCGCCTCCGCAACGACCTCTATCTGCGCCGGGCCTTCCGTGCCTCCGTGCTCCGGTTCTCCCCGAGCCTCGTTGTCACGCTCGGGGACCTTTTCCAGTCCGGAGCTGACGCCACTTACCCCCTGTAAGTCCCCTGTACCATGTGCCTTGTCCCATGTGCCATGTGCCATGTGCCATGTGCCATGTGCCATGTGCCATGTGCCATGTGCCATGTGCCATGTGCCATGTGCCATGTGCCATGTGCCATGTGTCATGTCCCATGTGCCATGTGCCATGTGCCATGTGCGTTTTGCCATGTGCCACATGTCATGTGCCATGTGCCACGTGTCATGCGCCATGTGCTAAAAAGAGCTCCATCCCCTGCCCATGTGCCCAAGCGTCCAGCCTCAATTCAGACGCTCAACCGCTTTGTTGACCAGCACACGCATGTGCCCTCCCACCTTCGCTTCATTCCCCATCCCCTCCTCCTTCGCCTCCCCTTCCCTTCTCGACCCTCACACTTGGGAGAGGCCTAGAGTGGTTCCCTTCCCGTATGTTCCACCCCCCCGCCTTCAACTCTGCTCCCTGTGACAGTTTTAGGGCAGAAGCGAGCTGCTACCACCACGTGTTCCAGACACACGACCCGTTTCTCGACCCTCACACCCATTCGCCCTCCCACGTCCGCCCATCCCCCCACCCAATACACCAGCTTCCGAGCAGAAGTGAGCCGCTACCACCACGTGTTCCAGACGCACAATCCTTTCCTTGACCCTCACACCTGGGAGAGGCTCAGAGTGGTTTCCGTATGTTCCCCGCCCCCCTTCAACTCTGCTCCCTGTGACAGGTTTCGGGCAGAAGCGAGCCGCTACCACCACGTGTTTCAGACACACGACCCGTTTCTCGACCCTCACACCTGGGAGAGGCGGCGGCGGCAGCAGATGGAGCGAGAGAGAGGGAGGGAGAAGGAGAGGGAGGATAGGGAGGGGGGGAAGGAAAGGGAGAGGGGGAAGGAATCAAAGAATGGCCAAGGAGGGGCAAATGAGGGGGGCCAACGAGTGGCTGGCTTGGGGAGGAGCGTTTGGGAGTGGCTGCAGGGAGGGCTGTGGTGGGGGAGGTGGCATTTGGGGGAGGGGGGAGTGAACGTGCACATGCGGACGGATCTGGCACAAGTGGCAGGGGAGAGAGACGTGGGATTCAGCAGCTCACAGAGGAAGCAGCACGAGGTGGGTGTGAGAGGGGGAAGGGGTGGTGGGAGGAAGGGAGTTTTGAGGTATCTCAAAACACGGAAGAGGAAGGGTCTCCCTCCTCTTCCGCGCCTCCTCTTCCGCGCCTCCTCTTCTTCCCTGTCCCACCTCTGCCTCTTCCCCTGCCTCACCTCCCCTCGTTCCATCAGTTGGCAGTGCGTTTTGAGCGGTATGTGGGGGCGCTAATCTGTTACCACCCACCACCACGACAAGGTGGGGGCGGTGAGGGTGGTGGGGGTGAGTGAACAGCCTCCCCCTCTCTGTTTCAACCTCCTCTTCTGTTTCCACTCTTTCTGCCTGTTTCCTTGCCCGACCCCCCTCATCCCATCAGCTGGCAGTGCGCTTTGAACGGTATGTTGGAGCACTGAACTTTCACGACAAGGTGGGAGTGGTGAGGGTGGTGGGGGTGAACGGGCTGGCAATGGACGGGCACAGGCAGCGCAACAACAGCACGAAGCAGCTGGAGGAATTCCTTCAGAGCCTCCCAGATCATGGTGAGATGATGTGCAATACTCCCTCAAGGTGGGGTTGGTGGGGGCGGTGAGGGTGGTGGGGTGGTGAGCGGTAATGGATTAGCAGCGCAACAACAGCACGAAGCAGCTGGAGGAATTCCTTCAAAGCCTTCCAGACCACGGTGAGATGCATTTCCTAGAGGCGGGGGTGGTGGTGGGTGGTGGTGGGTGGTGGTGGGTGGTGGTGGGTGGTGGTGGGTGGTGGTGGGTGGTAACAGATTAGCCGTGCAATAATAGCACACGGCATGACATGCTTATACTCCCTGTGATGGGTGGTGGTGGGTGGGCGTGGTGCAGTGGGGGCAGTGGGGATGGTGAGGGTGGTGGGGGGTGATGAAACTTTTATATGGGTGGTGGGTAGTGATGAGGCGCACGGCTTGGCAATGGAATGAATAGATGGAGATGATTGGTTCTTTTCCTGATTCTTGTCTGCTCCTCACTTCCTTCTCTCTTCCTTCTCCTCTCTTCAATGCGAAAGCTGCAGGTGCCTAGACCTCCTCACTCCCACTCATCTTCTTCTCCCCACGTCCGTCCGTTCTCATATTTTCGTCACCGTTGCTCTGTCGCAGGGGCCCACCAACCCCCGCTTCCGCTCATCCTCTTCTCGCACTTGCCGTTACACTCGCCCACCAACCTCCCCTGTGGAGCCAATGCACTGGGCCAAACAGTGGTGAGCTGACCATGCCTCTCTTGGATAACAGTGGTGAGCTGACCATGCCTCTCTTGGATAACAGTGGTGAGCTGACCATGCCTCTCTTGGATAACAGTGGTGAGCTGACCATGCCTCTCTTGGAAAACAGTGGTGAGCTGACCATGCCTCTCTTGGAAAACAGTGGTGAGCTGACCATGCCTCTCTTGGAAAACAGTGGTGAGCTGACCATGCCTCTCTTGGATAACAGTGGTGAGCTGACCATGCCTCTCTTGGATAACAGTGGTGAGAATCATCCCTCTCTGGATCACATGTGTGTTCCCTGGGAGAGGCAAGTGAGAATCGCATGTCCCACTTATGAGAATTCTCAGAAGTGATTCCAGCATGCCTCTGGAGGTGATTTTGTAGTAGACTCAATATTCAACTCCAAGTCACTTTTGAGAAATTTCCAGAGGACTTTTTGAGGTGTCACCATTACTTGTCCCAATCAACCAACCAACCCCCTCTCTAGTCTCGTCCTAAGTGGCTTAAATGCAATAAGCCTCTCCCTCCCTTCTCTTTTCTGTTGCTGTTTGTCTCTGCAGGACTGGGACAACGAGGGGGAGGTTAGGTGAGCTCTCTCTCTCTCTCTCTCAGCGCCACACTCACACTCACTCGCTCGCTCACTCACTCATGTGCATAGCTAACCGCTTCCACACCCACATGGTTGTTCCTCTTCTCTTCCCCCTACCCTGCACACATATCATCTTCTCTCTTCCCCTTTCCCTCTTCCCTCTTACCCTCACCCCCCAGGTATCAGGACTCCATATCCAGGGAAGGGTCAAACCACCTGCTGCAGCTGACGCATGGGTCAACTCTAAAGTCGCCTCTCCGGCTCTCTCCTTCCCCCTAACCCTCTTTCCCTCACCCCCCAGGTATCAGGACGCCATATCCAGGGAAGGGTCAAACCACCTGCTGCAGCTGCTCCGACCAGTATGTGCATTTGCTGGGGAGTTATGGAGATTTGGGAGAATGGGGAGGGTAGGATAAAGGGAAGACATGTAAGGGTGAGAATAGGGCAGTTAGAGCTAAGACTGAATATGCTCCGTCTCCTTTTTGAGTCGACTCAAAAATCGACTCACTATATGCTCCGTCTCCTCATGCAGTTTCCCCTCACACCCCCTCTCTCTTCATGTCCCCTGTTTCCTCATGTCCCCTCGCCCCTCACACCCCCTCTCCCATCCCAAATGCGCAGGCTCTGGTGGTGTCAGGGCATGCAGAGGTCACCTGATGGCAGGCAGGGCTTCAGTCATTCATGTGTTGCCTTAAGATACACCCTTCCCATCCCTTTTGAGGCGCCGCAAAAAGCGATTTTTGAGGCGCCTCAAAGATACACCCTTCCCACCCCTTTCTCCCCACTCTCCTTTCCTCACGCTACACTCACAGGCTCTGGTGGTGTCGGGGCACGCAGAGGCCACCTGATGGCAGCAGCGGCGGCAGGTGTGGAATAATTTAGAAGCACACCCTTACCATCCCTCTTACTACTCTCCGCACCGTCTCTTCCCCAAATGCGCAGGCTCTGGTGGTGTCAGGGCATGCAGAGGCCACCTGCTGGCAGCAGCGGCAGGTGGAAGGGACGCCCAGAGGGAACAGCAGCTCTGGTGGCCGTGGCCCGTGGAACGTCATTGAGGTGGGTTGATGGGAAGGGGTGGGGAGGGTAGGTGGGTCAAGCCTCAAGGTGCCTCACTGATCAGCTCGCTTGGGGCTGCTGCTGGTTCTGACTCTTGAGACGTCTCAAAAGTGGTTCTGACTCCTGGGATGTGACTAATGACTCGACTCAAAAGTCTACTCCTGCGATGTGATTGATGTGAAGCTAGTTCTGGCTGCTGCAGGTAAACGAGTGAGCTCTCGATTCGATTCTTTCACACCATGCTCCTCGTGAGCTCCTGGGACTTATGCATGTTTTGTGACACGAGGAGTGGTTTCTAGCTTTCTTCTCCCATCTGTCTATCAATGTGCGTTATGAACGAAGGAACGATTTTCATGTGTGTTAGGCCTGTTTCCTTCCCTCCCTCTCTCCCGTGTGCGTGTGTCTCTGCAGCTCTTCCTCCCAACATTCAGCTTCATCCACAGCACACACGCCACCGCCGACCCTCCTGCCTGTGTGTGTCTCAGTGTGTTGCCCACTAATCGCCGTCTCCCCCACCTTCTCCCGACACTCCTCTCCCACCTCCCTGTGTGTGCAGCTCTCCCTCCCAACATTCAACTTCATCCACAGCACCCACGCCATCACAGACCCGCCTGCGTTCCTGCTCATCACCGTTCCCCTCGACCACCACCCCCATGGAAGCCACCAAGAGCAACCAAACCAGCATAAAGCGACGCTGGGGGCAGCGTCAGTGCACGTGCAGCTGTGTGTGCTGCCCACCCAGATTCTCTTTCCCCCCTGGTATGTCTGCGGTGATTTCCTAGTCGACCCAAAAGATCATTTGAATATTCTCTTCCCCTCTTCTCAAGGCTGCGTTACTTACGCTTCTTTCTCCCAGCAGGCATGTTGTTTTTTGTTTCCAGATTTTGGTGGTCCTTGTTTCCAGTTTCTTCTTTCTGGAAGCATGAACCTGGAAACTTTCCACCAACCTGGGAACTTGTTGTTTTCTGCTTCATCATCTCAACTTTGTTCCCCCCTCCCCGCTGCTCTCCTCCCAACCCCTTTTCCTTCTCTCTTTCTTTCCCTTTCTCTCTGCACCCTCCTCCCCCCCCAGGTATTTCCTGCTCTCTCTCCTCTCCGCCCTAGCCTTCCTCCTGCTGCCCTCACGAGGCGTCTCCTGGGCGTCCCTGGCAGCGCTGGCAGCACGTGTGGCAGCAGCGAGCAAAGAGGCGTGGACGCTCCCCAAGCTGAAGGTGGACGGGGATTGGGAGGGGGAGCTGGAGCCCATGTTTGACACGGACGGCAACATGGTGCTTGTCAGGCGGGCGACTCCGAGACTTCCTGATACCATGCCCACTTCAGTCACATCCGATAGGAGGTGAGTTGGCCGTGGGCCGTGCTGAAAGCTGAGGAGGGGTGGGGTGGGGTGGGGAGGAAGAAGGCGAGCTGGAGCCCATGTTTGACACGGACGGCAACATGGTGCTTGTCAGGAGGGCGACTCCCAGGCTGTCCGATACTATGCCTTCCTCCATCTCCTCCGATCGAAGGTGGGTCTTGTTGGGGAGGTATGGGGCATGCTGAAAGCTCGAGGGGGACTGGGAAGTGAACGGGGATTGGGAGGGCGAGCTGGAGCCCATGTTTGACATGGATGGCAACATGGTGCTTATCAGGAGGGCGACTCCGAGACTCCCTGATACCATGCCCTCTTCAGTCACGTCTGACAGGAGGTGAGCCTCGACTATGCCCGTCCCTTGTCGAAAAGGTGTGGGCCGTGCTGAAAGCTGAAGGCGGACGGGGAGGGGGAGGGCGAGGTGGGGCCCATGTTTGACACGGATGGCAACATGGTGCTTGTAAGGAAGGCGACTCCCAGGCTGCCCGACACCATGCCCTCTTCAGTCACGTCTGGCAGGAATTGAGTTCCCACGTCTCTTCAGTTGTGCTATTAGAAAGGAAACTTCAGGCACTACCAGGTGCAGTCCATGAGGACTTTTTTACCCCTCTGTGCTTGCATGATCATTAACTAACTTCTATGCATCTTGTCTCCTGCTTTTGATTCCATTCTCAGACCCGGCGGAGCACAGCTAAGGGCGTCCAGGCAACAGGGGTCGCATGATTCGTTAATGGACGCTGGTGGCAGCTCCGGCGTTCCTCGAATTGGATCATTCACAGACGTCTCAAGAGACGGTGCTACAGCATCTGGAGGTGGTGGTGGTGGTGGTGAATCAGGAGGCGATGGGTTAATGGCGACGATTGCCAAGGGGACGAATCTAACGCCCAAGATTGTTCTTCTTCGCTTGCTGCGGGCGATAGGGCCGCTTACTCTACTGGTGGGCAGCCAGCTTGCTTTGTATTTGGGGCTTCTCGCCAAGGACTGGAGCTAGGATTGTTTTGCTGCATGCGGTGCATACAAGTGCCCTGAAATTTGTAATACTGGTATGAACCAGGGAGTCTGCTTGGAAACCTATTAGTTTTGATGTGTAATAATGTTGATTCGTAATCATAAACATTCAGTATTTCAATGCTTCACTTGTTCCTCTTAAGTATCGGACTGCGGGTATCGAGCTCGCATACCATTGGTCACCTCCCTTCACGTAACATATGACGTGGTTAGCGTCAGATCCACGCTTCAGAGGACATTGTGATGTCAGCAGAAAAAGAGGGACACTTCCAGGTTCGCAAGTACCTGCCACACCATACGTCGTTACCAAATCTCTCCTTTTTCGTAACCACTTCGCAAACGCTTGGCCGTGTCTTATTGGCCTGAAACTGCTTTCCCGAAGCGGTAACATTTGCTACGGTTTCGTCGAACAAAACACAGGGAGCTTCGGATTCGGGCAGTAGTCCTACTAAGCCACTAGGAGAGGAAATGACGAATCGCCCTGTTTACGAGTTTCCGATTCCTTTTGGCAGAGGTTTTGACACCGCCTTGCTTTTCCGCTCGCGTCCGATTCCTTGGGGCAGTTTTTTTCGAAAATACAAAATTCCTTTGACCAGTGACATTATAAAATATACTTGGCAAAAAATAAACCCCTCTCAGAGGCTGGCCATTTGGGAGGGATCAACCTTAAACACCTTGCCTCATGGTGTTTAGGGTTGATGCCTCCCAAATGGCATGCCGTCCGTGAGGGGTAATATATTTTTTGTCCCGAGTTGCTCGTTATTGACGCGACGATATAATTTAGGATATCCCACAAATAAAACAGAATTTAGTCTCCGGACTCAAAAGGGAAAATAGCGTAATTATCTGACCGAAGTTATCAGACGCGAGCGCAAAACAGGACGGTGTCAAAACCACTGCCGAAAGGAATTGGAAACCCGAGAATAGGGCGATCCATCATTCCCTCCCACTAGGAACACACACTGATTCCAGCTGATATATTCTCGAAATTCACGATGCATTACTTAGATTTTGGTCTTGCGCTGAGCTATCCCGTCAAGAGACACGAGTCCTCGTCCCGCGTTGCTCGTAGTAGCTTCTCCTTCAACAAATCGCCAGCGACGCGCGCTGCTCGTTCCCGTGGCTCGCGCGCGACCAGAGCCTAGAATCTACGTGCTGCTACGTACCCCTCTTAGCGGCATAACCAGTTACCCTCGAGCCTCATATTTTTATCAAAATTGCTCGAATACGGAAAATTGCTAATATAGGAGCGTGACCGCAGCAGCGTTCTGTCCGAAGAGGGGTAATTCAAGAGCGAGTGGTACTTACCCGCACCGCTGGTAGTACTATCAGCAGCCCTCGATGGCGCGCCGCTCCTTGGTTCAGCTCCTGCGACGAGCGTCGCCAGCGTTTCGCAGCCCGTCGCCAGCACTTTGCAACCCTTCGCGACGCGAGCTCAATCATTCGCCATCATTATTTCCCCTACCGCTGTCCCCCGCCTTGTATCACTCCGCCTCCTCCGCTGCCTCCACTTCCTGCTCCGCTTTCTCCGCCTTCCCCCCCTGCTCCTCCGCTTTCTCCGCCGCGTCTTCCGCACCCTTCGCCGCGTCCCCCACCGCTGCCGCCTCGTCGCCGCCAGACGGCGCAGTCGATGCGTCCACGGCTGGGGCGCACCCGTCCATAACCTCCTCACACAACCTCACGCCCCACCAACTCGATTTCCGCGCCTTAGCTCAGGTAAACACGGGTGGGCTCAGGTGAAGTTTTGGATTTTCGCTGTCCTTCTCTACCCAAAGAAGAGCAGTTGAGGTATCCACCGGGGGGGCGCACGCGTCCATCGCCTCCTCGCACGGCGTCACATCCCACCAGCTCGACTTCCGCGCCTTGGCTCAGGTAATTTCGTTTTCTTCCGGGATTGCGCCAGTGAAATACCGTCGACGCGTCCACGTGCAGTGAAGCCTCACGCGTCCATCGCCTCCTCGCACAGCCTCACCCGCCACCAGCTCGACTTCCGGGCCCTCGCTCAGGTGAACTCGGGTGCTTCCGCCCTGGCCCTGGAAGGAACTGAGCAATTCAGCTATGGACGTGGAAAGGACACTGGATATCTCAAGGTGTTTCAGCTGACACGTGGCACGTCCACGTGCTGCCAGCTCATGTGTCCATCGCCTCCTCGCACCACCTCACGCCTTCCAAGACACCTCGCACCACCAGCTCAGACTTCTGCGCCCTCGCTCAGGTAAGCTCCTTTGGGCTTACGCGCTTGCGCCAGGAAGGAATCAGGAGGCAATCCCGTGTGCGTTCGCAGCAGGGGCGCACCCGTCCATCGCCTCCTCACACCACCTCGCACCACCTCGCACCACCTGCTCGACTTCCGCGCCCTCGCTCAGGTGAACATGGGCGCCTCCAGGTTAGCTCGTGTGGTGCCTCAAGTGGTGGCTCAGGTGGTTCAGGTGACCCAGGTGGTGGTTCAGGTGGCTCAGGTGGTTCTTGTGTTTGAATGAGCTGGCTCAAAAGAGCGGCATATTTCCCCAGCTATCGCCCTCTCGCTCCGTGCCCCTTCACTTCCACTACCCCTCACCACCTCCCCCCCTCTACTTGCTTTCCTTCCTCTCTTGTGTTTCGCATCCCCTCCCTTTTCGCGAGCAGGACTTCGCATCCAATGAGCTGATGCCACGTGCAGCAGAGTGGGACGCACGGAAGCACTTCCCGGTGGACGTGCTACGCAAGGCAGCAGGGCTGGGTTTCGCTGCGCTCTTCGTGAAGGAAGACGTGGGGGGTTCGGGGTGAGTGGTGGTTTTGGTGGGGGAGTGATGCGGATTGTGGTGTGAAAATGGTAGTGGGTATCAAGGCGCCACACACCGGAAGCACTTCCCAGTGGACGTGCTGCGCAAGGCAGCAGGGCTGGGCTTCACTGCTCTCTTCGTGAAGGAAGACGTGGGGGGGTCGGGGTGAGTGGTGGTGGTGGTGGGTGGCTGGTATAAACACTGCGTCACTGGTTGCGAGTATTCCAGCACCGCTCATCAGCAGAAGCACTTCCCTGTGGACGTGCTGTGCAAGGCAGCAGGGCTGGGCCTCGCTGCCCTCTTTGTCAAGGAAGACGTGGGGGGGTCGGGGTGAGTGGTGGTGTTGTGGGGTCACTGGGGTTAGTTGCTTGTGTCAAGGTGTCGCACACCAGAAGAATGGCTGGGGTGAGTTGCGGTGAGTTGCGGTGAGTGATCCAGTTGTGAGGGCGCCACACACTAGCAGCACCACTTCTCAGGGTGATTTGGGATGCTTGCGGCAAGGCAGCGGGGCTGGGCTTTGCTGCTCTCGTCGTGAAGGAAGACGTGGGAGGCTCGGGGTGAGTGGTGGTGCTGTGGGGTCACTGGGGTTGGTTGCTTGTGTCAAGGTGCCGCACACCAGAAGAAGCACTTAGCTGTGCAAGGCAGCAGGGATGGGATTTGCTGCTCTCTTCGTGAACGAAGACGTGGGAGGGTCGGGGTGAGTTGGGATGCTAGATGGCTGGTACACATTGCGAGGCTGATTGCGTTGCGGGTATACCGCACACCGGAAGCACTTTTCGGTGGACGTGCTTCGGAAGGTGGCAGGGCTGGGCTTCGTTACCCTCTTTGTCAGAGAAGGCGCGGGGGGGTCAGGGTGAGTGGTGGTGTTGGTGGGGGAGTGATGCGGATTGTGGTGTGAAGGCGGCAGGGCTGGGCTTCGCTGCTCTCTTTGTCAGAGAAGACGTGGGGGGGTCGGGGTGAGTCGGTTGAGATTTATTTGGATCACTGGGAGTGATTGCTTGCATCAGGGTCGATTTTTTAGGCGCCTAAAAAATTGTGTCAGTTCACGCGGTTTTTGAGGCGCCTAAAAAATCGTCTCAGTTCAAGCGGTATTTGGATCACTGGGAGTGATTGCTTGCGTCAAGGTCGGGGTGATTTTCTGCCACATGTCACACTTCCCTCGCTCTTGCCACCTGCCACGTGTCATGAGCAGGTTGGGCCGGGCTGACGGGGCAGTGGTGTTTGAGGCGTTGGCGCATGCTGACGTCAGCACAACGGCGTATCTCACAATCCACAACATGAATGCGAGCATCATCGACAGGTGGGGGACAGGTGTGACGACGTGGCAGGGATGGGCGTGATGAAGTGGCAGGGATGGCGTGATGACGTGGCAGGGATGGGCATGATGATGGTAATCATGTGCTATGGGCAGTGGGTTTGAAAAGCGAAAGATAAATGTTCCAACTTCTCCCAACTCACCTCCCCTTGTCCTGTCTCTATACTTTTGTTTTTCTTCTTCGCGTTGTCTGATTTGATTCGATTCAACTTCTCTCACCCAATGAGTTCTCTCTCCTGCTTGGCTCATTCCATTCAAATTGAACCTGCTTAATGTTGACTGAATCAGGTTCGGATCGGAGGAGCAGCGGCAAAAATGGCTACCAGCCCTGGCAACAATGGTGGGTGGTTGCACACTGCACCGCATTCCACCACATTGCAAAGCTCTGTATCGCCATACCCATGGGTTCTTCCCCACCAAAACCCTATGCAATAGACCCAACATAAATTCTCCTGTTACTTTTGAGAATTCTCAAAAGTCACACCAACTTACTCTTCCTCCACCCCCATCCCATGGGGAGCACCTCATCTCCTCATTGCTTCACAGAACCTGGCAGTGGTAGCTTCGCTGCTATCCAACACCCACTCCCTTATGCTTGTTTCAATATGGATGCACTCATTACCACCATCCTGTACACTTATAATACAGTCATTATATGGGTGCTCCTATTGAGACGATATTTTAGGCGCCTAAACAAATCGTGACCACCATCCCGTGCGCGATTTTTTAGTCGACTAAAAAATCACCTCTTGTTGCGATACAGTCATTATATGGGTGCTCCTATTGCCCTCCTCCCTCCACCACCATCCCATGGGCAGGACCTCTTCTCCTCGTATTGCCTCACGGAGCCTGGCAGCGGCAGCGATGCAGCTGCTCTCAAGGTGAGACATGGGACCGGATGGCATGCCATGGTGTGGTACAGTACGGTACGGCATGGCATCCCATGGGCAGGACCTGCTGTCTCCTCCTACTGCCTCACGGAGCCTGGCAGCGGTAGTGATGCTGCTGCTCTCAAGGTGAGACATGGGACTGGGTGGTATGGCACTGCACTTCATTCCACCGCATTGCACCTCGCTTCACCGTTGTGAACCGCTCTGCACCGCCTGCTATGCGCCTCTATGCGCATAGAGCATGGAGCAGGACCTCTTCTCCTCGTATTGCCTCACGGAGCCTGGCAGCGGCAGCGATGCCGCTGCTCTCAAGGTGAGGATGGGGAGTGGGTGTCATGGCACAGGCATGGCACAGGCATGGCACGGGCATGGCATGGGCATGGTACGGGCATGGCACGGGCATGGCACGGGCATGGCACGGGCATGGAACGGGCATGGCACGGCATGGCACGGGCATGGCACGGTATGGTATGGCATGGTATGGGATGACATGGGATGGCATGGGAAGGCATGGGATGGGATGGCATGGAATGGGATAGCACAACACAGCATGGCATGGCATGGAATTGCAAGGCAAGGCACGGCACGGCAACACAACAGTCTAGGTTCGATTTCCCCGTTTGACTCAAGATGAGCCTGTGCGTAGCCGTTACAAAGGCGTGCATTTCCTCCTATTGTAACCTCTGTGACTGCCTCTGCCTGCCTTACCCTGGTTAGGCTGTACTCTGCGTTGGTTTGCACCAAGGACACCATATTAAAACTTCAAAGCATCAGTTCCCGGCTTTGCACTTTTAATCCGCTTCCACTACAGACCACGGCGAGGCAGGCCACCGGCTCTACAGATTACATTCTGAATGGATCCAAGGTACCTCCCTTCTCGCACCCTCCCTCCCTCCCTCCCGCCCTCCCTCCCTCCCTCCCTCCCTCCCTCCCTCCCTCCCTCCCTCCCTCCCTCCCTCCCTCCCTCCCTTCCTCCCTTTCTCCCTCCCTTAGTCCCTTCCTCCCTTCCCCCCCTCAATCCCTCCCTCCCTTCCTCCTTCCCCCCTCACTCCCTCCGTCCCTGCTCGACAGTGTTACGTGTCAATCTTGTTGCTCAGTCCACTAAAATACTTTCAGTGGACATGGGTCTCTTGTTGGCTGTAAAGAAGGATGCGGTGAGTGCCAAGATACATGCACCAGAATTATGCGTAATGCGTACTCTTTGTACTGACAACCTGTTTCTTGTCAGGTTTGTTTTCTTTAAGAGGGTTTGTCAGTTCCAATTAACTCTGTCCGGAACTCTATCCTCTACATACGAATTTCAAATATATCTCTGTTTCATGTTGGGCGGCGCACGTTTGCAATAACGGCAAGGCACGAGGATTCTGAAGTTTGTCTTTGATTTGAGGATCATGTGATTCGTCTACTGTAACCCTGCTGCCCCTACAACATTCACTTTGTTCTCTTTGCTCTCCCCTAAAGAGAAGGGAAAGAGAAAAGGGAGAAAAGTGAACAAAGTGAACAAAGAGAATGTTGTAGGGGTAGAAAGGTTACAGTAGACGACTCACATGATCCTCAAATCGAAGACGAACTTCTGTATCCTCGTGCCTTGCCGTTATTGCAAATGTGCGCCGCCCAACATGAAGTAGAGAGATGTTTAGAATTCGTATGTAGAGGATGGAGTTCCGAACAGAGTCAATTGGAACTGACGAATCCTCTTGAAGAAAATGAACCTGACAAGAGGCAGGTTGTCAGTACAAAGAGAACGCATCATGCATAATTCTGGTGCATGTATCGAGGCACTCACCACAGCCTTGTTTACAGCCAACAAAAGATACCCATATCCACTGAAAGTATCCACGTAGCACTTTGACTAGACGCACAGACAGAGAGGGGAAAAATGACTATTGCCCCTCCTGCCTTACTCACCATCCGTTCCAGCCCTCCTCATGCTCCTTGTCTCCCTCTCATTCCACTGATCCCACAGGCGTTCATCAGTGGAGCAACGGCTGCTGATGTGTACGTGGTGATGGCGCGCACAGACGGGGAGGGGCCCAAGGGGATATCATGCTTTCTGGTGGAGAAGGTAGGTAGGAGTGCGTGGATGGCATGGGGCGAAGGGATGGGATAGTTTGAGATGTTCCGGGAGTGCTGCTGATGTGTATATGTGGTAATGGACAGATGGGGAGAGGGCAAAGGGGGTGTCGTGCTTTCTAGTGGAGAAGGTAGAGTGGGTTACGTCGAGGAGCAAAATGGGGTCCTGTTTTCGTGTACACGCAGAGCTCCCACTCCCACTGCTCGTGGTTGTTCTCCCAGACGTTTCTAAACTAGATGCCCGTGCCCGTACCCATGCCCGTGCCCCGCCCGTGCCCATGCCCGTGCCCATGCCTGTGCCCTTGCCCATGCCGATGCCCCTGCCCGTCTCTACGTCTATGTTGAATGATGGTGGTTGTTTGAGTGTGCACAGGGTATGCCCGGGTTATCATTCGGGCAGCTGGAGAAGAAGCTCGGGTGGAACTCACAACCCACTGCTGCAGTGAGTCAGACCCATCTTGTTACTGACGCACCACACCGCTTTGCATCGCATTGTACTGCACCGCACTGCACCCCACACAGCCCACTGCAGGGTTATCATTCGGGCAGCTGGAGAAGGAGTTTGGGTGGAACTCACAGCCCACTGCTGCGGTGAGTGACAGTGAAGATGAGCTGCGTACTGACGCACCGCACTCCACCGCGCATCACCCTACACAGCCCACTGCTGTGGTGAGCTGTGTGCCGCAACTGAGTGGGACCCGGCTAGTCCTTGCGTCATCTCAACCCTTAACGTCTCAACTCACAGCCCTCTGTTGCAGCGACAGAGAGTGGGGGTGAGAGGGAGGTGTGAGACCATGAGAGCATGTGAGCATGGGAGCTAAGGGTATGGGGTCCTAAGGTAACACAACTGAAGCCTGAACACACACACACACACACACTCACTCACACACACACACACACACTCACACACACACACACACACACACACAACAACAACAACAACAACAACCTCATATCAGGTCGTTTTGGAGGGCGTGAGAGTGCCGGCATGTTCGACGAAGCTCACTCAAGGGTCAACCCGCCTCTACATTCCTTCTACCTTTCGCCCCTTGTCATGTCATTTTGGAGTGACCTATCTCTACATCTCCTTGTATCTTTCTTGCCTTTTCAGGTCATTCTGGAAGATGTGAGAGTGCCGGCAAGTTTGACGCAACGGGGCGAAAGTACTTTGTATCGAGGGTCAAAGCAACTCTGCATTTCCTTGTATCTTTCTTGCCTTTTCAGGTCATTTTGGAAGACGTGAGAGTGCCGGCAGCAAACCTTATCGGGGGGAGGGGCAACGGCTTTCGAATAGCCATGACTGGGCTGGATGGGGGGAGGGTGAACATCGGGGCATGCAGGTGGGTGGGCTCCATGCGTGGTTTGGCTTTGCGTGGGTTCAACACGCTTCTTTTGCACATCGTCACTCTCACTCCTATCGCCATGTGAGCTCCACACCCTCCTCACCACCCCTGCAGGCTGTGTTGGCAGTGAGGGAGGGGTGCAGTTTTGTCTCGAGTATGCCCAGCAGTATGCAACAGAGCAGAGCAGGTTGGCATGCCATACCCACTTCTCCCTCTCTCCCCTCTCCACGGTTCTGTGCAGTGTGGGAGGGGCACAGTTTTGTCTCGAGTATGCCCAGCAGTATGCAACGGACAGGAAACAGGTAGGCTTGCTTGCACCACCCCTCTTCCTCCTCATTTTCCTCTCACCATCCATCTTTCTCCTTTTCCCCCACAACCCCTCTTCCTCTTTTCCCTCCCACCACCCTTCTTCCTCTTTTTCATCCCACCACCCCTCTTCCTCGTTTTCTTCCCACCACCCCTATTCCTCTGTTTCCTCGCTCCCCTCTTCCTTCTCTTTCTCCTCCCACCTCTCCTGCCTCTCTTCCTCTTTTCTCTCCCCACATGCAGTTTGGCAAGCGAATCACATCCTTCCAGAACACGCAGTTCCAGCTAGCCGACATCGCTTGACCTTCCTCCCTCTTAGATATTTTTACCGCTCTTCTCCTCGCCCTCTCTCCACCCACCTTTCTCCTCCCCCACATGCAGTTTGGCAAGCGACTCACAGCCTTCCAGAACACGCAGTTCCAACTGGCCGACATGGCAACAGCAGTGGAGGCATCGCGCCTCATGGTTCGCAGCGCTGCCACTGCTGTTGATGCTAAAGTGCCCTGGGCGACCACAGCTGCCGCCATGGCTAAGAGGTGAGTTCTTGGTGGGTGCTGGGTGGGTTTGGAATCAGCATGCTCTGACATGGCTACAGCGGTGAAGGCATCTCGCCTGATGGTTCGCAGTGCTGCCACTGCCATCGATGTCAAGGCGCCCTGGGCCACCACCGCTGCTGCCATGGCCAAGAGGTGGGTGCTGGGTGGGAGTGGGCTCAATTTTCTTGGTGTAATGGGGGCATCTTCCCCCAACTGTTGACATGGCAACAGCAGTGGAGGCATCTCGCCTCATGGTTCGCATGAGTGTGCAACTGGCATTTTGTGATTTGGTTCTTCCCATGGTTTGCAATGCTGCCACTGCCATTGATACGAATGCGCCATGGCCCACCATAGCGGCCACAATGAGGAAGAGGCGAGTAAAGAAGGGAGTCGGAAGGAGCGTAGTTATGAGACTTGGTCCCTCCCGTCCCCCACCCCTCCTGCTCTCTTGGCCCCTTCACGTGCCTCTCCCTGTTTCCCCCAGGTTTGCGACAGATAACCAGTTTTGAGACGTCTCAAAACTAGATTACTTACCAGGTAGTCAATCAGGTGTTACAGATGCTCGGAGGTTATGGGTTTCTGTAAGTTTTTTTTTGAGACGTCTCAAAAATCTACTTTCTACACGAGACGTCTCAAAAATCTACTTTCTACTCGAGACGTCTCAAAAATCTACTTTCTACACGAGACGTCTCAAAAATCTACTTTCTACATCAGGCGTTACAGATGCTCGGAGGTTATGGGTTTCTGTAAGATTACCCCGAACGTTGCTTTCCACCGTTTGTGTGTCTCTCTGTTTCCCCATCAGGTTTGCAACTGACAACTGTTACCAGGTAGCCAATCAGGCGTTACAGATGCTCGGGGGCTATGGGTTCCTACAAGATTACCCCGTACGTTGCTTTCCTCCCCCACCCCCCTCTGCATGTGGGTGTGTTTTTCCGCTCCTGTTACTGGGACATAATGTTTCCATATGTATTCTTATGCATACACACTCACACGCACGCATGCATGCACGCACACACACACACACACAAACCACACCTCCCCCTCCCCCCCCCACACACACAAACCGCACACATGCACACTCACACACACACACACACACACACACACACACACACACACACACACACACACACACACACACACACACACACACACACATGGTCGCGCATATGCCCTAACAAGCTATGCATGTATCCAACACATCGTTATACTTGTGTCTAGGTGGAGCGATACTTGAGGGATCTTCGAGTGCACACCATTCTAGAGGGGACAAACGAGATCATGCGCCTCATCATAGCACGCCGTCTCTTACAGCCATGATACTGCCATTATATTGCTGTCGCTGTACATATTGCTTGATGTACGATGCGTTAAACCACCTATTGTATATATTGCTTGATGTACTATGTGTTAAACCGTGGAAGAAGAGTATCGTTCTTACCGGTACCTCCCTAAAGCATGTTTGTACAAATGACATCCTGTCAGCCTATCATGAAGAAGAAGGGAATAGCACAGAAATGCACGAATTCAAAGAGACAAATAATGTGCACCATTGCAAACTAGCTTGGCAAGGGATAAAGCACAGCTGAGAAGGGCCGATACATTCACTATGAAGGTATCCGAGGGTGGGAGGAAATCTGAGAGTGATGCACGGTGGGAGGCAAGGAGGTCTGCGTTAGTACATAGTAGTCCAGATGGCCACATCTCTAACCAACCATAAAAAGAATACCTTCCATGTATTTGCAAAGTACCATATTGTGCAGTAAAGTGCGTTTCCTCGTATGCCGTCTGGATTAATGTGGGGGAAACAGGAAATGCCTCGAACCGAGAAACAGCCCGTACGACCCCTACACACCGCCGCACGTGCTTCTTGAGTTGAATGCATGGGTAGGGCCGGCAACAGCTCCTCCCGTTGGCTGAAACCTCAGCTTCAAGGAGACTGGATTGGAGGGGATCCTATCCCACCTGCGTTTGTGGATTGCGATTGGAAATCAAACACCTCAGTCAGCTTGGTCATCACTCGCCATAGCAAGTCATCAGCCGACAGCTGTACGACTCGCTTTGCTTTCTAGCCGCCCTGCATTGAATGCTTTGATTGCATGCTTTTATTGCATGTGAGATCGCTTTTTTTATGGGTGGTGCGGTGGAGTGGACAGGACACAATCTGGACTGGACTGAATTTTGAGCAGGCGGTGTGTTTGCCTTACCAGAACCTGACCGAGATGTTTGAGCAGGTGGTGAATTTTGATTTCTGCATAAGGGGAACCTCGACCCAGTCCCTCATTTGGAAGAGTGTCTGTTCTCCGAATACAATCTAGTGGCCTGGTGTGGTGTGGTGTGCTTGCCTTGCTGCCAGGGTAGTGGGGGACGGATGCGAGGCATGGCAGTGAACGAGCACACAGGGCGGTCGACTAGGCAGCTGGGCCACTTGTTCATGAGGAGGAGCCTTGGGGCTTTGTTGTACGCGAAACGAGGAATGGCGGTGGTACAGCATTCGGTAACCTTTTGAAAGCTACCATTGGGATCTGATCGACCTAGGAACAGCTACAGATCCGAGCGTTCGCCATCGTTCCATGGAATAACGAAGAGGCAGAGTGCTGTCGGCTGTGCTGCACTGGCTCGTGCTCTGGCATGGTCCTGAGAACCCTCATTCCAGAATCTGAACTGGTGTGGTGTGGTAGACCCATGATTTTATATATTCGCAGCACTTTAGCGCAAGATGCCCGCATCCGCCACTGGAAGCGCGACAACCACTGCTGGCAGCGCCACAGCCACCGCCATGGCTACACGATCTGATTTAGGAGCTAGCAACAGGAATGTGTGGTAAGAGACGCACCGCGATCCTCCGGCAATTTTGCTGAGCTGCGAGTCTTGCTAGTGCACCCCAGCTCTGCTGGCGAACCGACATCGTGAAAAAACTTTGGAACACATGCTTCTATCAGTAATATCGTACAAGAAAGTCAACGAGCCCTGTTTTATCGAGTCTCCTACATCAGCTCCTAACATTAACCCGTTGCCTTCATCACCACAGGACCAGACTGGCTTGTAACCGCCGATTAAGATTTGAAGGATGATTTTGTCGAGGCCTCCACGTCCCTCATCTGTTGAGACGCCTCAGGAACAGTCCTAGTTTCCACTCTGTAGCTCGTTACTGATAATAAGTCGTTCAACAGATTGAATTCGACCGATCAGGGGGAATGGAATAAGCACACGAAACGAAACAACCCACACAGCCCGCGACCATTACTGACTCTGTCCGAGCCTCTGAGTAAAGCTCGCTCGAAGCGGTTTGAATATTGTGATTTTTTCTTTCGTTTCTGAAAATATATCCGTGTTCAGTAGGCGTCCGTCTCCGCGTCCCGGCGGCTGGTGCTCCGAAATCTTCGTTTCCGCCGCGAAGCGCGGAGCGCTAGGGCTGCGACGGGCATTGCGGAGGAGTCGTGTCACTGCTGTCCCCGAGGTCCGTCGATACGCAGGGCGGCGTCGCCGTCAGCGAGCTTTGCGACCTGCGCTGCGACAGATGCGGCGTGCGACGCACGCGACAGATGCGGCGTGCGACGCACGCGACAGATGCGGTGGTTTAGTAGCGTTTACCTGAGAACGGAGGCTCACGGCCAACGGCTCACCAGTTCGGCCCAAGGCTCATTCTCCACCACAGAATGGCCTCTGCCGCCGCCAGCACCGCCGCCACCCCTAATATTCCTCAGTTCGGTGCTTCTACTACTAGTGAATGTAACGGAGCTGTTGTACGCGTTAGAAGCAGTCCCTTGTTGCCAGATTGTTCCCTTGACGACGCTTCGTCCGACGCGTCCCTTAACTGTTCGTTTTCCTCCTTCGCCGGCGGCGCTTTCGGATTTACCACTCCGCTGAACAGCGATAATACCCCCGTTAGTATCACATTCCGGCGCCTTCCGTCGTATCGAAGTCTGTTAAGCCTCGATAATGGCAGCTCGACGAGCGCAACAAGCGCTGCCAGCTCGGTACTCCCGGGCGCCTCAGCGGGCGACGGCTCGCGATTCTTCTTCTCCCCGTCGCACACTCGCGAGTCCATTCGCGCGGACCGCGATTTGCGACTGTCGCGAGTCAACAGCGACGCGGCGTACGCGAAGCTGGCAGCCTCGGGCGAAATCGTCGCCGCGGGTTACTTTACAAGAGAAAACGAAGCCGCAACCGAGACGGGAAAGTCAGCATTATGCGCAGATCCATGGAGACGCCAAGGAAATGCAGAAATCGCGGCGGCGGCGACGGCGGAATCGACGGCGGAAGATGCCGCGGCGGAGGCGGTGTTGGGAGCGGCGAGAGCAAGAAGTGTCGGTACAGGGTTTACTACGGAAAGCAGTGGGGCTATTTTCAGCTTAAACCGCATGAACAGACTCAAGGAAGCAGGGATTGCGGCGGAACTGGCGCCGTCGTCGGCGGGAAACGCCGCGGGCGAGGCGAGGCGCCTCTTGCGCCAGGCGGAAAGCATGCAAGCGCGCCGAGCTGCGTACGACTATTTTTTTCACAGCCCTTCTGCCGCCCTGCCCGGCGTCGACTTGCCCGTTGACCCGTCAAAATCCCGCGCCGCCGCGCTGCCGGCTTGGGACTCCTTCAATCCGCTTTTCTCCGACCGCGAATGGCGGCTCTACGCCGTAACTGACGACCCCGGCGGCGGCGGCGGCGGTGGCGGGGAGGGACGCGCCGCGGAGGGATGTTGGGGGAAGGGACGAGGGGCCAGGGAGGGTCGTTACTGCAAAGATTTTCGAGAGGATGAGTCGTCTGGATTCGGCATGTTCGCTTCTCGCAACGGCAGAAGCAGCCCTTCGTTCTTCTCCCCTCCCCGCCGCCTTTTGAGGCGCCTCAAAAGTCGAGAGGACGAGTCATCTGGATACGGCATTTTTTCGTCGCGCAAAGGGAGAAGCAGCCCGTCGTTCTTCTCCCCTCCCCGTCGCCACGACAGCAGCGTGTGCGCTCCGCGTGACAGCACCGTGTGCGCGCAGCGCGGCACTGAGAGCTCCGCCAAGCCCGCTTCCCCCGCTCCGCGCCACAGCGTGTGCGCTCTGCGTGACAGTGGCGTGTGCGCTCACCATGAGACAGAAAACTCCCCAAATTCCCTCTCTTCTCCTCCGCACGACAGCGGAAGCACTCTCTACGTTGTCCCTGCCGAGCCCTTCTTTTCCTCCCCGCCGCGCGGGCCCTCAGCCGGAACAGCAAGTAAAGTGCTTTCAACGACAAGCCCCAAGGGGGTTAGCAGAGCTACCAGCTCATTTGTCTCCCCTGTGCATCGCCGCAGCAGCAGCTCGCTGCGTCTGCCGGTGCCAGAGGGGCAAGGGAGAGACGAGGAGAGATCTGTGGGGAATGCAACAACAGAATCTGTGGACCTGCTTCACCAGGTTTCGGTACTGCCCCGGAAGCTTATACCGAATCGCCTGTACTCGTTTGAAGTCTCTAAGACTGCGCGCACGTTCCCTGACATGACCTCCCCTGCAAACCCCACACCTGCTTCCGAAGCAGCAGCACCACCCGGACCTGCTTCCGAAGCTGCTGGCTGTGTGTACGAGCCTGCTGCTCTCGGAAGCAGCCCTAGGCTCGGAGCTGCAACTGCAGTCGGACCTTTCCAGCCCGAAAACAAGCGCACTAACGCTGCCGCTGCCGCTGCCACTGCCTCTGCCACTGTCAACGCCACTGCTGCTCTTCCTCCTGACCTGCACCCTCGAGCAAGAGCTCGTGTGCAATCCTGTAGCAGCATTGCTGATATCCCCTTCCAGCCGTTTTTTTCTGCCAGGTCTACACCCGTCAGTGGGCTCATTGGACTCATTCCCTGGTCTGCTTCCTGTGCTTCGGACGGGGCTATGGCTGTGGAAGATGCCAGCAACTGCAGCAACGGCAGCAGCAGCACTCGCAGCGGCAGTGGCAGTGGCACTGGTGGTGGTGGTGTTATTGGTGCGGGCCTTGGCAGAAACGGAAATGAGAAAAGGCGAGGGTCCAGCATTCAGAGCAGCACCGCTAGGAGCAGCCATCTCAAGAGCAACAATGTTGACAGTGGAAACAGCCGGAGCAGCAGCAGCAGGAGGACGAGCGGGAGCAGCAGGAACAGCAGCAGCAGCAAATGCAGTAGGATCAGCAAGGACAATGGCGAGAGTGTGTCAAGCCGGCAAGACACCAGCAGCAGGTGCTCTCCACGCGAAGTGCTGCAACGGTTGTGGAAGGGAGGAGGGAAGGGCGAGCAGACGGAGCGGTTACACAAGGACATTGGGGGAAAAGAGAAGGAAAGAGAGATAGAGAGGCAGGAAAGCAGTGCAGGAGGTGCTAAGGGAGATGGGATGAAGGGAGGAGGGGTGGAGGGAAGGGAGGGGTTCACATGGCATGGGGCAACAGATGCACAGGAAGCACTTGTAGGCCCCCCCAGGCGTGACAGGTTTAGGGCAAGATTGATGAGATGGATGTCCAAAATGAAAGGATTGTGAATGGAAATGAGATAGTGGTTAACTTTTGCTGCGTCAAAGCAGTTTTTTAATCAATAAATTGAATCTCAAGCCAAATAAATAACAATGAGCCACAACATCCTACCAAGCATGCATGTTTTACCCCCCTCCCTAATCCTACTACGGCTTGCCCTCTTTCAGAGGAGCAGACGCTCTGATCCTCTGATCTGACACATCAAGTCACTCAGGTTGCTTTCTTCCCAAGCAGCTGCCGCCACCACTTTGGCTTGGCAGATCCGCCAAACGACCCAGGCTCTGCCAGAACCCCTGCTTTAACCTTCTGTTTAAGCACTACACTCGATAGTGTCCGTTTCAAGAATTCTCCCTTGTTTCTTCTGCACCCAGATCTATCTGCAGTTGTAGATGTGCCTGCTCCCTCCTCTTCCACATCCTCGTTAGAAACTACCTCGTCTGATCCTGTACAGGTCGTAACAGCAGCTGGTGGAGAGCTCCTGCTTTCAAAGCAAATTTCGTCCGCACTCGCGAAGGGGTCGGACATGGGGACGAAAACCAACCCCGAAGTTCCGTCCCGAAGCTTTCTCGTCCTCGCGAGAGCGCGTTCTCGAGGCGAGTCTGGAGCCCGAATCGCCTCGGGAGCGTCAGAGGGAGGGATGAAAACAACCCCCGATGCTCCTTTTCTGTATTTCCTCGTCCTCGCGAAAGCCCGTGTTCCTGCTGCTACTGCTGCCGCCGTCAACTCTGCTCCAACTTCTTCGGTCGACCCTGCTCTTGATGCCTCTTCCCCATCCGCAGCTTGCAGCTGCTCCTCTCCCTGCTCTTTCTCCTGCTCCACCTCCTCCTCATCCAACTGCTCCTCATCCTCATTCTCATCCTGCTCCTGGACTTCATCTGAACTTTTCCTACCTTCCCAGCGCTGCACCTGATTGCGAGTCTCAAACGGCATCGCTCCGAGCCTCGCGCTGTAACGGCCGCGCGGTTGCTGCTGCTGCTGCCGGCTGTAGTGCTGCGGCTGCTGATACTCGCTATAGAATCGATGCGAGTGGTGCCAATCCACAGCACCGATCTCAATCCCATCGTCATCATCCTCTGCCTTGTGCAATAAGCCGTGTAACGAATTGTGCTGAAACGGATCTTGCTGGTGACTAAAACTCCGTCGGGATGGCGAGAAGAATCCCGGGCTTGAAGGAGAGAGGCGGGGAGAGGACTCGGCGGACGACAACTCGGCACCCGTCCACGTGTCACCGCCAAACCCGCTGTTACATCCTTTAACGAATTCACCCCCATTTCCGGCGTCAAAAGCGCCGTCAAGCCCGCTGCTGAGTCTGCTGCTCGCCCTCTCGCTGCTAGACGACTCGTGGCTTAGATTAGTCACGGCGGTGGTCCACGTGCTGTTTGACACGTGGCTGCCGCTGCTGCTGCCTGTCGACGTTGACGTGGCGAAACGCGCGGTGGCGATGGCCCTGCTGACCACGGTAGCTTTCGCAGCACCTGAGGTAGAATGCATGGGTTCAGCGGCTGCTGACGTGGCATCAGTTAGCGGTTCCGCCGGGTTGCAGGAAGCTTCGAGGAAGGCAGCCGCAGGCCCGTCGTCGACGGGAGAAACTGGTAACGAGAGAGACTCGGGAGGAGACGCGGCAGCGGCAGAATTCGCCGCGCAGCCCTCAACACCGCCTATAGCATCTTCTCCAGCAGTAGTAGCAGCAGCAGCAGGGGCAGGGAGAAGCGAGTCCGGAGCACCTACGAGGGGCGACACCGTCCTAGCTATGACCGTTATAGACGTAACGCGTTGGAGCGGAACGAGTTCTTCTGGTCGTTGATGAGCTCGAGTATTTGCATCAAGTTGATGCGAATCACGGGAATGATTATAGGGGGGATGGGAATGATGGGAAGGATAGGGCGGAGGGGCGGGTTGAGAATCACCATCAGTGTCAGAATATCTGACCGCCGCCCAAAAATCTTCCTCAGATATGCTCACCCGCCTAGCGCTGCCGCCCCTGCCGCCCGGGTTAGTACTAGAAACAGCAACCCCGCAGCTGAAGCTCCCGCTTCCCCCGCCGTTCAAGCTTCCGCTTCCTCCACCGTTACTAAAACTTCCGCTTCCGCCGCAGAAACTGCCGCTGTCGCCGCTGCCGCTGCCCCTGCTCCCGAGTACGCCCTTCAAGCGAAACAGGTTACTGAAGGTTTCGCCAGCGGATCCTTTCGCAGGGACACGAAAGAAGCTCCCGCTCCCGTCGTCGCCGAGGTCGCACGACCCCTCGCTGAGCAAGCCGATGCTTCCTTGGCGCTCAAAAGAAAAGAACAAATCGCGCGCATTCGTCGATGCCGCGGCGTGCGACGGGGAGAAAAAAGAAGGCGAATCGCACGACGACACCGCGACAGCCGCTTCCATTTTCAGTCTCCGTAAAAGGTCGATTCGCGGAGATTGGCTCGTCAGAAACGCCACGTCAGCACCGCTGCTCGCAAGACCGCTGCTGCTTAACCCACCCGTGAGGGGACAATCCCCCATACCAACCCCGCCGTCGACGCTCGTTCCCGGCGGCAGCGACCATCGCTGCGCAGAAAGCCGTGCGCCGTTCGATGTGTCTCCGCACCGGGCGGAAAACTCTCCGCTGGGGGCGGGGGAAGCAGGAGAACACGCCCCGTTGCCGGGATAAGCGGAGGTTTCCACGGGGTCCTCGCGGGGCCTTCTGCTAAGAGGGCTGTTGGAGGCGGGAATTGCGGAATGGGCGGGGGACCTGGGCGCAGTGGCATGAAAAGTGGGGAAGTCTCCGGAAAAAGAGCGCGAGTGCCTGTGCCGTGGAGCGCGGCGGCACTCGGTGGCGCGCTTGCCGCGGGGAGAAAACGAGCGTTCGCGCGGACTGCAGGCATCGGCGGAAGGTGAGGCGGCGGCGACAGCCGGGACCGCTCCCACTCCGCCAAAGTCACCAGCGGTCGGCGCGGCGGATGATGCGGCGGGTGGTACAGCGGGTGATCCGGCGGGTGGTGCGGAGCATCCTGTAGCAGCGGCGGACGAGCGCGAAAGGCGCGATCCTCCGGCAGTGGACTGAAGATGGTGCGATGCTGACATAGTTGGAAGCATTCGCGGCGCCGAAGCGCGCAAAACCTGTGGCGACATGAAGTTGGTTTAGAGTCTAGGCGAAATGGGTCGAGGCGGAGTGCGGGCGGGACAGTGGGAAGGAACACACAATGCGAGAAACACTCAACAACGCCAGGAACAATGGGAACAAGTGGGCTGGGACTGACCTAGTACTCTAGACGCTTGAATAACATGTCTCAGTTACTGTGGATACTATATGGTCGCCGGCTCTTAACTAATTACAGCAGTGAGCTTATAACTGGATCTCATAAATTGGCGTTTCGAAGTTGGGACACCATTAAGACGGGGACTAGTCCTGGAGTGGTTTGGACTAATGGGCAAGACAAACGACCAAGTAAGAGCCTCGTAACCGCTGAGTGAGAAGAACCGGTCCTGCAAGTTTGCGTCCTTTTTTCACTTCGACGCGTAGGACCAGCGGTAAGTGACCGACACTCTGCTGTAAACATAAAGCAGCAACTCCTGCAAACAACACACACAGTGCGCGCTCAACTATGGTTCACTGTATTGCATTTCAGCTGCACCGTGTCTCACGCCGAAGTTCCACAGAACAGGTGAGTCATATGAATCAAGGGATGGTAAAATTTGGCAATATCGAACAGTATTTCGCTGGATTTACTCGAAACCGTAGTGCAACCTTTTGAGACGCGCCAAACCCCGCAAGAACGAAACTGAAGAGGATCGAACTTGATGGTGGGAAAATTTATCCAACCCCTCAACATAAATTCCGCCAAACAGTACAGCACACCAAAATTTGGGCTTGCGCGCGGGTGCTGCAGCACGTGAAAAGAGGCGGGAAAACGGGCAGCGTCCAGTGATCGTCGTTGTGGTGCGTCAGCATGCGACGCGATTGTCGTTCAGTAGTCACTGAACGAGACTTTCAGGTACGAACGAGCACATCAACAGCAGGCACAGCTACGTACGACCGTACGATAGTGAGGAAAGCAAGGAGGGACGAGGAAGAAACAAGGGCCGACGAATGATGCGACGACGAGGGAGGGCGGATACAAACGGGTCTCTATGAATTGACTGTGAAAGGAGCGGAGGTGGAGATGGGGAGAAAGGGAGTACACAGGGGGGATAGGAAGGGGGAAGCCTCGGAAAGGATGGTGGGAATGAGGGCGAGTGGGAGGTGGTCCTAAAAAAGGGATTGAAGAGGCAGGGCAGACTTTCAATATGTCACGAGCAGTGCACCGGAGGCTCGAAGACGACAACGCTGGAGGTGAAAACGATTCAACTCGCAAATGACAGTTGCAGGCTGAGGTGGGGACTTTGGGGATGTCTACAAACGATTCAGGACAAGGTCTTCATTCAATACTTATGCATTTCTTCCAAGAGCACAATTTAAGTTGCGTCTGAATATATTTCCCTGCCTTCAAAAATAGCAAATATTGTCTGAAATAGATGCAAATTCAGCAAAACAAATATATTCCCAACTTCGCCCAGAAAGCCAGATACATGAGGCAAAAAATAAAACCATGTAGAAAAAGAGATGGCATGGTGTTTCAAATTAGTACACACCTACCATGCCATCTTAAATATATATACTGCATCCTAACGGATAGGCAGTGGGCAAAAGCTTTAATGTCCAGTATATTGAAAAACACAGAGAAAAATGAGACATTTATAGATGTGCAGGAAGATTACGGAGTGAACAAGATTGGATTTCGGTTCCATATTTGTCAGAATTAACTAAATTTGGGATATCCATATGCTCCAGATATTTAGGAGTATGATTGTGAACGCTAATTCTGAATGGATCGTATTAAGGTCAAAATAATAGAGGCGAGGCCATATATGTACACTCAAATGGAGGGCATGAAAATTATTGTAGTGACTTATATATAGTTAATAAAACTTCATAAATCGGCAAATATCCTAGTAAAATTATAGATTAGATAAAAAACCACATAAACTAGCGAATACATATTTATTGATGACTTACATATTTGAGGCTACGCATTCGGTTCGCCAAAAGTATGATTATGTACAAGGAACTGGTCAAAGTTGTTTTATTCCCCCCAAAAAATATAATTTATCAAACACTGGTCACCTTCTCCCTAACATATTTACGGATCACCTCTATCACTTCCAGCTGTTTAGTCAGATAGTATAATAGAACATATACTAGTCATGCATGCATTAAATTAAAATGTATAATCGCGTACCTGGTGCTCCGATTTCTTTGTTCTCAAGGTGAACTGTGCAGTCCAGCCAGATTGTACAGATGATGCCATTTGCTACTGTATCTGTTACTCGCAGGTAAATCTGATGGTCAAATTGAAGGTCGGCATTTGTGCCTAGACTGGTCCTAAGGCTCATCCAATCAGAGGCCATGAAGCACGCACTGTCATTGTCAGTTTAGATGGCAAATTGACTCACCAAAAGTAAATGCAGATGTGACAACCACAAACAGCCAACTGTTTAGAAAGAAATAGAATCATGAACACAAAAAAAGTTATCACTAAATAAATCTAACATGTATCCACTAGTGTGTGAATCTATGTTTGTTGTCAGTATGGATAACTTCTATATTCTCTAATGCCAATCAACACCCAAAACGTCTTTTGTATGGAGAGCACGAACATTGCATCCCATCGCGAGACTAGAGGGGTTCGACATATTCACAACAGATCCTAAGTGCTTGGGCCTAAAAAGAACGTCTCTGAAATTGTTGCCTCAATGCTTTCGGGAGTGTACACAAACAGCTTACTTGACGTCAAGTCATCCCTTCAAATACACAACGTTTGGGAAGAAAAGAAAGGCGAATGGGATGGGAAGCATAGAACATGGAGGAAATGGTTGGAGTTACCGTACCAGAACCACAATGTCATTGTTAGCTTATGATATGATGTTATATGTTCCTGTTCTGAAAAGGCCAGCAGCATCTGGTCTGGTGACATCTCCCCTGTAGTACCATCAACCACTGGGTAAACTTACATCATATTTACTCAAGTCAGCTGGACAAACTGCCACTTGCCCTGACCAGAAGGGAAGTATCCTTGTGCGGGATCGTTGGCGCAGCACGGTGGACCACTTGGCTCGTGTCTCCCAGATAGAAATTAGTCAACTCAAGTCAACGTTTGTCAGCTGCACACTGCCAGTCGTTCTCTCCAGAAGGGCAGCATCTTGCGGTATCGCTTGCGCAGCACTGTGGACCGCTTGGCATGGGTCTTTCAAGTCAACAGCTCAAAGTCAGCTCAAGTCAACTCAAGTCAACTCAGAGCTGCACACACTTGTCACTCTCTCTCACCAGAAAGGCAGCATGTTGCGGTATCGCTCGCGCAGCACCGTGGACCATTTGGCGCGGGTCTTCCAGGTAGAAATTAGTCAACTCAAGGCAAGTCAACACAAGTCAAAGCTAGTCAACTGTACACACTGCCTGTGACTCTCACCAGAAGGAAAGCAGCATCTTGCGGTATCGCTCATGCAGCACCGTGGACCACTTGGTGTGGGTCTTTCAAGTCAACTCAACTCATACCAACCTGAAGTCAACCCCGGTCAACTCGAGTCAACTCACCAGAAGGGCAGCAGCATCTTGCGGTATCGCTCACGCAGCACTGTGGACCACTTGGCACGGGTCTTCCTCCGCAGCTCCTCATCGGGGATGCACCACCGCCGCTGCCGTGCTACCAGCGTTTCAAACGCCCCGTTGAACCTCCGCAACCTGGTCGTTTCGGAGGAGGTGGTGGGATGCGGTGGGGGATGGTGGGGGAAGAGGTGAAGTGGGAGCCTCGTCGGGAATGCACCACCGCCGCTGCCTCGTCACCAGCGCCTCAAACGCCCCGTTGAATTTCCGCAACCTGGGAGGAGGAGAGACGGAGGGGGGGGAGGAGGTGGTGGGGTACAGTGGGGAACGCTGCTGCTGGCGTGCCACCAGCGCCTCAAACGCCCCGTTGAACCGCCACAACCTGGGGGGTGGGAAGATGGGGGGAAGGTGGTGGGACGCGGTTGGGGATGGTGGGCAGAGGACCCTGCCACTGAGGCACGGCCGGACGAAAGTGTGGTGTGATGGAATGATAATCAAAGGAAGAACCAAAGCCACGCAGCCAGGATGAGATGGAATGGAGAGACGGTGGTGGGTGGAGAGGGTGGAGACGGGTGGGAACGGGAGGGGACGGGAGGGGTGAAGAGCGGTAAGAATCTCGCTGTGAAGGAGGGTTGCAGTGTGTGTCGAGAGTCAGTCGAAAGGAGTGGAAAGAAAAGGTGAGAAGAAAGAGGGAGCTGACCTGTTGAGTCTGAGCTTGACAGAGTCAGGTGTGCCTCGGGGAGGCTCATCTGTGAGTGCTCCCATGACCTGCCGGGGAGAGAGGGGAATAGTGCAGGCCAGGAAGAACAGGGAGAGGGGAGAACAGAAATTTTGAAATTAGGGAAAGCTGTAGGAAGGCAGGGAGGTTGAGAGACGAGTCCGAGGAGGCTCATCTGATTTCTGGGGCGCCTAAAAAGTCACCTCAAGGCTCATCTGTGAGCGCTGCCATGACCTGTGGGGCGAGGGGAGAGAGGTAGGCAGGCAGACAGGCAGGGAGCGAGAGAGGGAGAGAGAGGCAGGCAGACAGGCAGGGAGAGTGGCAGGAGCGGCAGGCAGGGAGGGTGAGAGGACGAGAGAGGTGTGCCTCGGGGATGCTCATCTGCGAGCTAGCGCTGCTCTTATCCTTCACTCTCCACACTCCCCTCCCATGTTCCCTCCCCACCCCAACCACTCACCACAGCCAGCGCGCGGCTCTGGAAGGCTGTGGCATGCAGCTGCACTGCACGATGTGGCCGTCCCTCAGATCCTCAGATGCGCTGAGTGCCTTCAGTTCCCGCACTCCCCCCCACCTTCCACAACCCCCGCACATTCCCTCCCTCCTCTCCCCTTCACTCTCCGTATCCTGTCTCCCCGACCACTCACAGCAGCCAGCGCGCGGCTCTGGAAGGCCGTGGCATGCAGCTGCAGCTGCACGATGTGGCCGTCCCTCAGATCCTCAGATCTGCTGCTCGCCTTCACGTCCTTCTCCCTTTCCCTCTCTCCTCCCCTCTTCCCTCCTCCCACCACTTACAGCAGCCAGCGCGCGGCTTTGGAAGGCGGTGGCGTGAAGCTGCACGATGTGGCCGTCCCTCAGATCCGCCATGGCTGCTGTGAGGTCCCTCGCGCCCTCCCTGGGGTTTGGTTTGGGAGGGGGGGAGGGGAGGGGAGGACGAGGGCGGAGACGAAAGCATGGACGGAGGGAGTGGTTGTGAGCTTACAGGCATGTGAGTCGGCTGAAAAAATTGGCCTTGATTCGACTCAGGAGGCACCAGTGGGATAACAAATGGAGAAATCGACACAAGGACATGCATGGTAGCAGCAAGCAGCAACGGGTGCGCGCGATCGCTTACTTGCGAGCTTGTGAGAGCGGGTGGTTGAGGCTGTCCACATGCCAGCGATACCAGTCAGCGCTGTGGGTAGGAGAGCACAAGGGAAGGGAGGTTTTATGGCACAAGGGACGGAAACGGGGAAGATGGTGGGGTTTGGAGGGAGACAGAGTGAGAGCAGGTGGTTCAGGCTGTCCATGTGCCAGTGATACCAGTCAGCGCTGTCAGCACACGGGGACAGCAGGGGGCAGGAGGGGGGCGACAGGAGGGAGGAAACGTGAAGGGAGCGAGTGGGAGTGAGAGTGGGTGGTTGAGGCTGTCCACGTGCCAGCGATACCAGTCAGCGCTGTGGGCAGTGGAGCACGGCACAACGAAAGGGGGTAGACGGGTAGGAGAGGGAGAGAGTGTTAGTAAGCTTGGTTGAGGCTGTCCACGTGCCAGCGATACCAGTCAGTGCTGCGTGGGCACACGGGCACACAGGGACACAACAGGGGGGGGAGGGGGGGGGGGAAGAGGGAGAGGCCGATAGGGGGATATGTGTACTGCGTTTCTTTTGCTTAAGCCTAGTTTAGTCTGCATCTCGCTGGGAATATGTCTGAAGACCAGTTGGCCGATAGGGGGATATGTGAAGGGAGCGAGTGGGAGTGGGAGCGGGTGGTTCATTCAAGCTGTCCACGTGCCAGCGATACCAGTCAGCGCTGTGAGTAGTAGGGCAGAACGGAAGGGAGAAGAGGGGGTTGGTTGTGGTCGGGCACAAGGGAAGGGAGAAGAGGGGGGAAGTCAGAGAGAGGAACGGGTGTTCAGTTCAGTCTGTCAAGTTGCAGTGGTAACAATCAGCACCGAGAGCACACCTATATACATACACTGCTCCTCCTACTCACGCGCGGACTGCACGAGGTAGTGAGTGTTGTTCATGAGAAACAGGTGCTGCAGCTCCTCCTCCCAACACAAATGTATATGTGTGCATGTACGTGTGCATGTACGTGTGCATGTACGTGTGCATGTACGTGTGCATGTACGTGTGCATGTACGTGTGCATGTACGTGTGCATGTACGTGTGCATGTACGTGTGCATGTACACCTTTACATACACTACCCTGCACCTCTCACTCACGCGGACTGCACGAGGTAGTGAGTGTTGTTCATGAGAAACAGGTGCTGCAGCTCCTCCTCGCGGTACAGCCCACCGCGTGCCTCCAGATTCACCACCAGTGCACTCAGCAGGTGCGCCGTCTCACTCTCCGCACTCCTCCCCGTGTGCTGCTGCCCACCCCGTTTCCACTTCCCATCCCCAGCCTTCCCACCGTCTTTCCCACTGTCCACCTTCCCACCCGCCGCCTTCCCGCCGGCTGCAACCTTCCCATCCCCCTTCGACTTGCTCCCTTTGCCGCCCTCCTTCTCTCCGTCCCCATCCGCATCTTCCTCCTCCTCGTCACTCGCTGCTCCTTGTTCCTCCAGCAGGTGAAAGAGCGAGGCGAGCACATCCAGGTAGCTGTTGTGGGTGGAGGGTACGCTGGGGGGTGGAGGATGGGGGGGAGGTGGAGGGGGATGCAAAGGTGGAAGGATACACGAAGGGGGGGATTCGAGTGAGTGGCTTTGGCTCCTGCAGCAGGTGGAAGAGCGAGGCGAGCACGTCCAGGTAGCTGTTGTGGGTGGATGGGACGCTGCGGGGTGGAGGGGGGTGGGGGGAAAGGAACCACGGGATGAGTGAAGCTGTGAGAGACATCAAAGGCTCCTCCAGCAGATGGAAGAGCGAGGCGAGCACGTCCAGGTTGCTGTTGTGGGTGGATGGGACGCTGCGGGGATGGAGGATGGGGGGAGGTGGGAGGTGGGGGGGGGATACAAAGGTGGAAGGATACAAGAGTGAGGCGAGCACGTCCAGGTAGCTGTTGTGGGTCGAGTAGGGGGCAAGGTTGGTGGGGAGAGGAAGGTGAAAGGCATGGGATGCGTGGGGTTGCTACTAGATGCTCCAAGGCTCCTCCAGCAGGTGGAAGAGCGAGGCGAGCATGTCCAAGTAGCTTAGGGAAGGGCACTCTGGAGCGGCCAAGACAGAGAAAAACAAGGGCAGATGTTAACCCTTAGCCTTTGGAAGGAGAAGTTCCGGATCTTGGCGAGGTTGCCGAGCGTGGAGGGGATGGGGAAGGAGCAGCAAGCGACGCGCACTACCTCGTAGGTGTTTGGGGTGCGTGCGTGTGGGAGTTTTGTTTGGGGTTCATACCATAGCCTCCGCCCGCCCTATCACTGCTGACAGACAGCATTGCAGTGCATGGTCTCTCTCTCCAGTCCAGCACACATGCACATGAACATGAACACAACACACAGTCGTGCATGAATTTTGAGACGTCTCAAAAGCCAGCACACATGCACATGCACATGAACACAACACAAAGTCGTGCATGCACACACGCATGCACACACGCATGCACACACGCATGCACACACGCATGCACACACGCATGCACACACGCATGCACACACGCATGCACACACGCATGCACACACGCATGCACACACGCATGCACACACGCATGCACACACGCATGCACACACGCATGCACACACGCATGCACACACGCATGCACACACGCATGCACACACGCATGCACACACGCATGCACACACGCATGCACACACGCATGCACACCCCAAACAACACACGCACAGACGCAGTGGCGCATGTAGCTGCGGATATAGTTGGCTACGTAGCTGGTGATTGGGTCAACTACTCCCCCCCTATCACTGCCGGTGGCGTTACATAGCGTGGACGCGCAACCAACACACACAGAGAACACACACAGCAGCAAATACCGGCGCATGTAGCTGCGGCGGATATAGTTGGCCACGTAGCTGGTGATGGGGACAAGCACCCCCCCTGGGCGGCAGCAAAGCGTGTGCCTCTCCAACACATGCACACCTTTACTGTCGCGTGTGACCATACCACATACGCACCGGCGCATGTAGCTGCGAATGTAGTTGGCCACGTAGCTCGTGATGGGGTCAACTACTCCCCCCTGCGGCATGATGTCCTGAGTGCTCTCCTCTGCTGCTGGTGATGCCGATGTGGTGCTCACATTGCGACCCAGGAACGGCATTCTGCGGGATTGAGAGAGGGTGGAGATGGGTGAAGAAGGAAAAAACATGACGTCCTGAGTGCTCTCCTCCGCTGCTGGCGGCCCCAATGTGGTGCTTGCCGTGCGACCCAGGAATGGCATTCTGTGGTGGGAAAGGGTGGGGAGGAATGGAGAGGAAAGGCGTGACGTCCTGAGTGCTCTCCTCCGCTGCTGGCGATGCCAATGTTGTGCTTGCCGTGCGACCCAGGAACGGCATTCTGCGGTGGGAAAGGGTGGGGAGGAATGGAGAGGAATGGGATGAAGGGAATGAAGGGCAGGGGAGAGGGGAGGAAGAGGGAAAGGCATGCCATCCTAAGCGCTCTCCTCTGCTGCTGGCGGGCTGATGTGGTGCTTGCTGTGTGACACAGGAACGACATTCTGTGAAACGGGAGTGGAGTGGGAGGAGTGGGTGGAGTGGGTGGAGTGGGTGGAGTGGAGAGACTGGCTGATCACCCTGCACAGCTTGAGTTGCGTGATTGCAAGATAAACGAAACAGGCTATTGCCGTTAAGGCTTACGCCGCTCACATAACAGAACAGCAGTACCCACCTGAACAGCTTTGCAAGCGATGCCTTTTTCTCTCCCTCCCCACCCTCCCCTCCTCCACCCCCCGCTGCCTCCCCAGCAGCGGCAGCAGCAGCACCAGATGCAGAGGGGGGGGGGGAGGCGGAGGAGGAGGAGAGGGGCGGAGCAGCAGCAGCCATGGCCTGGGCGGACTTGGTGGAGGTTTCGAGGAGGGCTTTGAAGCGGTCGAATGTGTCGGCCACGGCCCGCGCGATGAGGAGAGGGAGATGCTGGCAGGCCGGCCACACCGCCTCCATCTTGAGCAGATTGATTGTGGCGGATAGCTGGAGAGGGAAACCAGGCAGGGGTGGGGGCCGGCATGACTTCTTGGGCCGACTTCTTCTCGCGCGCCTCACAAGTCTATTTTTGAGGAGCCAAAAAAATCGTCTCAGTTCACGCGGATTTTGAGGCGCCTAAAAAAGGCCGACTTCTTCTCGGGGGCCTCACAAGTCGACAAACATACACGCAAGCTACAAATGTAGTTTTGTACGTTTGTTTGTTTGTGTTTTTTTGTTTGTTTTCACAAAAGAAAATAAGATAAACATAAAAAAAATCAAGACCTACCTCTGGCATGACTTCTTGGGCAGCCCGAAAAGCATCGAGCAGCGAAAAGAGTTGCTCGGGCAGGTTGCGGGCGATGATGGCGCGGAGGATCAAGGCGTGATCTGCTATGCGCTTGCCCATGCCGCTGTCCTCCAGGATTGCCCTCAATGCCCCGCGCTCGTGCACCTGAGAAAAGCGCACAGTGCAAGGGGCACAAGAGGGGAATATGTGTCATAAGAGAACCGAGGATCAAGGCATTCTCTGCTATGCGCTTGCCCATCCCGCTGTCCTCCAGTATGGCCCTCGGCGCCCCGCGTTCATGCACCTGAGAAAAGTGTAGGTTTGAGTAGTAGGAGGGCGGGTAGTGGGGGGACGAGAGGGGAGGAGCGGGGAGAAGAAAGGAGCATGGGGGGGATAGGTGGGGTGGGGAACATCCCGCATAACACAGTGGGAACCAGATGTGATACCAGATGTGATACCAGATGTGATACCAGATGTGATACCAGTATGTGATACCAGATGTGATACCAGATGTGATACCAGTACGTGGCTGCCCATGTCGCTGCCTTCCAAAGTGGCTCTCACTCTCAGTGTACCACCTTCGTGCTTGCTTGCTCCCCTCACCCATACCCTCTTCTAACCCCGCCCCCAGCCATTCACCCTTCCCTCCCCCGCCCCGCTCTCTCCTCTCACCTGCATGCCTCGCCACACGGCTGCTGCTGTCCTCCTCTCCATGCCCAGTAGCAGACGGCCCTGAGCAAAAGGAGGGGGGGTATGTCGAGAGGGGGGAAAGAGGGGAGAAGGGGGAAGGGAACGATGGGGAACTTAGTGTGTAAGCGGGGGGAAGGAGGAGCGAGAGAGATAGAGGGGGAGGGGAAGAAAAAGGGGAAAGGGAGGGGAGCGAGGGAGAAAGTGGGGACGAGACAAGAGGGGGAGGAGAAGGAAGCTGACATCCATGGTGATGGTGGCGTTGGGAGGAGCGGATAAGGGACGCAAACACAAGCGCATTTGCAAACTAGAAAACACCCACGCACACACCCACGCACCCACCCACGCACACACCCACGCACGCACCAGGAGGTACACATCCTGAGTCCACTGCTTGCTCAGCAGCATGTCCGCGATCTGCCCTGCTGTCACCATCCACCCACCCACCATCCACCCAGCACCACACACCACCGCACAACACCACACCACCATCCCATAGCACCCACACCCACGCACCAGAATGTACATGTCCTGAGTCCACTGCTTGCTCAGCGGCTCCAGCTCCGCCCATGGCATGTCCGCGATCTGCCCTGCCGTCACCATCCACGGCCTCTCGCTCTCCAACCGCTGCAGCGCCCCCTTGAGACTGTCCACCCGCACGGACCTGAAAGAACGTGTGGGGTGGGGAAGATGAGTAGAAGGGGTGGGCAGAAGATAGGAAGGGATAGCATGTCTGCGATCTGCCCTGCTGTGACCATCCACGGCATCTCGCTCTCCAGCCGCTGCAACGCGCCCTTCAGGCTGTCCACCCGCACAGACCTGCACTTGTGGGAGGCGTAGAGGTGTAAGAGGGGAGGACCGAGAAGACGGAAAAAGGGCACGTGAGTGATCTGCTCTGCCCTGCTGTCACCATCCACGGCCTCTCGCTCTCATCCCACTGCAATGCCCCCTTCAGGCTGTCCACACAGACCTGAATGAATGTGTGGGATGGGGGAGATGAGTCGAGAAGAGGGAGAAACGGCATGTGAGTGAACTGCAGTGCCGTCACCATCCACGGCCTCTCGCTCTCCAACCGCTGCAGCGCGCCCTTGAGGCTGTCCACCCGCACAGACCTGAACGTGTAGTGTAGGGGTAGGGGTGTAAGATGGGAGGGCAGAGTAGAGGGAGAAAGGGCATGTCTGAGATCTGCACTGCTGTTGTCATCATCCACGGCCACTCGCTCTCCAGCCACTGCAGTGCGGATTTCAGGCTGTCTACCCTCACTGACCTGAATGAACGTGTGTGGGGGGTAGAGGCGAAAGAGGGGAGGGCAGGGCAGAGTAGAGGGAGAAAGGGCATGTCTGAGATCTGCACTGCTGTTGTCATCATCCACGGCCACTCGCTCTCCAGCCGCTGCAGTGCGGATTTCAGGCTGTCTACCCTCACTGACCTGAATGAACGTGTGTGGGGGGTAGAGGCGAAAGAGGGGAGGGCAGGGCAGAGTAGAGGGAGAAAGGGCATGTCTGAGATCTGCACTGCTGTTGTCATCATCCACGGCCACTCGCTCTCCAGCCGCTGCAGTGCGGATTTCAGGCTGTCTACCCTCACTGACCTGAATGAACGTGTGTGGGGGGTAGAGGCGAAAGAGGGGAGGGCAGGGCAGAGTAGAGGGAGAAAGGGCATGTCTGAGATCTGCACTGCTGTTGTCATCATCCACGGCCACTCGCTCTCCAGCCGCTGCAGTGCGGATTTCAGGCTGTCTACCCTCACTGACCTGAATGAACGTGTGTGGGGGGTAGAGGCGAAAGAGGGGAGGGCAGGGCAGAGTAGAGGGAGAAAGGGCATGTTTGGACATGGATGGTGACACCACATGTATGTACTTAACTGAATCCACCTGAGCCCATTCTAATCCACCTGAATCCACCTGAGCTGAGCCCACCTGAAGGCCTCCACGCAGCGCACGCTCTCCCCTCCCGCCACCAGCCGGGCGGCCGTCTGGTTCAACCACCGGGCGGCGATTTCCGGCAGCACATGCAGCGAATCCGCATCTTCCAACTCCCCCTCATCCAACCCCCCCATCCCCTCCCCGCCGCCACCACCCTCCCCTCCGCCCCCTCCCCCGCCTCCCACTCCCCCTGTGCTGTTCCTGCTGCTGCTAGCACTGGTACCCCCTGTCACACCGCTTTCAGGGGAGCTGCTGCTGGTGCTGACGCTACTGGTTGCGGCAGCAGCAGCTGCAGCAGCGGCGGTGGTGGTGGCGGCAGGGGGGTAGAAGTTGCGGTGGAAGATGCGAGAGAGAGTGTCGACTGTGAATCGCGTGGATGCCTGCTGGCTGGTGTGGGGGTAAAGGGGAAAGGGGAGGGTGATGCGCAACATAAAGGAAATAAGGGGTTCATGACATGACACAAGACAGTAGCAGCAGCAGCAGCAGGAGCAGCATAACACCTCACCTCCGTCTCGACAGAACGCCCCTGAATTCGTACTCCAGGCCCTCCATAGGAGGCAAGAGATCAACGGATCTCGCATCCGTCAAACGGCAGTTCTACCTCCCCCTCAGCAAAACATCTCACCTCCGTCTCGACAGGATGTCCCTGAATTCGTACTCCAGGTCCTCCAGGGCCCGCTGAAGCATGCCTTGTCTGACCTGACCTGACCTGCAGGTTAAAGAGCCTCCGTCTGGCCGACCTGAATCTGAGCAGAGCACAGACGCACAGTGCCTCACCTCCACCTCGACAGAATGTCTCTGAACTCGTACTCCAGATCCTCCATGGCCCGCCGAAGCATGCCAAAAAGGGTGTTGACAACTGATTGCAAGAGAGAGACCACACGTCCGTCTCGGCAAAGTACCAATAATAAACCTCACCTCCGCCTCGACAGAATGTCCCTGAACTCGTACTCCAGGTCCTCCATGGCCCGCCGAAGCATGCCGTCCGCGCGCCGCCCAGTCTCCTTGTCGCGGGCCTCCAGCAACAGCGCCCTCACGCTGAGCAGCAAATCGATGGCTGGCAGGTACTCGTCCAGCTTGCAGTGCGGCCCCTCCTCTATGAACGCGTCCATCTGGGGAGAAGAGAGGAAAAGAATGGAGCACAGAAGGGGGGTTTGGGCAATATACAGGGCGTGGGGAGCAGCAGGGCCATGGGTGGCCGGCAGGTACTCGTCCAGCTTGCAGTGCAGCCCATCCTCTATGAACGCGTCCATCTGGGTTGAGGCACAGAGGGTATGAAAAGAGAGTGGGGAATAAGGAGAGGCATGGGCAGGAATGCGCTCAGCAGCAGCAGGTCGATGGGTGAGTGACTGGCAGGTACTCGTCCAGGTTGCAGTGCGGCCCCTCCTCTATGAACGCGTCCATCTGGGTGGGAAGAGAGGGAAGAATGGAGAAGAAGAAGGGAACGAGTGATGAGAGGTCACAGCACACCGAATCAGTGAAAGACGCAAGCAGGTCGTGTGCCGTGTGCCATTGCAACCAGGTGACTTTTGAGTCAACGGAAAATCGTTCAAGTCAACTTGAAGGTTGCATCACACTGAGAGCAAAAGCGTGATGCCAATAAGGCATATACCTGATCTAGCAGCTCCACCACTCGTCGCCGTGAGATGGGCGCATCCCCCAACACCTTCGACGCGTAATACACATCATCGTCCTCTTCTTCTCTTTGGGGCCTCATGGCTGGTGGTCATCCCCTAGTGGCCACGTCTATCGTACCATAGTATCTTTCTTGTCATGCCATCGTACCTGATCCAGCAGCTCAACCACTCGTCGCCTTGAGATGGGCTCATCCCCCAACACCTTGGACTCGTAATACACATCATCATCCTCCTCCCCTTCCCCTTCCTCCCCCTCTTCCTCCTCCTCCTCTTCCTCCTCTTCCTCCTCCCCCTCCTCCTCCCCTTCCTCCTCTTCCTCCTCTTCCTCCTCCTCTTCCCCTTCTGAAAATTCCTCCCCTTCACTGTGCGTTTCTCTCACCCACCCCTCCTCATACCCCCCTCCACTTGCACCGCTCTCCCCCCCTCCTCCCCTGCTTCCTCTCCTGCTTCCGCCACTGCTGCTGCCGCCACTGCTATCCCTCCTGCCTCGCCTACCTGTAGCTGCTACAGCCGAGTCTCTTGGCCCGCCAGGAGTGGACTGGGACTTGGGGAAAGCCGCTGCTGCTGCAGCCACACCAGAGCTGCCGCCTCTGGGGTTACCTGCGCGCCTGTTACCACCAATAGGGTTACCACCATAACCACCCACTGCCATTCCTGCTGCTGCTGCTGCTCTTCCTCCTCCTGCTGCTGGCGACGTGTGGGAGTGTTGGTGGTGGTATTGCTGGTGGTGCTGCTGCTGCTGCTGGTGCCATTCCTGCTGTCCCGGTTCGGACGCCTCCGAGCCATACGGGTACTCCTCTCCCGAGCCTAGCACCGAGGCTTGGTACAGGGACCCTTGAGGGGAGCCCACAGGTGAAATCTCAGGTGAATCCACAGGTGTTCTCAACGGAGTGCGGTTGCTGGGACGGACATCAGGCAGCGACACCCTACCAGGCCCTGCCATCACAGCCCCAGCCACCATCAGGGGAATTGAGGATGCATCGAAACCCTCACCCCTTTCTCCCACTCTCCCTCCCGCGCCCCCTCCTGCGCCCCCTCTTCCCCCGGCCTGCCCCCCTGCTCCTGCTGTTCTAAAAGAGAATCCATCAGGAGAGGACGGGGAAAGCTGTTCAGAATAGGGATAGGCCTGCTGCTGCTGCTGATGCTGGTGTTGCTGGGCAGAAGGAGAGTATTCCTGCTCTTCCAAACCTCTGTAGCTTGGAGACATGTCCGGTGTCTGGTTCGGCGAGTGCTCGGGGGTTTGGTCCGGGGTTAGGTTCGGGGACCGGTTGGAGGAATGGTGAGAGGAGCGCACAGGAGATGATTGGCCAGGGGAACTGATGGGAGAGTGGTCCGACAGCCGGTCCGGGGATCGGTGAGAGGATTGGACAGGAGACCGCTCAGGAGAATGTTCAGGTGAATGTTCAGGTGAATGTTCAGGCGAGGAATCTGTTGGCGACAAATCGGACTCTCCCCGGCCACCTCTGTTCCCCCTATTGCCCGACCCGCTAAGGTAAACACCCACCTCGTCAACCACAGGAACGCCTATACTCCCTGCTCCTGACCTTCTTCCCCCACTCGACCCTCCCGCCTTCCTGCTTCCCCCATGCGCCCCCCCTCTATAGTCATCCTCGTAGGGCTCTCTCGCCTCGTGGTGGTCGTGCCCCCTACTGGAACGCTTGCTTGAGTCACTCTTGGTGCTCGACGTGCGGCTGGCGTGCCTCTGTGGGAGGGGGGAACGCGGGGGGAGGGGGGAAAAAGGGCGGAAGGGGGAGAAAGGGGGGGAACGTAAGTGACTCTGAGTCGACTCAAAAGTCACTCTTGGTGCTTGCTGTGCGGCTGGCGTGCCTCTGTGGGTGGGAGGGGGGGAGGAGGAGAGAGGGGAGTGGGGAGAGCGGGGAGTGGTGAGGGGAAGTGCTAAGGATCAGACGAACGGGGTGTGCAGTGCAGTGCGGTGCAGTGCAGTGCGGTGCAATGCATTTGACTCCTCGCATGTGCATCAGTGTCACTTGGCGCGTGTTGGTGCGTGCTGCTGCTGCTGCTGCTCACCTGATTTGCGACCACAATCACCCGCGCGGCTCACCTGCAAGACGTCTCAAAAGTCTCAAGCCTTTGAGACGTTTCACATCACAAGCACCCGCGCGGCTCACCTGCGATCCGCGCTCCTCCATTGACGAGCACGACGGCACGCCATGCCTGCCGGAACTCCTCCCCTCCTTCCCTGCTTCTCCATGCCTCCTCTCCCTCTCTCTCTCCCTCTCCCTCTCTCGCTCCCTGTCCCTAGGTCGATCCCGCTCCTTCTCTCTTCGGCCTTCCCTCTCTCTTTCCCTCTCTCCGTCCCTGCCTCTCTCCCGCTCCCTCACTCTATCGCTCTTCCGATCCCTATCCCTATCCTTCAACTCATAGTCCCTATCCCTGCCTCGCTCCCGTTCTCTATCCTTATCTCTGTCCCGCCTGTCCCGATCCTTCCCTTCTCTCTCCCTCCGTTCTCTGTCCCGACTGCCGTCGCGATCCCCCTCAAATCGCTCTACCTTATCTCTCGTCCTCTCCCGCTCCCTGTCCCTGTCCCTGTCCCTGTCTCTGTCTCTGTTCCTGTCTTTCTCTCCCTCGCGATAACGATCCCTATCCTTAACCTTATCTTTAGAATCTCTATCTCTCACCCTCTCGCGCTCTCTCTCTTCGTCCCTGTCCCTATCGCGGCTGCCGCTGCTTCTCCTATACTCCTTATCCCTATCCCTATCCTTAGCTCTATCCCTATCCCTATCCCTATCCTTGTCCCTGTGTCTGTCTCTGTCCCTGTCCCTGTCCTTATCCCTAACTCGATCCCTATCCCTGTCCCTATCCCTATCTCTGTCCCTATCCTTTCCGCGACCACTTTCGCTAGACCTTTCGCTCGACTTATCACTGATAGACCCAGTCACTCGCCCGGCCTTGTCCTTGCTGTCTCGCGTCCTTCCCGCTTTTCCGTGACTCCCAGGTACCGGCGGTCGCACGTCCCACGCTTCCGGCGAAACGTCGCCATCGTCGTCGTCGTCGTCGTAACGGTCCATGGTAACCCTAAAGCAGTAAACCTGACTTTCGGTGGTTCTCGAAAAATACCTTTAATAAGGTTCAGAAAGTAACAGTGGTTGCTCTTAAATAAAGACGCATCGGTTACGAGAGTTTAATATACGCAAGGGCGAAAGACGCGGCTTTAGAGACGTTCGCCAAAAGAAGCAAGACAATGCTGCGTTATTGCATTACTTAGCGCGTCGAAATGCGCGAAACTCAAACTCGTGCCGTATCATACTCTTAAACGCTCGTGTTGATGCTCGTAGGTCTTCGGTGTGTGACAGCAACTGATAGCTGCACGGTACCAATAACTGAAATAGCTTCTATCGACCAATGTGCTATCCTAGTGTCACACAATCCAAAAGAATGCTTGTGCTCGTCTGTCCTTGCCTTGCCCGAGCTATTCTTGTTCGTACAACAAGTGTGAGTTTCTGCTCAACACCAACTCTATCGTTCGGCATGGCGTTTTCTTCGCCTCCTAAACCTTGATATGTACGGGTTGCTTCTGTTGCATTCATGGAAAGCAGATACGGCCATTCATGGAGCTGGTTCTGTACGCCAGATACGGCCTTTTTTCATACCTTCGACTAGGATGAGGTACGGAAACCGGGGTCACTCGGCTCTTATTTTGTGTGTTTTTTCTCTCAGGGTAGCTGGCAACGTAGCTCCTTTCAGCGAAAGAAACAAACAATGATTTCAGTTGCTTGAAGAGTAGGCTCGAAAACCCGATGATTCGATTGAACGATACCCGATGCGCAGGGTGTTAGGAAATTATAAATCCAGACCGAGGACCGTAACGGCTATTCCTCCTGCGTTACAAGTTCCGTGCCTGATAAGGCAATCCACTTTTGATCAGGAAACCATGCATTTCTTCAGAGTACCCTAGGATTTCTAAGAGGGAAACAGAATTTGAGAACACAGGCGCAGCAGGCACATCATCAATGCAATCAGCTTTAGTAAGAACAATCCCCATACTAGAACATTAGAGATCCACAATTTACGATTATCTCATGACCTGCTGAAGAAACCAGCGGCGGACGTATTGTCTGCTCTAAGCCTATGACTTCCCCCACCCACAGCCGCACCACACTCAGGGCAACGCGACTCCTGCATTGCCATACCGCAATCCCCAATCGCATACACATGCCCATTGCGACACCGGTACCAGTGATTCCCTCCCAGGCCCACTGCCTCGAAAATGTCGGCCTTCTCGCGCTCAGTCACAGCAAAGTAGCGAGGCTCGTCGCGAACAGATTGCTCCAGCTCGCTCAAGTCTTTCTCAAGCATTCTCCGAGCGCTGCCCCCAAGGCTGTCGCTCTCTCTGACAGGTTCCAGGTGGTGCGAGGCCACCATGCGGCACTGAATCTTGGCCCTCTCCAGATACTCCAGCTGCTGCTTCTTTGATGCTTCCTGCCAGAGAAGGTGCACACATGCAACAACATGAGCCACAAACTCGAAAAAAAACACACTTTGCAAAATAAAAGTAAGAATGAAAAAGCGGGGGGGTGGGTGGGCGCGGGGGAGAAGGGGAGGGGAGGGAGGGAAAAAGCGGGGGGGGAGGGGGGGTGGAAGAGAGGCAGCAAGGATAAGCACAGCTCGTAGATTTCTTACCAGGCCAGCCAGGGAGGTTGAGAGCAGGCGTTCCACCATTATGCCTTCCGCGAACGCACGCAACACGTCAACCATCTCTAGCCTCCACCTCGTGTATTTTGAGTCAACTCAAGTCAAAACACCACAGGCTGGAACAAGAGCAGTGTTCTTACCAGGCCAGCCGGGGAGGTTGAGAGCAGGCGCTCCACCATCATGCCTTCCACGAACGCACGGAACACATCAACCATCTCCAGCCTTCCCCTTGCCCCCAGCCGATGCGCCCTGCGCTTCGCTGCCCAATCCACCGCCTCCCCCACATGCTTCTCCGCATTCCGCAGCCCCATCCGCACAACCTCCCTGCAATTCTTCACCCGCCGAGTGAAAAACTCTGCTCTACCTGTGCTGTTGTTATCAGTCCGACCAGCCAGATCCCGGAGTTCTTTCAGCAGGCAGCGCAGCTGGAAGAAATTAGCAGACATGAGAAGCTGATAAGCTTTCCCCAGCATCATGAGTGCTTCACAGAGGGGCCGGGGGTCCGGCTGGGGAACATACAGCAGCTGGCACTCCTCCTCCCACGCTGACGCTGAAGGAACAGCACCTAGATCCGCAGGAGGCGGATTTGCAGGGGAATTTACCCCACATGACGATGCTCCCAACTGGACGTGCTTTCTCTGCAGCGCAGCTATAGAAGCCTGGTACGTCTGCTGGGTAGGCGGTTTCATGGCTGTGCCTCGCACCTTGTTGGCCTCCACTACCTGATAGGTCGCATGCTTGGCCAGCTTCTCTAACTGCCTCGGTTGGGCACCCTCGGAGCACGCGGATACAGCCTGGCTTAGCTGCGACAGCTTGTGCTGGAGCTGCTGCTGGTCGGCCAGGCAGCTGAGAGCGAACTTGCGTTCTGATTCGTCCAGCAGCGCCTTGTTCACCATCCTGCCGTACCGGCGGAGGCCTGTGATTGGCTGGCGGCACTCCGGGCAGCCCTTCAGAGCGGACAGATCTCCATCCTCAAACGGCCGGACTGCCACCCATTTGCCTGCAGCTGCACCTGCTTCCGACGCACCTCCAGCCCCTCCTCCAGCCCCACCTCCTGGTGCACTGGTGCCACCAGCAAGCCCATCTTCTGTCTCTTGGTAAACCTGGTTCAGGCCCAGGTGGCCATCTAGAGTCTCCACAGTGTAAGCATGACCGCATGGCAGCACCAGCACAGGACTCTCATCCGGATCAATCTCCCCTAGCGTTTCCAGAGTGACCAGATCCACAGTCATCTCCCTCTTCTCCTCCTCCCCACACCCTTCAACCGTGCAGAACCCCTTCGGAGGGCATTTCTCGGAGCAGAGGGACGGGCATTGGTGGCCGCATTGGAGTTTTTTCTCGCACCTCTGCTCGCACGGGAGGCGGTCGCAGGGGGCGCCGCAGGGGAGGGAGCATCGGCCTTGGTGCTTGCAGTGCCACCCGCAAGGCTCGGCGCAGGGCGCGCAGGTTCGGTGGCAGGGTTGGGGGCAGGAGCTGTGCTGGCAGGCCACGAGGCACTTCCTGGTGCAGGGCTTGCAGGGTGTGCCGCTGTGGCAGGGATCCGGGCAGAGGTGCGCGCAGGGGAGCGGGCGCTGGCATGGCTGCGAGCACTTCTTGTGGTTTTTCTCCAGCTTCTCCAGCTGCTGCTGCTGCTGCTGCTGCTGCGGCAGGTGCTGCAAGCCACGCCCCTGGTTGGTGGTAGTAGTAGCTGGAGCAACGATGCAGTGACCACAGGGAGAGATGCAGGTGTGGCCGCAGGAGTCTGAGAGGAAGACCCCGCAGCGAGCGGTGCAGTGCTTGGGGTTGGCTACTCTGGTGGCAGACTCGCCGCACTTAACTTTCTGCTTGTGCCCGCACAGCGGCATTGTGACTTCCACCATAAATCTGGCAACACGGAGGGGAGGGCGTGGGTGAGAGAAGATCGGAAAGGCGTGAGAGAAGCACCACACACACCCTAAACCGCAATGGAGGGACGCTGGAGAAAGGAGAAAGCAACAAGGGTGTGACAGGAGAAGCGGGATATAGGCTAAGCAGCAAACAGGAATAGCAGGAAACAGAGAACAGTGCAAAATGAGCCAATCACAGAAGACAGCGAAAGGGGGCCAAGAAACTCACGAGCAGAAAATGGAAGTGGGATTCTGAGCCTTGAAGCAGGGGACATTGAAGGCCTGATGGCCGCAGGGGAGCGTGAGTGCCTTGATGGTGACGAGGCAGGGCCCACACTCCTCGCCACACTGCTTGGGGCACGTGTGCCAGTGCGGACATTCCTCCAGAGGGCGAATGCGGTTGCACTCCTTGGGGCAGAACGCGTTGGCGTGTGCCCTGTCATCGCCATGGCACCTGGTGGGCGAAGGAAGGAAAGAGAGGGTTTATTTCATGTGTGTGCTGGTGTGGACACTCCTCCAGCAGCTGAGGTGACTTTTGAGTCGACTCAAAAGAGAGGTTTTATTTCATGTGTGTGCTGGTGCGGACACTCGTCCAGCAGCTGGATCCGGTTGCACTCCTTCGGGCAGAACGTATTGGCGTGTGCCCTATCATCGCCATGGCACCTGTTGGACAAGGACTGAAGACAAAAAGGGTGTTCTTGGAGAGAAGTTTATGGCACACGTGTGCTGGTGCGGACACTCGTCCAGCAGCTGGATCCGGTTGCACTCCTTGGGGCAAAACGCTTTGGCGTGCGTCCTGTCATCGCCATGACACTTGTGGGGTGCAGGAAGAAGCCAACGATCACGAAACCCTCTCTAGAAAATAAAGGATTTCAGCTTGAGTTTGAAACAACGGGTATAAGTCAACAGTTACATGCACATATTTCGGACAGTCGTTGCATGAGATGCATGTATGTATTTCTGACCTGCGGGGACAGGTGTGGCCGCACGGAGTGAGCCGAAAGCCGCAAATCGGGAGCATCCGCCCTCGCTGGCCTTCTCCTTGAACTCCCCCGCTACTTCTGAGTCGACTCAATATCAACACAAATTGGACTCAAAAGTCACCCAAAAATCCTCACCTTCGGGGGCAGGTGTGACCACAAGGAGTGAGCCGGAAGCCGCACATCTGGGAGCATCCGCCCTCACTGGCCTTCTTCTTGAACTCCCCCGCTCTCTCAATGTGCGTCACCGTGTCGGGGTGGTTCACACAGCGCAGCGGAATGAACTTCTCAACGCGCCCCTTGCTTTCCAGCATGTCCATAATCCGAGGCCAGAGCACGGACTTGGACGTAGCTGCTCTCATAGTGCTGGCGTTACCTGCTCTCAGGGAATAGATTTGCAGGGAAAAAGGAGAAGGGAGAAGGGAAAAAGGGAGCAGGGAGGCAGGAGAACATAAATTTGCTCTCTCAACGTGCGTCACCGTGTCGGGGTGGTTCACACAGCGCAGCGGAATGAACTTCTGAACGCGCCTCCTGCTTTCCAGCATGTCCATAATCCGAGGCCAGAGCACGGACTTGGACGTAGCTGCTCTCATAGTGCTGGCGTTACCTGCTCTCAGGGAATAGATTTGCAGGGAAAAAGGAGAAGGGAGAAGGGAAAAAGGGAGCAGGGAGGCAGGAGAACCTAAATTTGCTCTCTCAACGTGCGTCACCGTGTCGGGGTGGTTCACACAGCGCAGCGGAATGAACTTCTGAACGCGCCTCCTGCTTTCCAGCATGTCCATAATCCGAGGCCAGAGGACCGACTTGGAGGCAGATTCCCTCATGGTGCTGCTGTTGCCTGCTCACAGGTTACAGCAAACCAGTGGGGAGAACAGAGAAGGGGGAAGAGTGGACTGAACTTCTGAACGCGCCCCTTGCTCTCCAGCATGTCCATGATCCGAGGCCAGAGGACGGATTTGGAAGTAGCTGCCCTCATGGTGCTGGCGTTGCCTGCCCGCAGTAAAAGGGGTGGTGATGGTGGTGGTAGGGGAACGGGACAAGGGAAGGTCATTCCAACAACATGTGAGCATTGTGTTCAACTTGGAAGTAGTCCCCCCCCATGGTGCTGCTGTTGCCTGCTGCCAGGGTGGGAACTGGTAGGGAGAGGGGAGGTTCAGTGAGCAGAATCGTCACCACCAGTGGGGAAAAAAAAAGGGGGGCGGATTTTAGAGCCTTGAAGTTTCTTTCTGTGATTCGCACAGTGCAGTAGAATGAAACCTCTGAACGCCCCCCCTGCTCTGCAGCATGCCAGTACCCATCAACACGCCTATGACTCACCAATGATGTACATGCCATGCTTGGCGCGGGAGAGCAGCACGTTGGTGCGGTTGGGGCTCTTGAGGAACCCGATCTTGCCATCCACGTTGTTCCGTACGAGCGAGATGATGATCACCGTGCTCTCCTCGCCCTGGAAACTGCATGCCTCGACATCAAGAAGCAACACAGAAACTGCATCAGCACCCATAAATAGGGCAGCAACAAAACTCAAGAAATGATGAACATCCCGTCTATGCTCTCCTCTCCATACTCTCCTCGCCATGCTCTCCTCTTCTCGCCCTGGAAACTGCACAGCCCAGCATAAAGAAACAAAGCAAAACATGTCATCTGCACACATTCCTAGGACAAGACATAAGCAACCTGTTCCTCTTTTCTGTTGCTCCACTCCAACCCTCCATTCTGTTCCAGCCACACACTTAATTTTCGACAGTCGCTAGCCAAACTGCATCTTTCAGATTCGCCGTAACGGCCTTAGGCACAGCAAACTCTAGCCCCACCCAGCCCCTTCCCCTGCGCCTGCCCCAGCCCCTTCCCCTGCGCCTGCCCCTGCCCCTGCCCCTGCCCCTTCCCCTTCCCCTGCCCCTGCCCCCGCCCCTTCCCCTTCAGCACTGGATTCTGTTTCTGACAAACACTCACTTGTCAACAGTGGCCAGCCGAACTGCATCCTTCAGGTTCGCCGTAACCGCCTTCGGCGCAGCAAACTCCAGCCCCAACCCCTTCCCATTTCCAACCTCCTCCCCTGCAGCTCCACCTTCCCTAGTAGCCGCCTTCTCCTCTGCCTCCTCCACCACCTCCGCATCCCCCTCCCCCAGGCGCACGTTCACCACCTGAGAAAGCGCCTGGCGCAGCTTCAGCAGCTGGCCTACATAAGGCGTGAGGATGGTAACCTCCCCTCCCGTGTACCCCTGCTGCAGCAGGTACGTGGCGAGGGCGACCACCATGGCTGCCTCGCCCGCGTTGGACTTGGACTTGCCCTCCCTCAGGTCGTCACCCCCTGTCTCAGGGAAGTTGTGGTCCCAGAAATGGAGATTCGCCGCCATGCCCCTCACGTTTGGGTAGCTGGGGAGTGGGGGGGAGGTGGGGAAGGAGGGAAAGCCGGGGGAGGGACGGGAAGGAGGGAAGGAGGATGGTGATCTCCCCTCCCGTGTATCCCTGCTGTAGGAGGTACGTGGCGAGGGCGACCACCATGGCTGCCTCGCCCGCGTTGGACTTGGATTTGCCCTCCCCCAGGTCGTCACCCCCCGTCTCAGGAAAGCCGTGGTCCCAGAAGTGCAGATTGGCTGCCATGCCCCTCACGTCTGGGTACCTGGGGAGGGGGGGAGGGGGGTGGGGGGAGGGAGGGAGGGAGGGAAGGAGGGAAGGAGGGCGTGAGGATGGTGATCTCCCCTCCCGTGTATCCCTGCTGTAGGAGGTACGTGGCGAGGCGAGGGCGACCACCATGGCTGCCTCGCCCGCGTTGGACTTGGACTTGCCCTCCCTCAGGTCGTCCCCGCCTGTCTCAGGAAAGTTGTGGTCCCAGAAGTGCAGATTGGCCACCATGCCCCTCACGTCTGGGTACCTGAGGGAGGTGAGGGAGGGAGGGAGGGAGGGAGGGAGGGAGGGAGGGAGGGAGGAAGGAACCTTCAGATGGGGGATACACACAGCAAACATAAAACATTACCACTATACCTATGGAGAAGAGCAGGGAAGAAAGAGTAGATGCTGCTGCGATGGAGGCTGCCACGTCAGGCATACCCTGGGAAGAAGAGCGCCCTTGAGGCGATTGGACATGCTTGACAGACACAGAGAAAAAACATACCCCTGGACGAATAGCTGGTCCCTGAGTTCATACCCATGGAGGAGATTGGAGACTTAAACACCAAGAAAAACATACGCACGCTACATACCCTTGCACGAACGGGTGGTCCCTGAGGTCCGGGTAGATGGTGCAGCGAATGAGGTCGGCAATCTCGGGGCGCATGCGGCGCTGCGTGGCGAGGGTGTACACGGGGATCTGCCGGGAGAGCGCCAAGCCCTTGTGGGAGTCCTTGCTCAGCCCAGGGGGAGAAGCCAAGGGCGACAACGAGGGCACTGGGACAACAGGCATGACCCAACCCAATAGGGAGAAGCCTCACCTCTCAAAAACAAGTAACCATACCGTACCCTTGGACGAACGGGTGGTCTCGGAGGTCGGGGTAGATGGTGTAGCGGATGAGGTCGGCAATTTCTGGACGCATGCGGCGCTGCGTGGCGAGGGTGTACACGGGAATCTGCCGGGAGAGGGCGAGGCGTTCAAAGAGAGAGACGTCCAGGTCGAAGCCCTTGTGGGAGTCCTTGCTCAGCTCGTAGACTTCAACCTTGGGGCGCAGCTGCAGATGATCGCCTGTGAATTGGGAAGGATGCAAGACACACACGTGAATAGGGAATGAATGCAGGGGCCGGGTGAGTCCTTGCTCAGCTGATAGACTTCAACCTTGGGGCGCAGCTGCAGATGATCACCTGGTGGCAGTGGCACAAGAGTGGATAGAGGGGTCAGTGCTGAGAGCGAGGCGCTCAAAGAGAGAGACGTCCAGGTCGAAGCCCTTGTGGGAGTCCTTGCTCAGCTGGTAGACCTCCACCTTGGGCCGCAGCTGCAGGTGGTCGCCTGTGATTAGGGATGAAGGCGAGGCACAAGAATGGGTAGGGGATCAACAGAGGGATCAGTGCTGGTTGCTTGCTTCCAGCAAACACCTCATCTCACCTGGGTGCTTACAAAAAAAAACCTCAGCTTCCAGCAATTTCGTGTGAAAAAATGGCATACCTATGAGGATAAACGTGCTGGGTCTGCAGGGTCAGGGAGGTGAGGATGTGCGCCTCCAGCACCTCAGCTGCCTCCTCCACGATGATGACGGCCATGACCACACCAGCGACCCATGTCATACCTATGATGGCCTACCACGTACCTATGAGAATAACATGCTGGGTTTGTGGGGTGAGGGAGGTGAGGATGTGGGCCTCGAGCACCTCAGCAGCCTCCTCCATGATGATGTGGCATGCAGTGACAACCACAACCACAACCACAACCACAACCACAGCAGCAACAGCCCATGGCATACCTATGAGAATAACATGCTGTGTCTGCGGGGTGAGCGAGGTGAGGATGTGGGCCTCGAGCACCTCAGCTGCCTCCTCCACGATGATGACGCGCGGGCCGAGCGCCGTGATGAGGCACTGCATCTTGGCCACCCCGGACGTGGTCATGCCCACCACCTGCGCCCTCCTCAGCACCTGCAGGTCCTCCACCTGCTGTAACTCACTGCGCTCCCTCACCTTCCTGCACGTTTCGAATGCACACCACACACACACACAGAACAGCTTAGAATGATTGTGTGGGTGGGGCCAGCTTGGAAATCAACTTCACCACCTGTGCCCTCCTCAGCACCTGCAGGTCCTCCACTTGCTGTAACTCACTGCGCTCCCTCACCTTCCTGCACACGCCAGATGCACACGCACAAGGGAAACGCACATGCACACATGCCGAGAAAAGCTTAGGATCACAGGGTGATATTCCCTTGCAGGTCCTCTACCTGCTGGCGCTCACTGCGCTCACTCACCTTCCAGCAGCACACACACCTGGAGTAATTCGCCACCTCGGCCTCAATGGCAGCAGTGGCAGTGGCGCGCAGCTCCCCCACCCAGAACTCCACCAGCTTCCTCCTCTCCCGTCCACTCGTCGCCCACGGGTCCTCCAACCCTAGCAGCTCCTCCACCCCCCTGTCACTTCTCTCATCCACCTCCGGACCAGTCCACACCTCCTCCTCCACCACCTCCTCCTCCTTCCCCTTGCTCCCGTGCTCCTGTTTGCTGCCTTTCTTCCCCTTGCTGCTGCCTTGGCTTCCTCTGCTGCCAGTACCGCCATGGGGTTGATTCGTGCCCTGGCCTTGCCTGCCGTCGTGAAAGCCCGAGTCACCAAACGCATGTGAGAGATCCTCCTCCATAGGGAACCCTCCTGCCACTCCTGCCGCTCCTGCCCCGCCTGCTCCTCCTGCTCCTCTCGCTCTCCCTGAGGGCACAAGGCCTAGCCACGAGTAGTCAAGGCCCGTGCCTGCCACCTCATCCCCACTACCGCTGCCATCCCCCTCATAGAAAGTAGCCATCATGCCCACCATTTCGCTCAGCTCCTCACTCACTCCGCCGTCCCTCGCTCTGCTTGCACCCCACCCCTCCCCAACCTCGAACTCACCAAGGAAACCCAGGGCATCAAACACGTTCTGTGTGCCCGCCTGTTGTCCAGAAGCGGCTATCCCCACTCCCCCCACTCCTACTCCCCCTCCCTGTGGCGCCATTCCGGCCCTTCCTCCTCCTACGCCTCCCTTCCCCCTGCCTGATACATGACCTTGATCCCCCCATGTATCACCAGCACCTTTCTTGCGGCGAAGGGTTTCCTTGGGCAGGCCTTGCTTCCACCGCTTCCAGTTGTCTCGCCCCACTTGCTGCCAAAGGAACAGAGAATAGGGACCAAGAGAACGAGGTGCGGTGAACAGAAGGAGGAAACGCTTCATACAGTGAGTTGTGAGGCGCCCGAATTGCCACCCTCCTTGGCAGGCCCTGCTTCCACCGCTTCCAGTTGTCTCGCCCCACTTGCTGGCAAGTGAACAGGGAAGCGAGGTGATAACATAAAAAACTGGGTTGGTTGGCAACCCAAAAAGAAAACAAAAGAAAAAAAAGAGGAAAAAATCAAGAACCCAAAACCAAGCACAGATGGGGGAATTGTGCTTTCCCACCTCCAGGGATGTGAGGACATAACATCCACCCACACACCTCTTGCACCCATTCCTTCCACCCCCCTACGCACCTCAAACCCGTCCTTGTCTGCCTTGCTGGTGGTGCGGAGAGCCTGGAAGAAGACGGGGTGATTGGCCATGAGGTGGGAGGAAATATAACCCCACGCCACAGGCCCGCCCTTCTACCCATCCACACACACACACGCTTACCTCATAACCATCAGCATCTGCCTTGCTGACAGTACGGAGGGCTTGGAAGTAGACGGGATGATTGGCCACGAGGTGGGAGGCGATAGTACCCCACGCCACAGCCGCCACGTTGTCGCTGCGCTGCTGCAGGGCGTCACTGTACGTGCCTATCACCTCCTCCACCTCCCTTAGCTTGCTGCCCACCTCGTAGCTCGACTGCCTGTACGCTGCTCTCACACACATTCGCACAGACCCACGTGCACACGCACACACGTAAAACAAAATTGAGTTGTAAGATGGGCACGTGCCGATCACCTCCTCCAGCTCCCTTAGCTTGCTTCCCACCTCGTAGCTCGACTGCCTGTAGGCTGCTCACAGACACCAACAGACGCACATGCACACGCACACACAAACATGACTTGAGAATGACTTCATTCTCCACAATGAAAGTAGTTCGGTTGTGTCACAAGTTTCCAGTTCTAGGTATCTCGCCACTCGAAAAAAAAGAAAATAAAAAAATTATTGAAGTGGTAGAGGAGCATATGTGGCATAGTGCTGTGGTGCTCACTTCTGCTGCGATCCAGATTGGAGCTCCGGATGATGTTGAGGAGATTGTACTCTTGCAGAACCTCCGACTTGCTCCTTCCTCCCACTCGCACCACCTGCACAAGAGGCATAAACAAAAACCACAGCAGAAGTACCAGACCACAGTCATTGCACAAAGATACAGAGGCTCGCAGAACATAGCAACCTGCCAATGACCCATTCATGAGCCACAAAACCCAACCTACAGAAAAAAATGCATGAATCGATTCCAGTGGAACCCAGTCTATAACTCACGTTCTTGATGCCGCTGGCAATGAGGCCCTCCAGGAACTGATCCAGAGCGTGGTTGGTGAAACACACGCACAGGATGGGCCCCGCGGAACTGGCCAACTCCCTGCCTCGAGCAAAATGACCTGACGAGCTGCTCTTGAGTGGATTTCTCAGCAGAATCTCCACAAGTTTGATCCCCACGAACGTCTGCCACATGAATATACAAGAACGTGTGCAGCATAGCATGCCCAGTTAGTCGCAGCACCATAGGAAAGAGCTTTTGTGTCAAGCCTGCACAAAACTTAATAACGGGTTTGCAATACACAACCACAATTCAGAGCAATACAAAGACTTCGGTTTTTGACCGACCCACCTTGCCAGCCTGTCCCTCTCTCACCTACCCCCTTTTCACCTGCCCCCTTCTCAACTACTTCCCTCTCACCTACCCCACACTGACCTGCCCCCTCTCAGGTGAGAGGGGGGTAGGTGAGAGGGGGGTAGGTGAGAAGGGGGCAGGTGAGAAGGGGGCAGATGAGAGGGGGATAGGTGAGAGCACTACTATACTCCCGTTCTAAAAAAAAACACCCATTCACCCAGTCTTGGAACGCCTCACAATCACTCACAACCCTATGCTCCGTTTGGTCACAACCCGTTTCCTCACAACCCACCTTGCCAATTCCTGGGGGACCCAGCAGCAGAGCGGAGGCAGCCTGGAGCGCCTCAGTCTGGGGCTCGTCCAGCGACGCTTCTTAGCCCCCTAGCTAAACATCACAGCTTCTCAATCCCTACATTCACCCATTTTCGAGCCGCCTCACCCCTCACTTGCTCATGCATCCCACCTTGCCGGTTCCCGGAGGGCCTTGCAGCAGAGCGAACTCCTGAGTGAGGGCAGCTCGCAGAGCCACAGATTGAGGTTCGTCCAGCGATGTGCAGCGCAGGAGGGCATCCATAGGGAAGGCGGTGGGGCTGGAGATCATCACATTCCTGATGGCGAACTCGTCCTCTGGAGCATTCGCTGCCTGCTGGGAAGAGGAGGAAGAGGGAGGCTTGGTCTTGAGCAGCAAGCTCAAGTCGTACCTGCACGGGAACACAAAACAGAGACACACACGGAGGCAATGGGGAAGGCGGTGGGGCTGGAGATCATCACATTCCTGATGGCGAACTCGTCCTCTGCAGCGTTCCCTGCCTGCTTGGAGGAGGAAGAGGGCGCTTTGGTCTTGAGCAGCAGGCTCAAGTCGTACCTGCAGGGGAAAAAACACAGCACAGGAACACACAAGAGTGTTGAGAATCCATGGGGAAGGCGGTGGGGCTGGAGATCATCACATTCTTTATGGCGAACCCGTCCTCTGCAGCGTTCCCTGCCTGCTGGGAGGAGGAAGAGGAGGAAGGGGACTTGGCCTTGAGCAGCAGGCTCAAGTCGTACCTGCAAGGAAGGGAACACACAACACAGGGACACAGACACATGCACAGAGGAGGTTTACCCTCAATGAATTATGCTGTGAGGATTGAAATCACCACGTTGCTGATGGCAGATAAGTCCACTGGAGCGGCCTGCGCCCGCTGGGTGGATGTGGGCAAAGTCGTACCTGCATGGTGCACCAGGCACACAAGTCTAGCATGTAAGAAACTCTTCAACAGGCTCAAGTTATACCCCCCCCAAAACACACAAAAAGCATTCCTCTATCAAAAGGCTGAGAAAGCCGTGTCATTGCCAGAATGCTGATAAGTTAACGTGTGCCTTTGCTTCCTCCCAATCAGCCCTCGTCTCCGGCATCACTTGCATGTCTCTCTTGATCCTCCCCCTTCCCACTCACATCATGATGACTTTAGAGTCGACTCCAAATGTCAGTCAGCCCACCTCGCCACACTCCCATTAAGCACCTCCAGCATCACATTGCATGCCCCCCTCGATCCTCCCCTTCCCCACTCACATCATGCCACCTTTGATGTAAGCAGGCAGCTTGTACACTCCAGGTACCCACCCAGGTGCCCCTCCAGGTACCCCCCCAGGTGCTCCGCCAGCTGCCCCACAGATGTACTCAGAGAAGGGCAGTGACGTGTCAGTGATGCTCTGCAGCGCCTTCAGAATCGGCTCATACGCAAAAAAACTCCCATGCGCCTCCAGCATCACCACCTGTACGCCCTTACTCCCGCCTCTGCCCCCACTGCCGTCCTGAGCAATCAGCTCCAGCAGGTCTGCACTGAACCCGTTCTCCCCGCACGGCTGCACCCCAATCTGCGGCCTGGCAGTGGCGAGCCTCTTCGTATCTCGGGCTGTGATAGTCGCAAAGACGAGCCGGTGGGAGGAAGAGTCACTCGCTGAAGTGTCTCCCGCAAGGGGGAGCTGCTGCTGCCTGCGAGTGCGCTGATTGTGAGTGTGGCTGCGCTGGATGTCTCGGATCCACAGGCACACCAGCGAGCCGTTCTGCAGCCTCCGCGTGTTGTCCCAAAACTCCACCCTGAGGCACGAGGAGGACATGAGAACCGAATAGGCAGGCACTGCAGGCTGTGTGTAACTATCATATACAGCTGGTTGGCAAGAGCCAACTAAGACCGCCACATGCTTGAGCATGATTCATCTGCGAAGGATAAAAAGGTGGGTTACCTGTTTCGGGCATTCCGGCCCCGCGGCATGGGAGGCTCAAGGAAGTCGATCAGAAAGTAAACCCCGCTCCTCTTGTCCGTGTTGATGGACAGCACGTGCACATCCCGCAGCAGATACACGTCCATGTCCTCCGACAAAAACCCAAACAAACCAGCAATGAAGCCCATTCACGAACTAAACACCTGGGTGAGTGAGCTACCAAGAGCTGGGTTACCTGTTACGGGCATTCCGGCCCCGGGGCATGGGAGGCTCAAGGAAGTCAATGAGAAAGTAAACCCCGCTCCGCTTGTCTGTGTTGATGGACAGCACGTGCACACCCCGCAGCAGATACACGTCCATGTCCTCCGAGGAAAACCCCACCACGCCCTTCATGTCATCTGTCAGACCTCGCACCAACTCCCTGTCCGCCCTCAACAGCCCCATCGCATCCTCCCTTCCGCCACTGCTCCCACTGTTACTTCCCCCGTCGGCACCCCGGGAGTATTCCTGGTTGAGACGGTGGAAGAGGAAGAGCGCCTTGCTCCAGAGTGGGGCAATCAAGTCGTGGCGGAGCAGGCGGAATTGGATGTCCACGTGGCGGGCCACCGAGCCCGCTGGCAGGTGGTGTGGCTCGCTGGGGTGGTTGTGTGGCAGGTATGGTGAGGCTTTGCAGAGAACTTCCTCCATCGTTGGAGCAACCGAAATCTGGTGGAGCCGGGCAAGGGGGGAGGGGCAGGAAAATTAGGATATGAGGAGCTCGGTGAAAGAGGAAGAGCGCCTTGCTCCAGAGGGGGGCGATCAGGTCGTGGCGGAGCAGGCAGAACTGGATGTCCACGTGGCGGGCCACTGAGCCAGCTGGCTCGTTGGGGTGGTTGTGGGGCAGGTAGGGCAACGCCTTGCAGAGAACTTCATCCATCGTTGGCGCCACTGAGATCTGGAATCGGCCAAGCGAATCATCAGGACAGGAGGAATGTTGTCGCAGGACGGGAGTGATCAGGTCAGGAATCTGGAAGTTCGACACTGGCAATGAAAACAGATCAAGGGAAGTGAAACTCGTAGGAAAACGTGAACACGAAACAACCAGAGAAGGTTTCACCGTCGTCAACGATTGTCGTGTCAAAGACATTAGAGCACCATCTTACGGCTGATATTTCAAGATGGTCGTTATCATGCCGGGGGCGGCCTTCCAAGCTGAGCTCGCCCGGACCATCCACATCCTGCATGCTGGACGGATGCTGACCTGCACACATGGTTTACATCACAACAGTAGCACGGGTATATTTGAGTCATTGACTTCACATCAAACGGAAAATCATCCGTATCATGCGAGACATTTGATATTAGCCGGAATTATTCAGATCAGCAGCTCCTGTTTCAGCACGAACGAACCTGTAGGGAAGAAGTCAGCATGCAGTAGCTGCCCTTCCTCCATCCTCTGCTTCTGTCTCTCACTGTGCTGCCGCCTATCCAGCGACTTCCTCAGCCTGTAGATCACCGACCGAATGCTATGGTACTTGCCATCAAACACCGGCTTCTCTCTCTGCCACTTCTCAAGCATGCCTTCCAGCTCCTGCATGTCTGCGCTGGCTTGCGCCGCGTCGAAGAGAGAATAGAATCGATCCATGGTGAGGTTGAAGAAGCTGATGATGACGTGGAATGCTGTGTCCCAGTCGGTGATATTGTCGTCGTCCCGTGACAGGTCGCGGATCATCCCGCGTTGGGTTAGGAGGCGCATGCAGCCGATTAGGTACTCCTGAAGACCTTCCACCTCGACGATTGCTGCTAGGGTAACGTTGACCTTGCTCGATGCAGGATTGTTGAAAAACTCAGGCTGCAAAATACCAGTTCCGACCCAAGAACGAAACACAGAAATTCATGTGAGCCTAGTAGGAAACGTAGAGAATGAATTAGAGCAGCGAAGGATACCATGTTCTAGCGAAATTGCCAGCAGAACTGCACGCGGAATTGCAGGACGTTACCTGACAGATGACCCTGAGCATGGGCAGAATCACGCTCTGGAAGGAAACAAAACGGCTGTGATTTCCAGCAGACACGGATCTTGAAGGACCGCAAGCCACGGCCTCCCGGCAGATGCTAACCACCTTCTTTCTCCCAAACAGCTTGTCGTCAGCCAGCACAATCACCAGATCTGCAGAAACGGTTGGAATTAACAGAAATAATTTCATGACGTCAGTATCGTTGACTGACAACTTGAAAGCAGCAGTAGCAGCACTCCAAAGGACAATCTGTCATCATGTGATGGTTGAAAAAAATGTTGAAGTACCTGAAGCGTCATGAGCTTCCATCGCGTTGACGAAAGTCCTCATCTGAGACTGATTCAGAAAATCTCTGTCGTTCGGTAGGAAGGACCACAGGGTAGGCCCCCCCCTCCTCTCATGTCCGTCTGAACTGGACGTTCCTCCTCTTCCTCCTCCCCCTACTTCGCCCCCTCCTCCTCCTCTCCCCCCTCCCCCTCCTCTCCCTCCTCCTCTACCTTCTCCTCCTCCTCCTCTTCCTCCCCTTCCTCTCTCACCTCCCCCACGTCCGCGGCCTCCCCCATAATTCTGATTCTGATTATCAGATTGCCGCCCTCCTCTGCCTCCTAAGATTCCCCGTCCGCCATAGTTCCAACCTCTTCCCCTGCCGCCTCCTCTATGGAAACCGAACTGGTTATCCATGGCTCTCAACACTCTAGGTGAGAGTGTTCGAATTCTGGCGTAGGACAGTCTTGCTCTAGGTGTACTCTAGCGGCACAGAAGAATCTGCTTTGGGTGGGCGTTCCAGGTCCGACCTAGAAGACTCTGCTCTAGGAGAGTGTTTCAGGTCCGACGTAGGACAGCCTGCTCTAGGCCAGACTGTTCCAAATGAGGTCAATTTCTTGTTTTTAGATAGGTTCAAAATCACACTTGCTCACCAGCAGCAGAACCCCCATCAGTAGCCCCACCAGCACAAGCAGTGCCAGTGAGCTGATGTGAAGCACATCCGTTCCGAACTAATCCGATTATCTGGTAAACGCTTGTGTCCACATTTCTCAAACGGCATCCATTGATATCCAGCAGATCGACGAATTTCCGGCGTTCTGACATGTGCTCTCCGCTTTTGTCACTTCCACCACGGGTGAATGTGCCCTGAATCGATGTTGGGGGATGAGTGGAGTGCCCCAAATTTGAGTATGGCCGTTTCTATTCGCTGGATTTCCCGTTTTTTGCCCGTTCCCTGCCCGCAGTAAGCACTTTCAACACCCCTCGACATCCCCAAGGGATCGGGGATGTCGAGGCTGAGTCTCGAGGTGTCGAGGGCCCTTTGAACACAGACATCTCGAAGAAGCACCCAAACGAATCCCGTCCACTTCTGTCAAAACCCGTCGACATCCCGCATCCCACTTCCTGCATGCTGCAGAACTGGCAAACAAAACGACAGGCTTTGGGAGCTCCTCACGCCTAGATGATTCCGCCTGTGCTACGCCTTTTTCACGCCTACTTCACGCCTTGTCTCAGAGGCGGTTTGTGGCATCGCGTGCTGATCAGTTACCACTGGAAGTTGCATCTCTGTTATGAGTTGTAATGAAGAGAGTGCGCAGGATTCAATAACGCGGAAGTGATAACAACTACTGAGCAAATAATGAAGTCTAGCACTAATATAGCAACTGCTAGCTAGGTCGAGGTCGCGGGTCCGCGGATGGCTGGGTGCAGGTTCGGGGTTGGGAAATCCGAAGGCGACGCGATGGTGGTTCGGAGGGCGAGGTTGTCAGACCGAGCCTGAACTCCGAAATGTTGGGGTCTGTACGCGTACAGTGTGACTCAGTAAGGAATTAGGGAAAATTCCTTACACTATCCCCCCTTTTAAGACAGGTGGTGTATATCCGGGACACGCCGGCGAGTCAAATAATCCTGCAGAACCAGATGCCCCTGTAGCGAGTCAGCGGCAACGTAGGTGTCGTCCTCGCTTGTACGATCTTTCCATCGGATTAAGACGACGACGCGGCGTCCTGAGGCCGTTAGATCCACGCGATGGTTCAGAATCTTCCATGGCTCGAGTGTCGGTTCTGCCACAGGTCGAACACTTGGCGCAGTATTTGGCCGGGCGACGGTCGGCGACTGGGGTGCATCGTATTGACAAAGTAGGCTGACGTGGAATGCGTCGTGTATCTTCCAGTCGTCGTGGAGCAATAACCTTGCCGTGACAGGCGTCACCATTTGAGTAATGCGAAATGGTCCCACGTAGCGGGGACGGAGTTTTGCAGGCTGGGGCAGTCGAAGATTCTTCATGTCCAAGAGGACCATCTGCCCGACTCGGAAGGGTACATCCCTTCGGTGTTTGTCCGCGTTGCGGCTAGCGACGGTATTAGCCTTCCGTATAAACTCGGCTGCTTTGTCGCGAGCTGCTTGAAGTTCCGTGACGATCTGCTGCGACCGTGGTACCGGATTGTCGGGGGTCGTGGATGAGGGTACCACGGGGTCTATCCCGTAATTGAGATAAAAGGGCGATTGTTTGGTCGTGGCGGAGGGTGCGTTGTTATACGCAAACTCCAACATCGGGAGGGAGTCCTCCCACTTGGTCAGGTCAGGGCAGTTGGTGCGTATCAGCTGCTCCATGGTCTGATTTGTCCTCTCGGTCTGACCGTCGGTTTGCGGGTGGTAAGACGACGAAAACTGCAGACGGGTACCATACTGCGCCCATGTCTCTTGCCAGAATTTCGACGTAAATTTCGGATCCCGATCGCTAACGATCGCCGAAGGTAACCCGTGTAGTCGTACAACGGTGGAGATGAACAACTTCGCTGTTTGTTCGGCTGTGATCGTCGTTCGGCATGGTGCGAAGTGTGCCATTTTCGTTAATCGGTCAACGATGACCAGCACCGAATCGTTGCCACTTGCGCCAGCTGGCAGTCCCGTGACGAAGTCCATCGTCACTTGTTGCCACGGTCGTTCAGGTGGCTCGAGGGGCTGCAACAATCCAGCTGGTCGTTGTCGTGACGACTTCATGGCTTGGCAGGTTGGGCATGTTGTCACGTAGCGCTGCACGTCCGTTAGCATGTCGGGCCAATAATAATTCCTCTGCAGCAGCTTGAGTGTTTTGTCGATGCCGAAATGCCTGGAGAGGTTGGAGTCATGAACCTCCTGCGTCAGCAGCTCCTGGAGGGGTTGGTATGCCGGGACCCAAATCCGGTCCGTACCGGCTTTTAGGTAATATTTCCCGTGTGGTGTCGTAGCCCGTTGGTGAAGAGTCTTGAAGAACCTGTCGATCGTGTAGCCGTGGGTGAATAGTCCTATTAAAATCGGGTTGGTGCGGGCGACTAGTACAGCTGCGGTTTGCATGGATGGTCGTGTCAAGGCGTCGGCGATGTTGTTGGCGCCTTTCTTGTACGTGATGGTGTAGCTGAAGTTGGATTCCAGGTAGTCCAACCACCTGATTTGTCGCGGGTTGAGTGTTGGTTGGCTTCGTAGGTATTGTAGCGATTTGTGGTCGGTTCTGATCGTCACGTCGGCTCCCGTCAAGTAGCAGCGCCAGACACGAAATGCATGGCCAGCATTTACTTGTCGTGGACTGGGTAGTTGCGCTCGGGTGGCTGCATCTTGCGTGATTCATACGCGATGGGTTGCAGCCCTTTGCCGAAATCCTGTAGAAGGACGGCGCCAACAGCGAAATCGCTGGCGTCCGTGATGACTTCAAACGGTCGAGATGGGTCGGTGAGGCGGAGGCCCGGGGGTGAACTCAAAATATTTTTGAGGGTGTCGAATGCAGATTGTTCCCTCTCCCCCCACTGAAAATACGTGTCCTTGTGCAGCAGGTCGGTGAGAGGCTTGGTTACCCCTGCCATGTTGGGTACAAATCGGCGGACGTAATTCACAAACTCCAGGAAGCTCTGCAGCTCGGTGATGTTAGTCGGCGGGTTCCACTTAGCGATTGCGTCCACCTTCCAAGGGTCGATTTTAATGCCATCTCCTGAAACCACGTGCCCCAGAAACTCCAGTTCCGGCTTTAGGAACTCACACTTAGAGCCCTTCGTAATGAGCCGATTCTGTTGTAAGCGCCGGAACACCTCCTCCAGATCCTTTAAATGTTCCTCCTTGGTTTTGCTGTACACCAGGATGTCGTCGAGGTAGACGATAACTTTTTTTATCCAGCATGTCCCGGAACACCCCGTTCATGGTTAACTGGAATGTCGAGGGCGCGTTTGTCAGGCCGAACGGCATCACGGTGTATTCGTAACTGCCGTAGTGTGTGCGAAAAGCAGTCTTCGGGCTGTCGTCGGCAAACACTCGAATTTGGTGGTAGCCTCATCGCAAGTCGATCTTCGAGAAATAGCGAGACCCGCGAAGCTGGTCCAACAGGTCGTCCGCTCGTGGGATCGGGTAACGCGATTTGATCGTGACCTGATTCAGCGCTCGATAATCAATACACATGCGTAGGCCTCCGTCCTTCTTCGGCGTGAACAGTATGGGTGCTGCGAATGGTGACGTGCTTGGCCAGATAAAGCCTTTTGCGAGAAGGTAGTCCAGCTGGCTCCTCAACTCCGCAAGCTCTGGTTGGCTGAGCCGCCATTGTGTTCGAACAGTTGGTTGCGCGCCGGGTTCCAGCTGTATCTTGTGATCTTCCGGACGTGGAGGTGGCAGGCCATCGGGTAGGTCATCCGCGAAAATGTCGGGATACTTCCGAATGATGCTTGCCAGCTCCTCAGGAACTGCCTTACAGAGCGTGTGGATGTCAGCGATTTTTTCGGAGGTTGCTACCTCGTACAGGTGTACAGCGTAGCCTCGTGCCCCCTTGCTTATCGCTCGCCGCATGGTGACAGCATTGACACGTGTAGTCACCGGCTCCGGGTCCGTCCATTTCGGAAGCGTCGTATGCCCCGTATTTCCTCGCACGGTGCATGCCCCCGTTGTCCAGTCGATCGTCGGATTGTATCTTTGCAGCCAGTCTCGCCCCAGCAGTACATCGCAGCCGTCCAATGTTGTCGCAAGCATCTTCATGCCGAACCCAAAATTGTCGCTGCACTTCAACCGATTTTTTCGCGCTTCATCTCGAATGGCCAGCAGTGTCCCATCCACCAGTATTGCGTCAATCTCTGGCAGACACCTGTTCAGCTTCACCCCAAATTTTTTGGCTGTTGGGAAGTTGATGAGGCTGTGGCTAGCCCCACCGTCA